TCAATGCTTTGTTCCATAAACAACTCTTCACTCCTTCAGAAAACTAGCAGACTTCCCTCTGACTAGAATTCCTAGAAATCTGGACAGTTCTTTCCCTTGGATCTGTCTATACACTATACTAGCTATTCTCCCTAATAGCTATCTATCTCTACTAACTGACCAACTTTTGGCTTCTCTGACTTCTTTTCTCCTACCACTCCCAAAACCCAACTCTCTTCTTCAACACACAAATCCAAATGGAGCTGTCAGATTTTAAAATGCACCCTTACAGACAATTTTTTTCTGCACTCTGGCTAAGCTCCGCCCACTCTCTCCCAGCCAATTACAAAGCTTCTCCACATTTCCCTCCAGGCTGCTCCTAAGCTCTGCCCCCTCTAGGAAATTGGTACTCTAAAATGGCTGCCTCCATGCACCATCTCATAAAATGGCTGCTGAAAATCTTGGGCCTACTTCCTGAGCTTTCCCCAACCTAAAAGGTAGGCAATTCATCACACTCTTATATCATGTTAGGAGGTGACAAAACACCAAAAGCGGAGTAGATTCTGTCATCAAAAAGCTGAAAAGTGGTAATGTAGTCCAAGCTGTGAAAGTTGGAGGCCTTTATCTATTCATGGTTTGCCACTGCTGTCATACCTGGTGGCTTCTATGTCAATGAGGCAGCAATTCTAACTTTACAGAAACTCTCCAAAGTGTTGTACTTTATCTCAGAAGATGGAGATCTAGTTCCATGTGCAGGTATTTTAAACTACAGACTAAAGCCCAGAGTAGCACTGGCATGGAAGTAATCCACTTCCATTGAGCTACTAGCAATACAATTACCTTCGTGTCCCGGCGGCGAGCTTCCATTCTATTTCTCTATGGCTACTGTGGGAAACAAGATACTGGGCAGAAGCTCTGTTCTGCTCTGACCCAACCAACTTCTTGTCATATTCCAACAAAGTAAATGAACTGCAGTCAATAAGGTTCTTAATTAAAAAGGTCAACATCAGTAAGGTGAGTATGTTGTCAAGCCATGGCACCCCCACCCCCCGCCAAACGTTTATGGACAATAAATACAGTTCAAGCAAAAATATGTTTTTTTCCCTTTATTTTCAAAACATTTTCTGCTTTTTCAAAGTTTCACAGTATTGGAGTCTCTGATCAAAGCTAAACCCACTAATAATTGTATTAAAATTATACTTTTTTGTAACTTGTATTGCTTGTGAACTATATCAATATCCTGAATGTACCTGCTGTCTCCATACCCCGTGTTTGCAAAAGCTCCTGGGAACGGAGATCGCTATATAATTAACAAAGGGTCCTAGCGATCTCCCAAGCCAGATAAAATCAAATGTTTTGTGTATATATGTGCAGGGGCGACTCAACCCATTATGCAAAGTAAGCATTTGCAGTATAGTTGATTTTGCCCAGGGGCGCTCTTGGGGGAAAATAGACCTTGTCATATGCGAGCTGTAGTTACTGGGATGTATAGTTCACCTACAATCAAAGAGCATTCTGAACTCCACCAATGATGGAATTGAACCAAATATGGCACACAGGACTTCCATACGAACAGAAAATATATATCAGTGATTGGTTTTGGGGGGGGGGGGGGGATACTGTTTGCTTACTGTTGAAAATTACCTAGGGCCACCTCTGTATATGTGAGACAGATTATCCTTTTGTCACCAATATGACCTTAATATATTTTCCTGTTCAACTAAAGCTGGGGGCTGCCATTCTCATGCAACAGAAGGCTAAACAAATATGAATACACGTTAACATCCTGAATAGGCAGTACAATCCCTGGCTATTTTCAAGCCCTGGATGGTTGAGTCCATAGCTGCAGAATCTTTAGAAACGGAGGGCCAATATTCTTATAGAGAGGCCAGAAAATAAATACTGTGTCCTCCTCCTCCAGTGAAAGATTGCAGTTTCTCCCTACAACATTATCCTTCTCTTAATCTTGTTCCATTTGACTTTATGGCAATGTTGTTAGAATTCCAAAAACAAGTGGACTCTGCTGGACAGTTTTGATCTCAGGGAAAGAAAGAAAATGGGGGCTTATAGCCCCCCACCCCAAAGGGCTGTTGAATTTGCTCTTCTGAATGCTGTGAAACATTTTAAAAGGTGTTAATGTGTTCCTAGCTGATGCAGAATAAAAGAATAGGGCTGGCAATTAGGCCATAATTCAATTGTTGTTTTTAAAAAAATTTAATCAGCAAAATCAAAGTGAAATTGCTGTGATGCTGTGATTAATAATTAAACACACTGTGGCATATTGTCCAATTTCCTATATGTTTTCCTACTAATCTTTATGTAGGTAATGCACCTTAAATATATAATTATTTAACAGCTTGGAATGGCAGCAAAGGAGCCTCATGGCACAAAATATATAGTTTCTAATAATAGCTTTCTTGCTTTTTTGTATTTTTTTGTCATTTAATTAGTTGAATATTTACCAGAGGCACAAAATGGGCAGTTTTTGAAAAGGTCAATTAATTTTAATTTTTTAATTAGATATATTATTATGTACTTATTTAGGCTGAGTACTTGACAATATTACATACATTTATCGAAAGTGTTAAATGTCTTGGAGCTACTCAGTCAATAACTTGCACCAGGGGATATGATTTCCTCCATCTTTAATGTTTATTTTACATTTTTGAAAGGCACAACCCTCAGAAAAGAAAAGTTAATTTAAAAAAATAACTTATACAAAGCCAAATGTAAATGTTGGAAAAATTACTTCTGCTTATTGCTTTGGATTTTTTATTTAATAGAACATCCATATATTAATTCCCTGCAACTCCAGCTAAATTTTCTCTGATTCAGGCATGGCAAAAACATTTGCTTGAGGCTCAGGAGCAATCATTCCCGTCTTGGTGTCCATGAAGTTTCACCACCCATCCTTCCCAGCCACCATGACCATTGGTCAGAAATCCTGGAAGATACTCCAAAACTGCTGGAGAGGGCAAGGATTAGGAAGACTGTTGTGGAGTGATGATGATGATGATGATGATAATAATAATAATAATAATACATTTTATTGATTAGACCTTAAGCCATATCACAATACCAACCCAAACAACAACAAGGCTTGATAAGACTTGATTACATAAGTTAAAATAAGACACTTATAACAATACATTAAATAAATATGATACAACTGAATATTTATGTCATATTTCCTTATCATCCCTACAATATATCTGTTGTAGAGTATTTCCCAGAGTCAGAAATTATGGTTCCATGACTTGATTCCATAAGGGCAATTCATTGATTTTATTGTTCAAATCTGGTAGATGTTGCAAGGATCCTTTCTCACTGTTCAGTTGTAGTGCTATGATTTCAGTTTGATTTTCATCTCCACCTATCATCAGAGGCAGCCCTAGGTAATTTTCAATTGTAAGCAAACAGTATTTTGCCCCCCCCCCCAACCAATCACTGATATATATTTTCTGTTTGTCGTGGGAGTTCTGTGCGCCATATTTGGTTCAATTCCATCATTGGTGGAGTTCAGAATGCTCTTTGATTGTAGGTGAACTATACATCCCAGTAACTACAACTCGCATATGTCAAGGTCTATTTTCCCCCAAGAGCGCCTCAAGAGTGCCCCTGGGCAAAATCAACTATACTGCAAATGCTTACTTTGCGTAATGGGTTGAGCCGCCCCTGCCTATCATGGCCCATAATAGGTTGTCATGGAAGTTGTACTCCAAAACATCTGGAAATCTAATGGCCTCTCTTTCATGCCTGGGCTAAGGAAAAATAGGATTCTAGCACGGGCATAAAAACTCAAGTTGGGCTCAGTTTAAGTTGAACAATGTATGTCTAATGTTACTAGTGTAGGTCTTTGCAAAGTGGTTGTTTGGAGAGATCTTTAGCAGATGCTTGGAAAGCAGGAGAGATTTCTGTGTTGGTAACACCACTACTGTACTTTATACTGTCTGCATGGTCACAAATATATTCCTATAATTTCAAACAACAGGACAAGGAGATAACTTAAAAAAAATCTATGGTAGATTTTGTTGATTTTTTTCAGAGTGGAATTTTCAAAACGGGACAAACTCAGTGAAGGGTTGAAAGTAGTAACAATATTCAGTGTAGGAGACTAAGTTTTGAGATATCTGCCCAACTACTCAGGAGTAAATTGATTATTCTCAGTGAAGCTTATTTGCCTAATTTGGTTCTGGCGTTTTGACTGTCAGCTGTTGACTTGAGATAAATCTTCAATACTGGATGTGCTGGTTTGTTTTATTTATTTTATTTTAATTGCAGGGAGTTGGTAGCTTTTCTTGCCGATTTTGCTAACAAGATGACAAAATGGATAGGCCTGGAAAGGGTTTCGAAAAGGGTGCTGTGATTTCTTCCGCTATGCAGATCATTTTCTCTGTGGTGGTTTCCAGCAGTTTCACCTCAGGGCTTAATAGCCAAGGTTACGAGCTCACATTTGGACCGGAGCAACGCAAATCCCTCATTAGTGAAGCCCTCTTGGCCCCCAAACCCTCATCTTCCTTTCAGACCAGTGAGTCTGACTTTCCCCCTAATCACAGGAATGTTTTCCTACTTGTTCTCAAGCCCTCTAAGCAATGAGTTCAAACACTGACTTGAACCCCTTCCCCTACGGGTCCTCCTGACTTTATATTTACAGGAGGGTCCTGAAACAATTACCTGGCTGCATTCAGAAGGTTTCTCCATTGTTGTAAACAATGACACCACCAGATACTTTATAAGGGACACGGTGCAACCTGAGAGGGCTCTTTTCTTCAGGTTGCAGCACAGTGAGGTCTTATGCTGCTGGGCTGTTGCTCTCTCCATTATTAAGGAAGATCCACTTACTGCTTCCACCTCACACATTTGAAACAGCTGACATTAAATAGGTGAGGAAGGAGGGCACAAGGAACGGCTTCCAAGCCACAGCTCCTGCTAGTCCAGTTTGTTCTTTGTCAGTCTCAGGGGAAAGCTGCTAGGGTGTCCACTTCTGGAATTGAAAGGGGGAGAGCACTTCAACAGGCCCAATGTTTTCTTCATCTCTCAGTCAGAGCAGCCAGCTAGAACGGTCCAGCATGTTGGGATCGGCGGCACGCAGCAGTGCCGATTCCTTCCCTAGTAGTGTCCTGAATACAGCCAGTACAACTCCCCTCAACTTGAGTTCTGTTTTGGCCAAAGACGAGCGTATAGATCACATCAAGGAACAAGCTTTCAAGTCCTTTCGACTGAAGACGGAGAAATGGAATCGCTTCATTTCAACAGAAGAGAACCAAAAGGTCTTGCTGGATTTCTTGGATAAAGGTCAATCTCTGCGACTTGTTTTTTTCACTGGCCCAGGAGGGAATCTCTGTGTGGGCAGCGGGCAGGTAGGAACCAAAAAAAGGATACAGTGTGTTGGTATGTTCAGAAGTTGGAGAATCTTTGTTAGCATTGAGAGCCAAGAAATCACTCAACAGTGGTCACAAACTCATGTGTGATTCAAGATAGTGGGTTTTTTTTTGTTTGTTTGTGTTCAGATGGGGAAATTGGACAGGAAGGGTTAACTGAGTGGCTCTTATGCTCTTTTGGAGGTCAGACTCCGGGCCCTTCCACACAGCCACATAACCCAGAATATCAAGGCAGAAAATCCCACAGTATCTGCTTTGAATTGGGTTATTTGAGTCCATACTGCCATATATTTCAGTTCAAAGCAGATAATGTGGGAGTTTATTCAGTTGTGTGAAAGGGGCCTAGAATAGCTATCAAAGAAGAAGGTGAACATCTTGATTGCTGAAATGTTGACAATCAATAGGGAAAGGGTTATGGGGAAGTTTCATTTCAGAGTTGTTTGTATTTTGATGCAAAAATTAGCATATCTCTTAGAAAGAAGAATGTCATATTATTAAGGACTTTAAGAACAGGTTTTGCAACCTAAAACACAATTTCTAAAAAAAAAAACACCCCATAATATTCTTTCATATAAGATAAAAGAATTATTTTTTGTTGTTAAAAATAATGTGAACGCGTGCATGTGTGTGAATAAATTCCTATTATCTCCTGACTTGATGAGGGGAATGAACATGTCACAGCAGGTGAGACAAGAAAAATGTGCTGAACAGGAGAGTATTTTAGAAAAACCTGATGAGATAAACCTCTAGGTTTATAAAATGTATGTGTCAATCACTCGCTTAATACAGCAATACTCACTGTTTTTAACTGCTTTTCACTTTTTAAATATATGTTTCAAATGTTTAATGGTCACTTAATTATATTGTGTATGTTTTGCATGTCTTATGTATTTTATATCTGTTTAATATATTTAATTTGTAATTCATCTTAAGCTGCAATTCTGAGGGAGAATGCAGAATAACAATAAAGTGAACAATAGTAAGAATAATACAGGAACATTGAAGGGAAAATCATTCTATTTTTTCTGAAGGTAACTGTTATACAGAGAGCAAATCGATTCTGACATTTTTGCAGCCTGAAAGCAACTCCTCCACTCTCAAAAAAGCAGAGATGTTATTTTAACGCCAGAATGCATTGTAATAGTGCCAATGGAACAGGTATCAATAGTTAATCGAAGAGCATAGGATAGCTATTTACTGCAACACCTCAATTCCTTCAGACAGTAGGATCTCTGACCATTGTGGCTGACAGATTTTGAGTGTTGCAGTGTCTCTCTAGAAAATTTTTCTGTGTTGTATTTTTCTATACACAACACAGAAAATCATGTTGGGAGAAGCCACTAGCAAGTTAAATGTCTTTTCTCACTCAGGCACCTATTTCTTGGAAAACAAAATTCTTGTGTGTTTATCGAAAAATGCTGATTACAAAAGTGTCTCATTCTGGCTACAAGGAGGAGATTGAATTAGGAGAGGTTTCGTATCAACTACTTGATCAAGTTTCTGTCCTCATAAGCCAGGTAATGTCAGGCATGTGTCCACAGATCACTGTTTTCATTTAAAGGTGTCTGCATGTCATGTATGCCCCTATGATCCCATAGTCCCTTGTTTTCTCTTCTCGCCCTGCCCACCCCCCAATATGTGTTTCTCTCTCTCTGTGTGGGTATCTTTGTGTGTAATTGGAAGGGTAGTGGTGGTAGGCGAATGGGTCTATTGATGGTAATATGATCTACTTGATGCTTCTTGAATTTTTTCATAGTGGCTTTGGTGAAATAAGAACAGTTCACTATAAAGACTGCTGAGAAGGCCATCTCATCTTTCTAGTTAGCTTGCCAAAATGTGCTCCTTGTGCAAATATGTGTTATCAGCTGGCAAATATTTTGCTGAATAGTTAGAAAGGGAACTGTTTAAGTAGCTCAGCAATTTTAATGCTTAAATGGGGAAAAAGCTACAGGAAGTGACTTTAGCAGTTGTCTTCTTCTTACATTTCACCCACTACCTATTTGATAGGATTTGATGGGAACTAAACACATTTTGTTTTCTCAGATAGACTATAATTTGTTTATATACAAATTAACTTCCTATTACTTGTATACTTCCTGGCAGGTTCTGTTAGTCATTCTTTCCAACCAAAACAGTTATAGAAACTGGCCTCGAGCTGTACTAGAGGATGTCAGGAAGCATGTGGAGGTGTTAAGAAATACAGCCTATGTTCTGCAGGGACATATAGCAAGAAGAACTTACCTCCCCTTACCTGAGTTGATGGATCGCATTCATGATGAAGAGGCAATGTAAGTTTGGACTTTAGGGGAGCTCGAATGATCTCTACAAGATGTCCCAAGCACACTTGTGGGTGCTGCAGGGTCAATGAAGCCAGGATTCTCCAGCAGGAGAATGTTGACAGCCCTATGCAGAGATCTTAAAGATATAGATAGATATATCCTATGTATTTCCTTCTCTTACCCCTTTCCCCTTGTCTATATAAATAAAAATGTAATGTTCGTTTGTGGGATTAACAGAACTCAAAAACCAAAGGACAAGTTGACACCAAATTTGGACACAAGACACCTAACAACCCAATGTATGTCCTTCACTCAAAAAAAATGATTTTGTCATTTGGGAGTTGTAGTTGTTGGGATTTATAGTTCACCTACAATCAAAGAGCATTCTGAACTCCACCAACGATGGAATTGAACCAAACGTGGCACACAGGACTCCCATGACCAACAGAAAATACTGGAAGGGTTTGATGGGCAGTGTCCTTTGGTTTTGGAGTTGTAGTTCACCTACATCCAGAGATCACTGTAGACTCAAACAATGATGGATCTGGACCAAACTCTACACAAATACTCAATATGCAGAAATGTGAGCACTGGTGGAGTTTGGGTAAAACAGAATATTGACATTTGGGAGTTGTAGTTGCTGGGATTTATAGTTCACCTACAATCACAGATCATTCTGAACCCCACCAACGATAGAATTGGGCCAAACCTCCCACACAGAACCCCCCATGTGGGCCACAGCAACGCATGGCAGGGGACGGCTACTTTGTAATAATACTGCAAAAATTAAATTAAAACAAACTTGGCATTCCAGGATATGGCAGACTATCTGTGCTATCAAACACCGCTTTGTTTTGAGACGTAAAAAGGTAGATGTGACTAGTTGAACCTATGTTCAACTTCATAGGTTATCTATAGGCCTTTCATAAGACTTATAATGTATGTTGCTAAATGAAGAACAAAATACATGTGGTGCATAGTGTTGCACAAAAATAAGATGAAAGGGGAAATTGTTTAATCATCTTGGGATTCAGAGCTCCCATTACTTTGACCATTTGAGCTTTTATTCTGAATGTTCAAGATAACAACCAGATAGATAGATAATGTCTAATTTACAATCTGCCATTGTAAACCCTTATCCTGTAACAGTCTTTCATGCCTATGTAATAGGAGGAATGAAATCTGAACTCTCACTGAATATAAATAATTGAAGCCACAGGTCAAATAGTTACATGCTTCCAGGTGTGTTGTCTTCCCTCTTATTTGCCTTCCCATCCCATCTTTTCTTGGCTGCAGAATGTATTCTATAGAAACTCTCCTATTCACGTTGCCCCGCACCCCAATCTTTTTTGGCAACAGGACATCTTACATAGAATCCACTTCCCTGTATGCAGTTGAAACTATGATAATCCAGTGGACCCATCTGCTATCTGAAGTCTTAAGACTGGATTCTGCTCAGCTGGTTTTTCAGGGGGGAAACCCTGGACCTTCTGCAGAAATTCAATTTTGGCAGAGGCAAATGGATAACCTGCAGGGCATTTATGAGCAGGTAAGACTACTAGATCATGGTATACTACAGTGTTTCTCAATCTTCCTCATGCCGCAACCCCTTAATACAACTCCTCATGTTGTGGTGACTTCATAGCTGTAATTTTGCTACTGTTATGAATCATAATGTAAATATCTGATATGCAGGATTTCTTTTCATTTACTGGACCAAATTTGGCACGAATACTTGATACGCCCAAATTTGAATACTGGTGAGGTTGCGGGGGGGGGGGGGGGGGGGGGGGGGGGGGGGCAGCATTGATTTTGTAATTGTAATTGAGTTGTAATTGCTGGGATTTTTTAGTTATCCTACAATCAAAGAGCATTCTGAACTCCACTAATGATGGAATTGAATCAAACTTGGCACACAGAACTCCCATGGCCAACAGAAAATTTTGGAAGGGCTTGGTGGGCATTGACCTTGAGTTTTGGAGGTGTAGTTCATCTATATCCAGAGAGCACCGTGGACTCAAACAATGATGGATCTGGACCAAATTTGGTACAAATACTCAATATGCCCAAATGTGATCATTGGTGGAGTTTGGGAAAAATAGACCATGAGATTTGGGAGTTGTAGTAGCTGCGATTTGTAGTTCATCTTACAATCAGAAAGCATTCTGAACTCCACCAACAATAACACTGGGCCAAACTTCCCACACAGAATCCCCATAACCAACAGAAAATACTGTATTTTCTGATGGTCTTTGACGACCCCTCTGACACTCACCATGACCCCCCCAGGGGACCCAACCCCCAGGTTGAGAAACGCTGGTATGGTGGCTTAAGTGTTAGACTATGACTCTGGAGACCAGGGTTTGAATTTCTGCTTGGCCATGAAAACTTTCTCAGTGACCATGGACAAGTCACAATCTGTCAGCCTCAGGTGAGGGCAAAGGCCAGCAATCTATGGACAAATTTTGTTAAGGAAACCTCACGATAGGTTTGCACTGAGTAGTCATAAATCAGAAATGACTCGAAGACATCCACCACCACACCACCACCACCACCAACAGTCTTATAACTCTTTGGGAATTTTGCCAGTGACTTCTGAAATGCTCACCTTATTGCAGGATTGAGTAAATGACTAAAGTATAATGAAAAAAACTGACTTTCAGAACTGGTCTAGCTTATCTAGTGCTAACTATTCAAGGAAGTCCCTCAATCTGTCAGATCCTTTTCTTGCTTTATATACTGTATGTATTAATTGATTTAATATCCCATCTTTCTCTCTGCATGAGATTGAAGAAAGTTTACCTCTTTCCCATGCAACCTATTTAAAATATGAAATCCTGATTGAGGCCCATTCTGTCCAGCTCCAGCCATCCACTCTTCTTGGATAGGGAGGTCCATGGACGAGTGTTTCCTACCTGGGCAACTATCTGTCGCTTTGGCTTCTACATCTACCTCTTTCTCTAAGGACTCAAATAGCTTGGTTTTCTGACTCAGAAGCAGTTTGTTTTTGCTTACCATAGTACTGGTACAAAATGTTACATATCTTATTTTCATAGCTGCAAAGTCCAAAGATTCACAAAATAATGGAGCTGCTACAAAGAGCAAGAAGCAGCTACTACCCTGCTTTCAGTCTACTCATCATAAAAGTTGAAGAAGGTATGAAGCTGGATACATGTATGGAGAACTCTCAACGTATTTGTTCATTTTTATATTTTTAGTGCAATAATTCATGATTTCTTTCAGTAATAAAGGTAAAGGTTTCCCCTTGACATTAAGTCTAGTCATGTCTGACTCTGGGTGGTGGTGCTCATCTCAGTTTCTCAGCCGAAGAGCTAGTGTTTTCTGTAAACATCTCCAAAGTCATTTGGCCAGCATGACTGCATGGAGCGGTACCTACTGATCTACTCAGATTTACATGTTTTTTAACTGCTAGGTTAGCAGAAGCTGGAGCTAACAGTGGGAGCTCACCCCACTTCCTGGATTCAAACCTCCAACCTTTCAGTCAGCAAGTTCAGCAGCTCAGCGCTTTAACCCGCTGCACCATCAGGGCCCCCTTCTTTCAGTAACACTTGAATTTATCAACTATAGAGAAACGGCGGCATTGTGTGTGTACTCATATTTGATAACATGCTTGACTCAATGGCCCACATCAACGATTCATCTCATTAGCACAATGTCTCAGAATGGGATAGTTAAACTTTATGGAGCAAGACTTTACATTGATCCAACGAAGGCTGCGGACCATATACTGTTCTTGCATTCAGCATCTGAATCAATTCCAAATAAAGCTCCTTTATATAAACTGTTGGTATTTATTTTCTGGTTTTTTTCCAGCCGTTTCTGAAGCTCAAGATATTTGTTTGTATCTCAGCCCCTTGAAACACTACATTGCCTACTTGGAAGAATCCAGCTTCCCAAACATTGAACGTCTCATTGCACCCCTTTTCCATACCATCTGTCTGACCTGGACCCATTCCAAATATTACTGCTTCCCCAACAGAATTGTTGTCCTGCTACAGGAGTTTTGCAATCTTCTAATTGACAGGGTAAGGAAAATGTATTTTGCGCGTTTCAGTTAGCAAGTTATACGTTTCTTTGATAAAGGATTTAAATACTGACATCTGCCATATTAAGTTGTCATTTATGAATCTCAGTTAGTGTGCACAAACTATTTAATTATGCCCTCTTTAGTGGTCTGAGCCTTGATTTGCCTTGCTGAAAGGCCAACCTTTGTTCTTTTTCAAAACGTATTTTCTGCCAATATTTCGCCTCTTATTATATTGTATTTACCAAAAAAATGTAGTATCTGCTTATTCTTATAGAAAAGATAGGTGAAAATCCAGTCATTTGATCTTCCTTTTTAAAAAGTTCTGGATCATAAAAATAATTGAACAAGCACAAGAATGTTAATTCAGCAGAAATGTATGATCCAGATTTTCAAGTGTGGCTAATTATTTATTTAATAAAAACCATGGCATTTTAAGGAGCCCTAGTGGACAAATTGTTTGTTTGCTTGTTTATCTGTACTTTAGAATTTTTATGTCATTTTTGGGTTCCGCAATAAAAAGGAGGCTGTCCAGACGATGTCCTGGACAAACTTGAATTGATCCGCCACAAACCAGGGAAACCCTAGTGGCCAGTTGCCACATTTACACTTGCCTCAAGCAGAGAAGAGCTCTTTCTCCCTCCCTGGACATTCCACAGATCTATAAACCCCACTTGCCTAGTTTCCAACAGACCTCACAACCTCTGAGGATGCCTGCCATAGATGTGGGTGAAACACCAGGAGAGAATGCTTCTGGGACATGGCCATACCCGGAAAACTCACAGCAACCCAGTTTTTCACATGGTTTAGCAATTCCTTTAAAATAATATTTTTACAGAAAAAAATTCCAGAAATTCGATTTATGTCTCAAATGAGGGTCTGAGGGATATGACTATATCTGATATTGATCATGACTGTAGGCATGGTTTGAAACTTTTAAATTACATGCAATTATTTGTTGAAAAAATGTCAAGAAATGGGGAAAAAAATCTCCGCATTCCCCTACATGACCTTCCAAAATAAAATGTGAAAATAGCACCCTTGCTATATTTCAGGGGAAGGAAATGGCAAAACTACTTCAGAGGGTTTCTTGCCTAAGGAAACCCTATACAATTCATGAGGTTGCAGTGACCTGACAGGCGACTTGAAGGCTCACACAAAGAAACATAAGTGGCAAGCAGAGCTTTCTCATATGTCCCTTGCTTTGCTCTTGGCAAGCAGACTGAGAGAAAGGATGAACCCACCTAAAACTTCATTTCTTCTTTTCCTTTCTGCTGGTTTTGTCTTCTGTACAGCTATTATATATTATTAAATTGCAAACGCCTTACAGCTAATAAACAACAGGAGGGGGCAGGCTTAAACTGGCAAAAAGCAAGGAAGTCGGGCTAGCTGCTTTTGAGTCTCTGCATGCACAGAAAATGTGGCATGTAAGAGCAGGAAAAAACACCCTGGGTTTGGATGTCCTTCTGCCGGAATCAGAAAAGAGCAGCCACCCGCATTTAACCCTCAGCTTCCTGGCAGAGCATTGTTGATGTCAGACAGTTGAGACGCGCATCAAGTGGCATTCAGTGTTAGAATTGTTGCTGATTGCAGATTTTTTTTCCTTTTCGGAAACAATTTAACTCGTTTACTATTCTTGGCAGCCAATCACTGTAATGCTATTAAAGTTCTTGACAGAGTTCATATTTTGACACCCCTCCCTCCCAAAATGGGGTAAGTCATTACATTTATGTACCCAAAAATTAGCATAAAATGTTAGTCAGAAGTATTCCTAGTGGAAGTGGCAAATGTTTTGCAGCAGACCCATCTCCCACCAGGCCCTTGAAAGACTTAATAAAAGATAGGCTAAATCAAAATCATGCTGAATGTCTAGAAACAATCAGATTTATGGCAATTTTAGAGAAAGCAGGAGTAAATGTGTTGTAGTGGTTTGTGAGCTGGGCTATGGGAGGTTCTACATAGATACTTTATCTCAAGGTTGATGTAGAGTTTCAAATTCTGGATCGACCTTGGGATAGTTTTTACCATCAGCCCCCAGTTTGCTGCAGAGGTGGGAAGGAATTCTGGCCACCCTTACCGTCTTCTTCCTGTTATTGTTGGCTGAGGAGCCATAACAATGCAGGAGGAGGGAGGGATGTAATGAGGAATCTCTCCTTCCTGCCTGCCTTCCTTGCAGGGCCGTAGCCAGAAATTTTTTTTGGGGAGTTTTGAAAATTTCGGGGGGGGGGGGTTGAATTTTGGGGGGGGTGAAACCTGCCTCCTAGCTCACCCTGAAGCAAAGAGCACAGCAGGGGGCAGAGCAGCCTTCAATAGCCTGCAGCTCCGCCCCTGTCAACCACCTCCAACAAGTCTGGCCTCCTTAATGAGAGCATTCAACACCCCCCCCCTCTACAACTTGGTTGCTTCGCTACATCGGCTATTGCTGCAAGTAATGACAGTGTGAATAAATTGTCAATATTTGCTTGAGATAGTGCTTGCAGTTCTGGAGGGACTCTTAATTTTTGCGTCTCATAGACTTAGCATGGGGATTTGGTTAACCAGTTAAAATTCATGAGTAAACCAGGGTTTTTTTTAACCTGAAAAATTTCGGGGGGGGGGGGTGAACCCCTAACCCCCCCCCTCCTTCCTTCCTTCCTTCCTTCCCTCCTTCCTTCCTTCCTTCCTTTTTTGCTCCCTTGCCAGTGTCATGCCAGATGACCAGCAACAGATGCTAGTCATGTCCCACCCAGTGGTTGCCGCTAACTCAAGCAAGAGAAGGGACATTTAATGACATCCCATGTTCGCAGGCTGCATGAGCCTAGGGAATATGGGATGGCCATGTAAATAGTAGTAATGTGCATTCGGGACTTACCTTGATCTGTTTCAGTGGGGCCCCTGCTCCTTTTTCATCTGAGTCTTCCGAAATTGGGAGGTCAGATATTTGTTTTTTGTTTTCTGGACCAAAAGATCCACTTTTCTTCTACCCATTATTGTGTGTGTGTGGGGGGGGGGGGGGACTTCACCCATAGGCCCAAAGTGTCCAGGCCTATGAGTGCAGGCTTTGAGCCAGGCTCAGGTGCATAGGACCAAAGTGCCAGGGTGCCTGCAGCCGAGTAAGGAGCGATCCTTACTTGGTGCTCAGCTGCACTGCAATCAATCTCAAAAGTAGGCTTGGAGCTGGTACCTGCTTCCACCTGCCTTGTGTATCAATTACATTTTTGTTCCAGGAGGGGCCTTTCCATTTTGTGCTGTCCAAATGGTGACGATTTTTAACCTGGTAAACTGTTTTTATGTATTTGCGGTCAAATAAAATCTTGTCTTCAACGATAAAATAGTCTATTTTGTGAACGCCTGATCCCATAGCCAGGATTTAAGTTTCTTCCGGAAGGTCAAGAGGGAGGGGGCAGATCTAACCTCATTAGGGAGGGAGTTCCACAGTCGAGTTCATTCCCACTTGGGCTTCTTTTCAGATAACCTGGGTGCTGTGAGTAATGAACATGGTGAAATGTTTCATCAAGTCATTGCCAAGATGGAGAAACGGTATCAGGGAAAGTGTTAGGTCACTATTGTTGGACTCTTGTCCGCAAAGCATTGGACAGTGATTACAAACAAAAATGTGTTTGTACAAACGACATTTTTAGTGGTGTTTCCTGATGACACCATTACTATCATAGCGTATCTTGCTATCAACATGCAATACTTAGGATGTATCACCTTTTTCTGGAAAACTATGTGACACAGACATCATAAATGCATAGTTATGTTCAGCATGTTAAAATAATATTGGTTCACCCATAATTATGGAGGAAACAAAATATTCCCCAAAATTTGTTGATTTTATTTTTTTATTATCTTTATTTATATCCCACCTTTCTCCCCGTGAGGACTCAAGGAGGCTTACACTCCATACTAGGCAAATTTAAAAGGTGCAATACAAAAGATTAAAAAACGAACAAATTAAAAGCTACTATTAAGTAGTAGTAATGTGGTTAAAAACAAAATTAAAATACGGTAGATGTACTAAAATGTCATTTAAAACTCATAGTGAAATTAATAGCCAGGAAGCAGAATATTGTAGTAAAATCCAATATTCTGATATGCACTCTCCCTATATTAGTGGTTCTCAACTAATCGTTAGAGGACACAATAAATCCCAGTCACCTTGACCAGTGATAAGGAATGTCTGGTGGTTGGGTTTCGGATTATATTTAAAAAAATAACTTTAAACTGACGTTTAAAAACGTCATAAATATTTTCAATGGGTTGTTCCTTTTCCATCAAAATAGGCATTCTCATTTCTAATCCCTGAGGAGACCTTCACAATGGACCTGGGAGAGGGAATAGAAAAAATTAAACTGACAATACAGACATTCAGAACCTTCAAGACGACCTTCTCTACTTATCAAGAAAAACTTGCTTGTGATCATAGTAATCAAGACAGTGTGAAACCGTGGGAGTTCCCTTCTGATTTGGTGTTTTCTAGATTTGACAAGATCCTTCAGAGGCTGCGGTACATTGAGGTAATGTATATTAATATTAGTGCTTAATAATTTGGGAAGCTTGATCTCAGAGCCTGGGCCTGTGTCTCCAGTTTCCATAGACCATCTCCTGGTGGGGAATGAAGTGTATATTCTCCAGTTTTGTTGGATTCACAAAGTGTTTTGTGCAAATCTTCAGCATGGATCATAGCTTAATGGATTTGTTCCTGTAACTTGCAAAGATTCTCCATCAAGCCTGTCTAGGTTAGTGTCCTTCTTTCTCCCAGTTTTCATGGTGTTAAATCTCATCCTCCATTCTGCTTTGCATCCTCGGGACTACACATTGTAAATAATTTCTTAAAATCTAATCTCATTGTTTCTTCTCAGTTCTATAAAATGTATAACATGTTGACTACTTAATAATACACAGGGTTTTTAAAATGAAAAATTGTTAATACAATTTGACCCCTGTATGTGTGTTCTCATATATTGAGTGGATACATTAAAACAGCAGATAATAGCAAACCCTATTATTTTCAATGGATGGAGGTACCAAGAACAATGGATAGGAGGCCCTAAGTGAACAAATGAAACCTTCGATAAGTGAAACTGCATATATTGTTTTGACAGGTATAAACACTGTATATGTGGCATGTTTTAATATCACTAAAAAAGACACTAGGGTAGGTATTGAGTTCCTAATTAAACATGTTTTAACTCAAAGGAGATATTTACATCAGCTATCGACTTCCTCAAGTTAGAAAAAATTGAAATTGGGGGCTTGAGAGGAAAGATTCTCAGCGAAGAGGTTCACTGTATGAATGAAGAGTTTCATGAAAGCTGGAAGGCACTCCAAGAAAGTAAATATGACCCACTGGACTATGAAAACCAGGTAACTATTAATCTAACATGAGTGATTATTTCATTTCCAGGTACAATTCAAAGTGGTGGTTATGACCTTAAAGTCCTATATGCCCAATTTTCAGTCTGGCAAACTCTACTTAAGCACTAGCCATAGTTACACAGAGACTACCATTCAAATAAAGACCAAATAGTCTAATACATTATCATATAAACAGCACACATTTATAGGCAATGTGCTAGCCTTGAGGTTCCTCAACATGAGTCTGTGGACTAGAGATGAGGGTCAGGTCCTGAGAGTTGGGAACCCTAATTGCCTGTGGTCTTTTGGCTCAGAGTAACAATAAATCATATAATAAATGTTTAACTCTGAGGGTCACAATCCAGCACTTTCATTTTCTTATTTTTTTTATTTTTTTTAACTAAAAATGCCTTTGTATCCTTGGGTTGTGGGAACCCTGTATATCCCAATTGATGCCTTTGTTAAAAGCAGAATCACATTTTATATTCTTTCTGTGTAAAAAAAGTGTGTGTATATGGGGGACCTGCCAATCATAGAACTGTCCAGGATAGAAAATAAGGCATTTTTAAAATCTATATATTCAGAATAGAGGGGTTGGGACCATGCAGGCTTGACTAACAACTTTGGAGACTGCATCTATATAAATAAAAATGTAATGTTTGTTTGTGGGATTAACATAACTCAAAAACCACTGGACGAATTGACACCACATTTGGACTTTAAAAACACTGAAAAAAACAGCAGAAGAGACTTAAAAGGCCAAAAAATAAAAAATACCTGACAACCCATGTGCAAAACGATATATATATATATATATATATATATATATATATATATATACACATATATATATACACACACACACACAAATATATATACACACACACATATACACACAAAGCACATTTGTTATTTGTTATTTGTTTTATCTAATGTTTTAATTGGTTAAAGGGTTTTACATGTGTGTTTTAACTGTAATCTTGGACGTGTCCCTTGTAAGCCGCCCCGAGTCCCCTAGGAGAGATGGTTGGAGGGGTATAAAAATAAAGTTGTTATTATTATTATTATTATTATTATTATTATTATTATTATTATACACAGACTGGGCCACAGCAATGTGTGGCAGAGGATGGCTAGTATATCGTACAATGCATACTTTTCCGCCTTTAAAAAAAATGACAACTCTCTCCACTTTTTAAAACTTGAGGCACTAAGAGTTAAAACACAGATCTTTTGCATGCAAAGTGGCAAGATGGTTCTTTTCAAATGAAGGAAAGTCCTGCTTTTCTCCCATAGAGCCAGATCCATGACAAGGAATAGAAGTTGCCTAAGTGCCAGCTTGGGTTTTCAGGTGAAATAAGGAACAGGACTCCTATTTCTGGTTGTGCAGAAGATAGAATTTCAGCAGGTGTCACATCCATGAGAACAAAACTTGCTGATATTTTCTCTTCTACACAATAATTGAAAAAAGAGTGGGCAATGAGGGTCATCCACCCCTTCAGAATCTAAAACAAGTGGCCAAAAATCTAAGTCTCATTTTAAAAATCAGTATTATTTGTTCTATGTACAGAATTTGGGCCTAATTGTTGTTGTTATTTAAAGCAAACATTTTAAAAGCAAATTGTCTCTTCTGGATGTCTCCAAGAGAAGGAATTTATCCCTTTGGGGGACAGAGCAGGAAAAAAAGGCAATTCAGAGAGTCTGAAGAAATGGAGAGCCACAAAAAGGTCTCCACTTCACCCAACGCTGTATTAAAGAACACAATCCCTTATTTCACTAGCAACCCTATGCCCAATTGGACACAAATGCAAATCATGATCTGCATGTATAGACATATGATGTATCTGAACTAATGCTTGGATAGGCATGACCATTTTGACCTGGCTAGACTTTGGTTTGAAAGAAATTAATTAATGGTGCTGTCTAACTGAATGATTGCAACTGCAAACTGAAATTAAAGGCTCATATTTCCTATGCAGGAATTTCTGTCTGACTACACAAGATACATTCAGCAGATTAATGAGTTTGATAACCGATTGGGAACAATACTAAATCTTGCCTTTCAGGAGCCAAAGGGATTGGAATCGGCTTTTAAGGTAAGGGTTTTAAGGATCTATTGGGTACAGATTAAATCATGCTAGAGTTCCATTTCAATTAATGGCACAGAAGCCTATTCATTTCAGTAGAACTAAAGCATAACTGGGTCTGGATCCATCCTTATATCTATATCAGTCCAACAACCCTATCTAGAGTGAATTCATTGAGAGCAGTAGAACTTGCGTAGTAAGTCCTATTCATTTCAATGGGTACATTCTTCCTGGGACTGACATTGCATTTATCTATTCTAGATCTAGCTGTGAGTTGAGTGTATATGTGTAAAGGTCTATATTTTGTACCTTAAGGCATCACATACTTGAGTGTATGATATAGCTAATTTATTATGTCACATATGCTTGTAGCTAGTACAATTAATTTAATTGGCCCCTACTGGGAGCAATGATAGGTGCTTGAAGAAGGCACTCCAAATACTGTCCTTGAGACTTCAAATATATCATATATTTATAGCTCTGCATTGCATTCAAGGCTGTTTTAAGAGTACCTTTGTATTTTCTATCCGTACTGAGCAATTCTTTTCTGTGCCTTTCCTCCCCTCTCCTGCTATGCACAGTTGATATGGGAATTAAATTTCAAAGGTGAGAGTTAGGATTCATGTAGAATATTGACTACGGACATTTTCTATCCTGTTCTTTTGGAGTGTTATTTGGCTACGGGCGTTAGTTCTGTGAATACATAGATAACACTTTTGACTACTATGATATCAGAGCACTATATTATATCATCATTATCCCCATTTTGCAGAACAGAAAACTGAGGATGGGAAAAAAGATTATTATCCAGGTACCTACTGGATTTCTGTATCCAAATGCAGCATCCTGTCCATATCGAGGCAATATATACATATATATTTTTCAGATAGTCTGAGACAAAAGCAAATGGAGCCATTATATTTTTAGTGATGAAGTGGAAGCCTATACTATTCACAAGTTGTGTGAATTTAGCCTCACAAATACCATTAGAGCCAATAGGGGTTATTTAAGTGGCAATTGTATGGTTAGAACTTTTGCAAAACCTTTGAAAATCTAAAGGCAAGTAACAATCTGTAGAGTGAGGGAAAACTAAATATAAAGTATCCGAGGATAGCAACTGCATGAGAAAATTAGGAAAATATCTCACAAAATGGAAAAGCTGATGGAAAAGAAAGATGGATGGGAGGAAAGGTGATGGCTGAATCGCCGAGTTGGGTAAGACTCTGAAAGAGAATTCATAGGGTTTCAGAAAATACAATTTCATCAAAAGCCAAAGGAAAATGAAAAGGAAGACAGCAGGTGTAATTGCTGTGAGGAATAGTTTCCTGCTGAGACAGGAGAGTTTTACCATCAGCTCTGTAAGAAAACATCCAAGCAAATACAATAAACATAGAAATAAATGTATCATGAAATCAAGAAGGTAGGACAAAAAGACTTGACATATGCACTGGAGAAGAGGCAGAGCAAAGGGTGAATAGGATGACAGTGGGAAAAGAGAAGTGAGAAAATTACATCTCCATGGTGCCCTACAGGAACAGGGGAAGAGGACAAACAAGAGGATAAAGATACTTAGCATGTAACTGGAAGAGTATATTTATGAACAAACTATAGGAAAGAGAGGAGAAAGGAGGGAGTTGTCATTGTCTGTCTTCAAGTCATTTATGACTTATGGTGATCCTAAGACCAACTCATCCCTAAGTGTTCTAGGCAAGATGTGTTCAAAGGGGATCTGCCTTTGCTTTCCTCTGAGGGAATGTAACTTGCCGACGGTCACCCAGTAGGTTTCTGTGTGGAAGTGGGGATTCTAATCATGGTCTCAAGAATAATAGTCCAGCACTCAGTCCAGCAAAAGAGAGAGAGAGGACAACGATCACATCTGCGTTAGTTTATCAGGGGTCTGAAAGCCCTCTTTTGTAAAGTTCATCAGTTCCATGAAAGCCAAGTATCAGCATGATTCTTCATTCACAAAGATGTCCTGAGATTGTTTGGAGAACTATAATTGCAGAAGTTATGTATCATAACTAGAGAACGTAGGAAAATTAGCTCACCAATAGGTTGCAGTCTATCAATAGCGCATCAACCTATTTATTTATTTATCGTATCAGAAGTGAACCAATGTATTTGAGAAAACACAAAGTTTAAAACTTGGCATTGTGCTGGTACGGTTGTACCAGGAGCTCCAACTTTATTTCTTTCTGTTAAAGTTTGCAGTTATAGGGCAGGCCTCCCGTCTATCTTAATTAAGCTTTGGTTCTGCCCCTTGTTCAGGTTTCTGGGAGGGAAAGGAGCCATTTTTTGGGCAGTCTCACACAAGGTAGCTAAGCTATAGGACGTAGACCAGCTCGTCCCGTAGAAAAGCTGCCTTTCTTAAGAGCTTCCAGGGGAAAAAGGAGCATCCAGGGAAAAAAGACCATTCAGAGAAACTGACCATCCAGCGAAACTGACCATCCAGGGAAACTGATCATCCAGAGAAACTGATCATCCAGGGAAACAGATTTACTGAACTCAGCTGAAATATCTTCAAGCCTCAGCCGGTAAGGTCTGCTCGATACCCAGACACACTTGGATTCGGTAGTAGCACCCACACCGATGAGGCATAGATAGAAAGCAGCCTGTGAGAGATTAAAAAGGGTTTTTCCTACAGAGAAGGTTCAGTTGATACCTACAGAGTCAGGTACCAGTCCATTGAAGACTAGACTAAGAAAGCCGTATCTTGGGAAGTCTGATCTAGACTAAGAAAGCCGTACCTTGGGAAGTCTGATCTGGCTACAGTGGTCCACGCCCTCGTTACATCCTGAATAGATTACTGCAACGCACTCCATGTGGGGTTGCTTTTGAAGACTGTTCAGAAACTTCAATTAGTCCAGCTAGATTACTCACCGAAGCATCATACAGGGAGCATACCACCCCTCTGTTATGTCAGCTCCACTGGCTGCTGATCCAATTCCGAGCACAATTCAAAGTGCTGGTTTTGACCTACAAAACCCTATACGGTTCCGGCCCAGCGTATCTGTCCGAACGCATCTCCTTCTACGTCCCGCCTCGGAATTTCAGATCTTCTGGGGAGGCACTGCTCTTGGCCCCACCTCTATCACAAGTGAGATTGGTGGGGACGAGGAGCAGGGCCTTCTCGGTGTTGGCCCCTCACCTGTGGAAACTCACTCCCCAGGGAAATTAGGTCATCGACATCCCTCCTCTCCTTTAGAAGGAAATTAAAAACCTGGATTTGGGACCAGGCCTTCGGGTAATCTGGCGGATAGATAAGGCACAAGCGACGACCAGAATTGTTGGATTGGACAATGTGGAATTTGAATTTACGGACTCTGAGATGATAAACGTTGAGCACTAGATTGTTTTTAGGGACTGTGATATATAATGGATTGTTTTAATTGTTTAATTATTGTTTATATGTTTTATTTCTTTGACCTTGTTGTTGTGCCGGCATCGAATTGTGCCTTTTTGTAAGCCACCCTGAGTCCTCCCTCGGGAGTTGAGAAGGGCGGGGTAGAAGTGCAAGAAATAAAATAAATAAATAAGTGTTGTTTGAACCATTGAAGATTTGTTGTTTGTTCCATAATAAAGACTTTGTTGTATCATTAAAGACTCTAAAGACCATCACTTCAGAAAAATCCCTGAGAACCTCTCTTTGAGGTGCCCTGGCTTCCCGCTGGGCTTAAAGTATACGTCCTATAGAAAAGTACAGCTGTTACAGGCCCAGCGCGCAACAGAACAGGCATCCTATTAAATGTCTTTTGACCAGTAGTGCCTCTGGTGCTGCTATAAGAAGGTCCCCTATTGTGCATGTGGCAGGGCTCAGATTGCATTGTAGTAGGTGGTCTGTGGTTTGCTCTTCTATCAACCTGTTACAATCAATAGGTTGCAATGCAAGTGGAGATAACTGATTAGTATATTCTAGCATTGGGCCAAAGGGGCACAGCTTAAATTTCAGGGAACTCCAGGGCAAAGGAACGGGTTCCCCTTCCTGGTGGGGAGGAATAGATTTGTAAGAGCTCTCCTAGATGTGATGGAGGTACCTGAGGTCACTGTTTTACTAACTTTGCCTTGATTGGAGTCAATTCAAGGTGAAGGTAACAGTGGCCAACTGCCTGATAACAGGATAAATTTTTGCATTAAGCCTGAAACAATGTGTTTAAAAAACTCACCAGAAAGTGCAGAATAAGCTAGAAAATCTGCTGCAGTTGATCAGAGTACGTCCCATGCAGGGCTTGAAACTGTGCTGATGGATATGCTCATCAGCACACCTCAGTGTGCTGACTAAGGAAAAAACCCTACATTTTTTGCAGCTGTCTAGTTGCAGTTACTGTGGTTCCTGGGTTTGGTAGCAATCCACATTTGGCAGATATTGTAACCACCATTCAACCCTCAAACTGGTTCCAGAGGCAATTCTGTAGGCACTTTGCAGCAAACTGGTTCTCTTTAATTTGCTTCCTAACTTGGTTTAAGTGGCTGTATAGAACTGCCCTATATTGTCAGTCATTATTAGGAGGAGAGTTCAATGGGCATTTCATCAAACAGTTCAGGTCCAGACTACCTGACAAACCGCCTCTCCACATATTAAGCTGCCCAGATGCTGTGGTCATTAAGGGGAGGCCCTCCTCTCTATCCCACCTCCGTCTCAGACCTGGTGGGTGGGGACAAGAGAGAGGGCCTTCTCTGCAGTTGCCCCCCATCTCTGGAACTCTCCCCCAAAGGAAATTAGAATGGCCCCTTTGCTGCCCTCTTTCAAAATGGTTTTAAAATGCACTGATGCTCCCACTCATATGAAGAGCCTAACATCTGAAGATCTGGCTTGTTAAATAAGGACTGCCTTACAAGATATGACTTAAAACTCTATATGTGACTTTTAACCTTGTTTTACTGTTTTAATGCAGTTTGTGTAATTATGCTTTATTGATTTTATGATTATTTAATTTATGATTGATTGTTTATATTACCCATTTGCTTTGCTTATTATGTTATGTTGTTAGCTGCTCTGAGTCCTCATCGGGAGAGGGGGAGGGATACAAATAAAGTTTTGATTGATTGATTGATTGATCATAACTTGGCTGGATATTGGGATTGTATGCAAAGTTTATGCAGGATGGATGGGTATTCCAGATTCCCTAATACCAATGGTAATCCTCCAGCCATTCAAGGATTTGGTCTTGGATTTGTTAACTTTTAAATGAATGTTTTTAATTTATTGTTTAGTTAATGTTTTAATTGTGGTTTTATTGCTATTGTTTGTGTGGCATTTAATGATTGCCGGTTGTAAGCTGCTCTGAGTCCCCCTTCGGGGGTGAGAAGGGCAGGATATAAATGTTTGAAATAAATAAATAAATACATACATACATATAACTCCCATACGTATAACCACTTGAGGAGATGTACTATATACTGAATGCAATCAGTCATATGAATGGAATGATTTTCAAGAACGTTCAGACCAAGCAGATATTTCAATCACAGCAGTATAAGATTCGGTTCAACAATTTAGCCAATAGTTTTTCTATTTGGGTGCAAAAGTGAAAATTTGTTTCTCTGAAATGCTAGATAAAGCTTTTCCACAGCTATGTCTTTCAGACGAATAAAAATACTTTTAAAAAATGTTACATGGGAAACATGCAGTTTAATTTGGGTAAGTGAAATATTAACATAAAGTTTGTGGATAGCATAATAGTCAATGGATTCCGATTGTTAAATTTTGTAACCAATGAAAAAAACCCACAAATGAGTATTATAAATAGTAATAATAATAATAATAGTAATAATAGCAATAAAATACACAGGAAAAACAAACTGTAAAAGGTGCACAACAGAAGGACAAACAGCAGGGAAAATACAGGTAAAGGGCTTGAATTGGTGCCAAAAATGAGAAGGCACAACAGAGATAAATAAAACACATGGCAAAGATGCAGTATAATAAAATGCTGTAATTTGGGCTGTCAGCATGAGAGTGTAGAGAGTTCACGATAGTAGGGAGTGAGTTGCTTTTATAAGATATTTAACCACAACCACTAGGAGAAGCGGCTGCTGTTTGTATTCAAATAAAGCAACCATGCTATTGAAGAAAATGATATAAAATCACTTCTATAAACTTTGGGTTCCATTTGTTGAGTCTGCCTACCAGACATCTGCATTTTACTTTTTGATGACTGCATTTCCTGATATCACATAAAAGGCTCTTCCCAGCGTTTCCAAAATAACACAGTTCTTGCATATGGGAATTTGTTGTATTCGGGCACAGTGAATTATCGCTGCGATATCCCATTCAGATTCCCCACTTTTCTGGGATTCAACTGAACATGTGATTTGAGATGCATAAGGACAGAGACATATATGTAGGTTTCTTGCAAAGTGAGGATTAAAAAAACAAAATACCCCTCCCTTCCCAAGGTCAAACTGCGGTCTCTAGCTGGATCTGTCCTCCTTATAATTTCTATGTGCAAATATTAAAAGTTGTTCATACTTTCACACATTTTATCATTTAAAAATCTTGCTTGTTTGCCTGTGTTTTAGATCCTACCAGAGGTAGTAGAATCCTGTTATATTATCAACACTTGATGACTATGAAACAGTAGTAAAAGTTTGTTATTGAAAACTAGACCTCAAAATTGTGAATTATGTGGCTCCACTGAGACATACAGCAAGTCCCTTTGTCCTGTAGTAACCTTTTATAAATTTCCCTTGGATTGTTGCTCACTGTACCCTGGATCTCAGGATGTATCCTCATGATTATCATAATCCCCTCACAATGCCCTGGGAAGACACGTGGGGCACACAATGGGATTGAACAAGACCCTCCCTGATATTATCTGATTTATTCCTATGAATGTTTCCTCATTCCTGTCAACAAATTGGACCCCTCCCTGAGGCTCCCATTGAAATGACCAAATCTTCTGAGTACCCTTAGTCTGCTAGACTATATTAACTTGTATTAACAGGAGTTGAGATAGCAAAACAATTTCAGTCCGTTATCGCTTACACCTACGCATTCCTTTCCAATTGTGCCCATCTCCTGGGCAGATCAATAAACAGACACAAATCTTCAAAATAATCCAATGACAGTTTATTAAGCTTTCCCATCATGGTGGGGACCAACCAGCAATGACATTGAACAAAGCCCTGGACAAACCAGGGAGCGGATCCTAGCCAAACACTTTCTGGACCAATCGGAAGCTATCAAAACAGTCTTGAATAGTTGTCAAAATGCTATAAATAAACAGTATATCTGCAATTTTGGTATGTCCATTTTTTGGAGTGCTGTGTCTGCTGACATCTCCTTTGGCCATTGAGAAGAAAAAACCTCTGATTTTCCCTTCAACCCGTCTGTGTTTCATCTGGCCTTTGGGAAAGCTTGACACACCCGGCTCCAAACCTGCAGTTCTTGTGGAAGCTGAAATTACACAACAACAACAACAACAACAACAGGTTTATGACATCAAAGATATCAACTTATTTTATATAATGAATTGGATCTGTAACTTTGTATTCAGTAATCCTCCCATAGCCACAGATGCCCCCATTAATCCAAAATTTAAACATAGATTTGGTTTTTTTGTATAAGGGATATCATTTTAATATATCATTGTATAATGAGAGTTGAACATTATGGATTTTGTATCAATAAAAATCAAACTTACTATACTAAAAATCTTTGAAATGAATGAGACTTAAGTTACTCATGACTAATGTCCATTTATATGGATTATGAACACAAAGCCTACAAAAAAAAATCTGGAAATTACAACAGGGCTGCAAGTTTTCAATTTGAATCTCGAATATATCAGAAAGTCATGCAAATGTTTCAGCCAATCATCCCAATAATCAGAAACACAATACTAAGGAGAAAGTATAGAAATTTGTTTTTTATGTGCTTTGAACTTCTTCATAGCATAATCTTGTTAAGTTCCATTGTGGTCCATAAACTTAATTGCTATGTGAGTGTGAATTTAATTTATGAAGGCAAGATATTACATTACTAATGCTGAACCAAACATCACACACACATTGTATTGTGTGTGTATATGTGTGTGGTTGTGCATACATTAAAATTAAATAACTGGAGATATTCTTGCTAACAGTTGATTTCATGTGAAAGTTTCTTCTTGCATTTGAGAAAATTTAAAGGAATAGAAAGACATGAATTTGGTAATAAAATGTGCTTACACTGAACAACAATGTCTCTAAACACCATTCAAACATTAGCACACAGATGATATTCATTGAAAATAAAACACTTAAAAATCATGCTACTTGAAATTTTAAAAAATTGAGGAAAACTGACATATGCTACTATTCCTGTGAGTTAACCACACAATTTCTTTACAGATTTTGCAGATATTTGGGAAACTTCTGGAGAGGGATGTCATATATTCTCATTTTTATCCCAATGTTGCAGTTCTTCTTTCAATGTTTGATGAGGAAATTACCTGCTGCAAGCAAATATTTGACAATCAAATACAAAAAGTGGGTAACAGCTTTTGGCATTCTAATTTATTATTACGCATTATTTACCTATTTATGGAGATGTTACATTTATTTTCTCCTTGGCGAATAGCTGTTAAGTCAAGATGATTATTATTTTGTATATTAGTATAAACTGGGGGTGGGGGAACCTAAAAGTTGTTAATTTTCTTTCTTATATACGTTTTGAATCTGTGATGTTATTGTCTGGCAGGTCCATGATGGACATGTATTAGAATGCAAGATCTTGTTGGTAATGTATTTGAAAAATTGAGATGATATGAGAACAGACTCCCCAATAACATTTCATGGATTTGGGGGAATGGGTATTTCTGTAAGTTTCAAAAAAAAATGACAAGTGGTGACAATTTCTCTTTTCTCCTTTCCTACAATTTATCTTTTGACCAGTCAGTAGCAGACCTTTTCTGAACATCTGTCACATCATCCTAGAGGCAACTTAGGCAGAGAAGTGACAATATTTGTCACTCAAAACAGCTCAGGCAAACACAGTGTTCAAGAGAGTAACTACCACAAAGGAAATAAGTGCCTCACCAGTACCTAGGAAAAAAATGATTTGCCTCACCCCATCATTTCAAAAGGCTGAAATTATTTTGTTCTAATTTCCCATCAAGTTATCTTTGACTTTATGGCAACTGTGTGAATAGAAAACCACCAAGAGCCCCGATCATCAACAGCCCTACATTCCCAGGCCTGTGGCTTCTGTGATTGAGGGCCTGTCTACACACCATGATCATCCCAGCATATACTTGTCCTACTGGCCTATTTCACCTTACTCCTAGTGGGCAATTAAACCCCATAGCTTGTCTCTCTTGTATCTCCCACCAGACAAATCATTCAAGTCTTCCCATCTCACCCAATGTCCCCTTGTTTTTATCCTTGCATTTGGCCCAGCCCACTTCCTTTATTTCTTATTCCTTATCCTTAATTTTCATTTTTATTCCCAATGTTCCCCCCCCCCATTGTGTTGTTTTCTTTTATCGTTGTATTTATTGCTCTTATTGCTTGTATTTTATTTTGTTATTATTTGTTGTATGTATTTTATTTGCTTACTGTATTGTTGGGCTTGGCCTTATGTTAGCCGCCCTGAGTCCCTGAGGGAAGATGGTTGTTGTTGTTCATTCGTTCAGTCGTCTCCAACTCTTCATGACCTCATGGACCAGCCCACGCCAGAGCTCCCTGTCGGCCGTCACCACCCCCAGCTCCTTCAAGGTCAGTCCAGTCACTTCAAGGATGCCATCCATCCATCTTGGAAAGATGGTGGTGGGGTATAAATAAAGTTTAATAATAATAATAATAATAATAATAATAATAATAATAATAATAATAATAGACCACATACCCTGAAGTGGGCGAGAAGTCATTCTCTGGAGTCTACATGACACACTGTGCCTTTTTGCCCTCATGTGGAGCAATGTCACTTAACAAATTTTTGTCCTATGTTAAGTAAAGTTAAGGAATGCAGGTCTGCATTTTGGGGTGTAGGTGAACAGCTGGGCAGTGCAGAAAAAATGGGATAGCACTTACCTCTGATGTTTTTAGTCATTGTAGCGGGGTCTACAAAGTTCTGGAGAGTGCCTGACTGTCACTCGTCAACTTTGCCAATGTTAGGAAAGATGCCCATGCAGCTTGGAGAGGGGAGATGGATCACCCTCTCTTTTCCCCCTTCCTTGAATTGTGTGAGCCCTGCGTGTCATGTAGTCTCCCCAGAGTTACTTCTTGTCCACTTTGGGGCATGTGGTCCAACTGCCTCCAAAAAAGATTGTTTTGCAATCAGTTAATCATGAAATGCACATTTAAAGAAAAAGATATTTACCTGCTGGCAAAAGAAGCAGAAGGAAGGGACAATATTATCTCTTCTGGAAGGGAGTACCACACTCTGGGAGCAAACACAAAGAGATCATTTCCTGCAAATATGGGCCTGTTATATAGGTAAGTTTCAGTGGATATCTATGTATTTTTTAAAAATACATTTAATACACTGTGTAGAAGAGGAGCCCATCTATGGGTCTTTATAAGCAAGTCTCATGAAGTTCAACTAAATTGACTCTCTGGTAAATGGACCTAGGAGTGCACCTTAATTCCTCAATCAAAATAATTTCAGTGGGATATACATCTGAGTAAGTACACTTATATTTGCAGCCTAGGCCTATTTTGGTGGGCAACTTTTGTGTTCCCCTCCCACGGGACCACTGTTGAGATTTTATTGCAATTTTTACTGAGATGTATTGACAGTCCATCATCATAACAGTTTCTGTTTATTTAAGTTAAGGAATGGAGGCAATGCACTTCATAAAAACATGCCAGTGACTGCAGGCAATTTAAAATGGTCTCAGGAGTTACGAGAGAGGCTGCTGAAGCACAGAACACATTTTAGGCACATCAATCATCTGTAAGTATTGCTATAAAAATTGTACAATAGGGCTTAAACCACTTCCCAAAGCACCTTCCACTGTGTACTTAGAAATGACATTGAGGAAAAAATCCTTTCCATCTCTCTAGAATTCGACAGACAGAAGCAACCAATTTTGTCTTCCAAAAGTGTGAGAAAATGTTGGCGTTGTTGGATAAACATGATGAGGAAATTTATACCTCGTGGGTGCAAGATTTAAGTCTCCTTTGTGAATCACATCTGAGTCAACCAATCCTCAGAGACAACGGCAATGGATTATTTGAAGTTAACTTTAATGAAAAGGTAACCGACAGGCATTAATGTGCTTTTTACTGTGATTCCACTAGGTTCAACTTCCCCTGGAAACTGGCTTTTTCATTCTACAATATCTCTCCATGCTTCAATTTTGTTTGTTCAAATTGTTCCAGAGTTCAAGTTGCTTTCCTCATTCTGTTCTGCCCTTTAAATTCTGACCCTGATCTATTATCTCTGGTGTTCCGATTTTATTTGTCCTGTCTTAGGCTTTAATTTTATTGGTTTGTTGATCCATATGCAGTCTGCCCGCTGTATTTATGGGCGCACGATCCACAGATTCGACCTACCATGGATTCACTACATGGTACAGTAGCACTGTTTTGCTTCTGTACTCCCATCAGGGGGTAATATTGTCTTCCTCTCTCACTCTCCCCACTTCCTTTTTCCTATTCTGGAGATATTATATATATAGAGGAAGAGAGAGAGAAAGAGAGGGGGGGATAACTACTACGGTAATCATGTAATTGCTTTTAAAATAATTTTAAAATGTTATAGAGCAGAAGTGCAAGAAGGCAGGGTTACAATGATATGCGGATGTCTTACTTACTTACGCGATCCCTCGTTGCCCAAGTAAGATTGTGTTCCAAGTGCGGTGTCCTGGTGTTGGTTATGTAGGTGACTATGGAGTCGTATTCTTGACCCACGTATTCTCCTGCAGTGAGGGCATCGGTTTCCAGGTGGAAGGCAGTCCCAGTTGGGGTTGGCTTGATGTGCCTTCCTCTTGGCATGTTTCTCTCTTTTGCCCTCCATTTGTGCCTCTTCAAATTCTACAGCACTTCTGGTCACAGCTGACCTCTAACTAGAGCACTCAAGGACCAGGGCTTCCCAGTTCTTGGTGTCAATGCCACAGTTTTTATGGTTGGCTTTGAACCTATCTTTAAATCTCTTTTCCTGTCCCCTAACATTTAATTTTCCATTCTTGAGTTCGGAGTAGAGCAACTGCTTTGGGTGATGGTGATCGGGTATTCGGAAAGCATGGCCAGTTCAGTGAAGTTGATGGCGGAGGACCATCACTTCAATGCTGGTGGTCTTTGCTTCTTCCAGCATGCTGGCATTTGTCTGCCTGTCTTCCCAAGAGATTTGCAGGATTTTTCGGAGACAAAGCTGATGGAATCATTCCAGGAGTTGCGTATGACGTCTGTAGATAGTCCACATCTTCTAGGTGTATAGCAGGGTTGGGAGGACAATAGCTTTATAAACAAGCACCTTGGTACCCCTCTGGATGTCCCAGTCCTCAAACACTCTCTGCTTCATTTGGAAAAATGCTGCACTCGCAGTGTTCAGGCAGTGTTGTATTTCAGTGTCAATATTGACTTTTGTGGAGAGATGGCTGCCAAGGTCACGGAAATGGTCAACATTTTCTAATGTTACACCATTAAGCTGTATTTCTTGCATTGCAAACGGATTAGCTGATGCCTGCTGGAAGAGCATTTTGGTTTTCTCGATGTTCAATGACTGGCTGAGCTTCTTGCATGCTTCTGCGAAGGTGTTTAGAGTGGCTTGTGGGTCTTCTTCTGAATGTGCACAGATGATGTTGTCAGCTACATATTGGAGTTCTATAATGGATGTTGTAAGCTTGGTTTTGGCTTTTAGTTTGCTAAGGTTAAATAGCTTGATAGTGATTTGTCACTATTGCACAAATGGGGAGAGGTATGACAACAAGGGTACTCATGTTGATAGGCTCTTGCTATTGCTACCTGTACACCTGCCATATAATAGCAGCTTAATGTAAGAAAGCCCCTTTAACAATGGTATGATGGCCGGATTTAGGCCACAGTTGCTTCTATAGGGATCTCGGTGTGATGTACTGTGTCCACTTATCAAAAGATTGTTTTCACTCCCGCTTAAAATATGGGGGTATATGTTATTGTCAAGCTTCCTTGCTGACCCTCTATATGTTGGACTACATTTCCCATCATTCCCAACTAGCATGAGAATACTCTTTCTCTCAGAAATGTAGAAATAAAAATATTGGAAAGCTGGATCTACAGTATGTGTTATATCTGTTCTTTATCTGAAACAAAGTTTCCAGTGAAACATTTGGAAGATTTTTCCAGAAGGAAATTGGAATGAGTGTGCTCAAGGTGAGAAAGTTTTGAAGTAGTTTCTTGTAGCATAACAAACCCATTTACATCTTCTGCTTCAGCTCTCTTCCATCCTCCGGGAAGTGAAATACCTTGAGATTTTAAGACATCCTGATATACCTCAGGCTGCTGTGCAATTGTATTCCAAGAGAGAAACTCTTTACAAGGTAAATAGAAATGATTCTGAATGAAAGATGTGTGCGAATATAAAGAAATGGAAGAAAATTGACATAACTGCAGTAATCTGTTTGAGACCTCAACTATCCTAAACCAAAAGCAAAGAGTGCACAACTATTTTTCCTAATTATTTTGTCAGCTGGATGGTGGTTATATTGGAGTTTGTAGTTAATCTTGTATTTCAGTCTTACTGCACCCAGACATGTTCTGTTGAATACAAAAGACCCTCGTCTTCTCTCTGTTGAATTAGCTTGCGATCCTATTGACAGCAAAATAGCAGTGCACAAATTACAAAGGGAATGGGAGGACCAAGCACTTCTACTGCATTTAGGGCCTCTCTCCACACACTATCCTTTTCTCTTAAAGGACTTTAAAGAAGAAAACGGGGTGTGGAGATGGGGAGAGGGTGAATGGGAAGACCCCTTTATTTCTCACCCATTCACAGGAATCTCAAACCAAAAATTCTCAAAATGAATGGGAAAAGATGTTCAATGGATTTTTTTAAAAAAAAGAACCCAATGTCAATTACAAATAGAAATATTGCCCAGTGGGGCCACTTAATTGTTAACCAGAAGTACAGGAAATACCATTGTTTCAGCTTTCCCTTTCTTTGCAAGCAAGCTGAGATAAGAGAAAATCTCTGAAAATTTACCTTTTGTTACGTGGATTGGCCATGTAAATTATATCTCCCAAAAATATCCAATCAAAATGGGCATGCTGGTTGGGGATTCTACGAACCCTGGCCCCTCAAAAAGTAACCTTACCAAGCTCTGGCCAAGAGTGAGGAAAAGGAGAAGAAGTGCCCTCCACACCTTGCACCTTCGTGTTGCCCTCTCCCTCTGGACAAATCTGTGGGTTGTGAAGGGATGGTAAGGCAGTGGGCAACAGTGTCCATTATCAAAGGGGAGGCAAGCCCATTTATGGGAATGGACCCATCAAGGTCATCTTGCTTTTGATAGTCTCACAGATGAGTGGAACTAGTGCAATATTTGGGTCACCTATGGGGAGCCCAGCTAATCTGCAGACTGGGATCAGCAAATCTACTTACTGGGTTATAAATTAGCACACTCCCCTGTGTAATAACATTTCTTTGTTCTAGAAGTGTCTGGATTATGAACAAAATTATTGTAATCACAGGTGAGCTATTTGGTTGGCCATTTGAAATGAGGGAAGGTTGACCTACTTCAGGAGCTACATATTCATGCTATGACAATGGGGGAAATTGGCACAGTGATTGAGTCTGGAAGCTCCTGAGAATGGTCAGAAAGAAAGAATATCTCCATTGTTGCTACCTAAAATAAAATAAAATGTAGAGGTCATATGAAACCCAGGGAAAGCAATAGAATAAAAAGGTTCTTTTGTTAGGGCCCTACCATCATCTTATACCTTCAAGTCTTGGGCCAATATGCTGTTCAACATAAGAATCGGCATGGAGCCCAATAGACAGAAGGTTTTAAAAAATGTGTTTGAAAGGCTGGCCCTGTTAAGGGACTTCAAAAGGTACCACATTGAGAATCCCAATAATAACCTATATGCTTAAGCATATATTAGATGTGAACTAAATCACAAGTAGAAAATGGAATATAATTTATATTCAGTAAAACTTGGTAACAATCTTCCTCATCTTAACATCTACCAAATATGTTCAATTAAAACCAATAGCCTGATGACCAGGGGTGATGGGAGTTTGGGTTTGATATGGATAGAGGGCATTGGGCAGGAAAAGACCAGTGCATTTTTTAAAATAAAATTTTATAAAATTGCAAATATTTATACACTGCTTATATCCTAACATTTCAAAGTGGTGTACATCAATGAAATGTAAAATATAGTCAAGCTACAAATATAGTCTTCTTTCACATCCATGGCTACAGTAATAGTTCACAGTTCATAACCATGCCTGCCCCTTGCACCTTGCACATTATAGATTAGGTCAAATCCCAGCTTCCTCATAAACCTCATGTGGTCACCTTGAGCTAATCATAGCGTCTTATCTGTAACCTACTTCATACAGTTGTTATTAGAATAAAAGTAAGTGATGGTGGGGGGAAATAATGTACAATACTCTTAGTTCTCAGAGATATATGGAATGAAATTTGTTAAGAACGATATAGTAGGGGAAAATGAATGCCATAAAAAAAAACATGTGTGGCAATGGCTTTTTAAAATGTCTCAGTCAAGCTACAGTCCTGTACACAATTTCCACTAGGTCTGACTTTTGAGTACATATGTGTATGATGGTATTGCTAATGGGAGCAGAACTTTTCTTAGCAGAAGATGCTCTCTGAGTAAGTAGCCAGTAAATCTCTCCCAGTACTGGTCCTCCGCCGGTTATAGTTTTGTGGCTATGCGCTCCTGGCTCATGTGTACACAGAGACATATATACTGGACAAACATATCAAAAAGAAGAGATAAAACTAAAAGTAAGCCTTAAATATAAGGCTTATGTATATCTCAAAAACAGAGCAAATCAGCGTGTGTAAACTACTGTGGTCAGATTATTAACAGGGGCAGCTCAACCCATTATGCAAAGTAAGCATTTGCAGTATAGCTGATTTTGCCCAGGGGTGCTCTTGAGGCACTGTTGGGGGAAAATAGACCTTGACATATGTGAATTGTAGTTACTGGGATGTATAGTTCACCTACAATCAAAGAGCATTCTGAACTCCACCAGTGATGGAATTGAACCAAATATGGCACACAGAACTCCCACAATGAACAGAAAATATACATCACTGATTGGTTGGAGGGAGGGGGGCACCAAAATACTGTTTGCTTACCATTGAAAATTACCTAGGGCCGCCTCTGATTATTAACTGCAGCTGGCTACAGAGAGTACACACCTCTTTAGTCACAACAGTTCCATTGGCTGCCTGCTCATTTCTGGGCAGACTTCAAAGTGCTGATGAAGAGCTATAAAGTCATAAATGGTTCAGGTCCAAGTTATTTGAAGGATCATATTGTCTTGTATGAACCTACCTATGTTTTCAGATCTTCCGGGGAGGGCACTACTTTTGGTCTCATCTTCCTCACAGTTGCACATGTAAACATGGGAGAGAACTGTTCACTCAGGTACCTCCAAACTATTTAAAGGCTTAGAGCTAGCTCTCCTCGCTCACAGATTGAGCTCAATATCTTAACATGTATGTACGTATGCACATGCATGTGGGAGGAGGAAATACGTTTTCAAATCAGAAATGCTTCCCTGCTACATTGATTCTATAGTAGGGAAATTAGAGGAATATGAAATCCATGAAAGGAGGAAAGTGTGCGTTTGTAAGAAAGACTGATAAGAGAGAACTTTCTGCTCAGTTCTGGGTGAATTGTAATTCAAAAGATGTTGGCAGGGATTTTCACTTCCCCGTGTGTGTGCTTCATGAGTTTTGCATCACAGGACTAAATCATGACATGGAGATAGAAATTGGCACAGAATCAGGATCACCACCAAAAGTCATGTGATACTTGTTGCCAGTCTGCCACCTCCCTGCAATGAATCCTGTCAGTAGTCTCCAACTGCACCATGATGCCAAAAATAACTTGATGCAATGTGGTCTCAGTGCTTCTGTGGTAGTCTACTGTCCTCTTCCCCTTCCCCACTGATAAATTTCCTTTTAAATTTTGTTTTAACACAACTTTAAAAATGTGCATTTAAAAAGCAGGGGGAAGTGGCACAGCGGGAGGCAGAGTTATAGTTATATGATGCCAACTGCGATGAGGTAAGGATAGTAATGCCAGTAAGTAGTGGTTATCCAGGTTGCGAGAATGATGTGGACTAGTAGCTTCATGCTTGGAGAACTAGAGACCAGTGAGTACAGTAGCATCTCTTCTCTAGCTCTGCTGTGCTTGTGTGCCCTTATGCACAGCTCTCAAACACACAATTGAAGCATCTTGGCTGACAGTAGGAAGAGGGGAATATTGGGGCTCTTTAAGACCATCTGGGAATCGAGGAATGCATAGGATTAGCTGTGACACTTGTGGATGATTCATGGTGATTGGAACATGGAATCTTAAGTTCTGTGCTGGCATGGCTGTGCCAGGAGATTTGATTCTTTTTCTTGCACTGTTAGTTTGCATGAATCTATTTTGACCATGCATTTTGCAATTGGATAGCTTTCCCCTGGTTGCAGTCATAGGGCCAACAACCTATCAATCATCATTAGAGCCTTTAGATCCGCCCCTTTCCCCAGGTTTGCAGGGAAAAGGGGACTTTTAGTTCAGTCTCACAGTTTGGAGCATTACAGAAGGATGTGTGGGCTTTCTCTGTCCCACCTGCAAAAAAGCTTCACTTCTTACAGATTTTGCTGGGGAAAAGGGAAAACCTCTACAGCTTTTCTGGGGAGTAAAGTTACAGTTCCACAGCTTTGCTGGGGGAATACAGCCAGCTTTGCTGGAAAATAAAGGAATGGTTCCACGGCCTTCGTGGGGCAAATCTACAGGATACCAGCTTGGCAGATCTACAGCAACCATTGCCTGGTAAGGGACCACTCGGGCTATCCATAACGCAGCTTGGAGTTGGGAGTTGGGGCCTCACTCCAGCAGAGTAAAGAAAGATTGCCCAAGGAGGGGTCAGAAGGTTTCCCTAAAAAGGAAAGGAACAATTTATCAAGCAGTTGCCCGTCCCTTATTGGCAGATCGAGAAAGCGACTAGTTTTTCAAGATTATAAAGCATTTAATTTGTTTGTTCAAAGATTTAAGCCTTAATAAAGAACTTTGTTGAACCTATTTTGAGCCTCTACAGAACTTTGTGTTGGGAAACCTATGGGACCCTTTAGCTGAGGCACCCTGGCATCCCGTTGGGCAAAAAGAAAGCACGTCCTGTAAACAGACATTGTCATAGGCCCAGCGCACCACAGCACAAGTTCCATATTTCATTCTCAAAGCTTCTGGCCTCTAATTGTGTTCAGCAGAACTGTTATGATTGATCATGGTTGACTTTTCTTAAATGTTGCATACCTTTGAATACAAAGAGATCTTGAGATCAGAATGAATGATTTGGTGTACATTTCATGTATTTTATCACTGAATAATAGATTCTTCCTCTTTCCCCCTCTCCTCTAATTCTTTCCCTTTTCCAGTATCTTGGAAATTTAAATGTGATTGCCAGACATTATAACCAGATAAAGAAGACAATTCTACCTGAGGAAGCAGAACTCATAGCACATGAAATTGGGAGAATTGACCTACAGTTAAAGCCTGCTTTTGACACACTGACCTGGCAGAATGAGAACCTGTGGCTTTTTATTGAACAGACTGGACAGCTTGTTCACAATGTAGGCAGCAGACTCCAGAAATCTAAGGAAAATGTGGAATTAATCCAGATCCTTCTGCACAGATTGAGTGAAACATCTTTTCTTGTACGAAAAATCGGTTCCACTCCTTCAATGCTGTGTCTTGATTACAACGAAAGATTGTGCCAGCAATATGAGATTGTTCAAGAGACAGGGAGAAGGATCCATCTGTTAGTTCAGGTGACTCTTCTTTTTAAATAATTTCAATAAAACTTTTATCCTAGGATTTAGAGCCTTGAACATGTTCTAATTGGATGCTCCAGGTAGCTGTGAACTGGGATAAGGGATGCAGCATAGAAAGGAGGCAGCAGAAGTGAGGTTCTGAATCATGATAGAGAGAGTAGAATGTTTTCATGCACATCTCTGTGGTAGGTGGAGATAAAGGGTGCTCACTTACCTACGTCTGGTGACATGGAAAAAAAGAGACTGGACAACAGAGGCAGCAGAGTTTCTGTGGGGCCGATGTCATATACAGTTGGTGTTCCACATTTGGGGATTTAACTTTTGCAGATTCCATTATTTGTGGATTTGATTAAAATTATTTATCTAGGAATATTTGGGTTGTTCAGTGCCTCTGTAGTCAACTTCAGAAGTCACGGAGAACCTAGGAATTCCTAGAAAGATCACCTCTCTAAGCATTTGTAGGTCTTCTAGTGAGCTTCTATGTTTAGCTTCAGGTGGAAGTTGACTTGAGTTATGTGGGAGGATTTAGAGTAGTGGTTCTCAATCTGTGGGTCCACAGAAGTTGTGGCTTTCAACTCCCAGAAATCCTAATAGCTGGTAAATTGGCTGGCATTTCTGGGAGTTGTAGTCCAAAACACCTGCGGACCCACAAGTTGAGAACCACTGATCTAGATATTCCTAGACAGATGTTCTCTCAGGTAAAAAGGGGTTGTTTTAATAATAATAATAATAATAATAATAATAATAATAATAATAATAGCTTTTCACTTTCATGGGAGTCCTGTGCCCCTAACCTTAAACAAAGAAAGCCTAAACACAAGACACAAGTTTAAAATTTGTGATTAAAACTGGCTGGGTAGGTCTGTATTGTGAGTAAAATGTATATGGGTACAATGTATTGTGAGGAGCCTCAGGAGTATGCTTTTGTGAGATTGGGCATAGATAACAAAAGGTCTTGCCTTGATCAGTTGGATGCAGTGTAAATAAGATACACAAACTTAGCATATACATATTGCAAAAAAAAAAAAAAAAAAAGCCTCTGCCAGGCTTTGGCATTACATCCACAACCAGGCAGCTATGTTATAAGCAATGGGGAAAAAGGAAGCTTTACTTTCTCAAAGATATGCTTCTTTTATTTTGAAGAGGATAATTGACCAGCATAGGATAAGCCTGTTTTAGGAGCTGAGGATTTTAAATTCCCATCCTTTTGCTCATTTTCTCCAGGACAATCAAGATCTTCTTCAGGCAGATCCTCTTTCTGATGAATGGAGAGCCTACACTGAATACATTGATCGCATGGTTTCAGATGGGCTGTTCAAAGCTATCAAGTGTTCTCTCCAGTATCTGATAGAAAACACAGAGACAACATCAACATCCACCCCCTCATTTGAAGTTCAGCTTCTCCTTAATGGCAACGAAATGACTTTTAAACCGTCTTTGGACTACACTGTTAACAATAATTTTTCTGACATTATCGAAGGCCTAATCCAAAACATTTATGTGATTGCATCACAGATAAAGAGAGTTGCCAATCATCTTGGGTACGACACTTATCAGGTATAATCACAAATACATCAATTACATTTTATTTTAACTTCTAGTAGCTTGGGACGTCAATTCAGTGAGTTTTTTTTGTTTTGCCTGTCCAAGCAACTGCATGAGCAGATCTTAATTTAATGTGCTTATAATGAACCAATTCTGCAACGACTGGTGTTTTTTTAACAGCTTGACATTCTAATTTCCATTTTACACGTTAGGAGACAATTGGGAGAGCAGGCAATCCGGCAGGTCCTAGTTACAACATGATGGTGGACAGTGTCACAATTGGGATTTTCTGTTGATACCCATTTCCTCCTTTAAAATTTATGGATACTTTGCCATGGTGATTTTCCTGACATGACTCTATCTTTCTCTTGTTATGTATAGACACTGGTTTTGGAAGTTATCATGACACATTCTGCATTTCTGGCAGGAATCTAGAGTATTTTAACTGAGAGGTGGGCAAAAGAGGATGGGGAGGAATATACTTCCAGTTTCTCTATCACATTTTCTAAAACTATGCATATGGGATTATGAAACTCAAAATGGTTCCCCTGTCTCCTTCTGTCTCCTACTGGTGCACTAAGAGACAGAAACTAGCTTTGGCACCTACCTAGATTACATACATCTCCTCTAAGTAAATTTTGGCTTAGTTTTTCTCACAAGCTTTTCATGGCCTTTTAAAAAAAACATCTTTTCTATTTGCTTACCTCCTTCTTTCATCATTAACTTGTAACCCTATTATCCTCACTCCATTTTTCTTTCATTTGTCCCTGTTGTTGGGAGGCACTGGATGGGCTGCAGTCTGCTACACACAGGCCTGAATCGTATTGTTTATCGCAGATAAAACAGAGCTATTGAGTGGTATGTCAACATGAAGATAACATTCCAGTTGGAGAGTATGTCTTAGCATTTATGATTGCAGTTTCTTAAGGCGCTCCTGACACAACAACAACAACAAAAAAAGCATTTATGATAGGAATCAGGCCACATACAGTACAACTGGCAGAAGACTGTAAACCAAAAGAAATTTTACTGGAGTGGAAAATACAAAGTGTGTGTTTGTGAAAATATTGCAGCTGTTAAAGCCCTTCAGATCCTCCTGGCTTTCATTTTTTTTTTAAAAAAAATGGTCGAAAAATAGAGACTAACCCTCCTAAAAGTCTCTAGGAAGAGGCGGAATTATCCAATTAACAGGAGCCCAGACAGGAATCTGGAACAAAACTTATAATGTGCTTACTATTTCTAATTTAACCAAGAGAACTTTCTGTTTTGTGGCTCTTCTTCTTCTTCTTCTTCTTCTTCTTCTTCTTCTTCTTCTTCCTCTTCCTCTTCCTCCTCCTCCTCCTCCTCCTCCTCCTCCTCCTCCTCCTCCTCCTCCTCTTCTTCTTCTTGGTAGTGACCATGAAATTAGTTTACACACTTGCAGTTGTCCTATGGTCTTGTTTCAAGACCGAATCTGAATGTCATCCCACAATACAAATTAAATCATTGGCCCATCTCTATGGTTTTATTTTCACGTTTAGCATGATGTAGAGCGGATGGATGCACTGAAAGAAATTCACCAGGAAATCATGAGCAGGGTGCACTCAGTAATTGTTAATGCCCAGGAATATCAAAGCTACTTTAAGAAATACAGCCACTTATGGATGGATGATAAAGCCAAATTTATGAAGCAGTTCCTTCTCTATGGACGATTTCTTCATACTGAAGAGCTGGAATTATATCCAGACCATGAACTTCAGAAATGCTCCCCGCAGTTAGACCACTTTAAACAACAGGTACTTGGCAATTTTTATTTTTGGTCAATTTTTGTTTATTATCTTCTATTAATTAACTATTTTGATTATATAGTTCTTCTAAATAAAAACTCAGAACTGTACTCATATTTCATTCCTTAAGATCAGCATTTATGAAACGCTACATAAAGAAGTCAGCGGATTTGAAAACCAGAACACTTTTAATGGCTGGTTTCAGGTTGATATTAAGCCTTTTAAGTTATCACTGATGAATATGATTAAAAAATGGAGCTGGATGTTTAAGGAGCATTTGCTCAACTCTGTCACCCAAAGGTAACCTACTTTTGATGTCTTTTAAAAAGTCTTTTGAATTTTTACTGCCTTTTGAGAATCCTGTTCACTTTCTTAAATTTCTCGCTTGATGGAAATAGGAGTGTTATGAAGAATTTCGTTTCAAGAATTGCGCAATGCAGAAATATGTTTTTGCTCTCAACAAAATCTTCCTTTATGCCAAATGAGGGAATGACTACCTTCTGAGCCTGGGAGATGGAGAGCTTCATTAGACGCTATCACTGGGAGTCCAAGCAGACTATATTCCTTGGGGCTACACCCCCTCTGCCTTATAGGAAAATCATAAGATACCACCAAACTGGATGCCATTGAGCAGCACTCTCTGGTGCCAAATCCACCTTCCTCACCATAGATCCCTGTGAAACAATAGGGCAGAGTATCTTTTCTGTTCCCAAATTGGCAGAAGGAAAATGGAAGACACTGAAATTGATATTAGCTTGTGTATAGTGATAATGGGGCTCACCAAATTTTCTGCACTAATGGGTGCCCTAAAGGCCTGAAAATAATAGGTAGACTATATGGTTACTGGTGTCTATCACACATACAAACTCTATCAGGTATTTGAGGTGGACTGTTCTTCTTTAGTGCTTCAAAAGTCTCATCAAAAGCAGAGTAGAGAACTGCTCACGAGACTTCCTTGCACTCTTGCACACCTTCCCCAGCTTTCTTCCATATGTACTAACCATCATCAGCACAACGAAAGACTAAATCATGATCAGAATTGTAGGTCTATACAAGTAGAGAGCACTTCATTGAACCTCGACTATAAAAATCCTTATACAAGTTGAGAAAAAATATTGCAAAATATAAACTTTTCTGACAGCAAATAAACCTCTCTTATTGCTCAGTTCACTTCCATTTGAATTAGGGCAGTGTTTCTCAAAGTCTGCTCCTCCGCACATTTTGGACTTCAGCTCCCAGAAATCCCAGACAGCCTACCAGCTGTTAGAAATTGTGGGAGCTGACGTCCAAAACATCTGGAGGAGCACAGTTTGAGAAACCCTGAATTAAGGTAGGTTATGCATACAAACATTTTTAAATTAACGGAATTTGACATCTTGTTTGTGCATGTGTTTATATTTATATGATAGTAATAGTGCAGTCTTATGTATTCCTACTAAGAAGTAAATCCATTGATTCATTCATGTTCACTTAAATGCATATTGAGCCTAAGGATATTTTCACATTCATGGAATAAGTTCCATTAAACTCAAATGATCTGTATTTTGAGTAGACACATGTAGGACTTTACTGTGCAAAAATCTAATATACAGTTTTATTTCTAAAATACTCCTCTAAATCAGCAGCAACAAAAATGATTCAGCTATACAATTAATAGTTTTACAAGTTAGTAATATCAAGTTAAGAACAATTTAGGCTATTATCTTCCGAAGACTTGACAAGTTCTTAGTAGCTTTTGGGAAACAATTACATTGTTGAGATCATAGCTCAGATTATAAATTGTAGAATGGGCACAATTCCATTAGTGATCTCATTAAGATGTATTAGTGATAATTCACACGTTGATGACATTTAAGGTAGTTATAATGACCATGGTGGCTAGAAATGGGAAATTTTGCAGAGTGGCTGAATGTAAGGTTAGCTAGAATAGAAATAAAGATCAGCAGTTATTGCCTGCAGGTGATGGCCAACAGGTAGAACCTATGTCCATGATGGTGAACCTATGACACACGTGTCAGCACTGACACACATGGCTATTTTTGAGCCAATCTAATTCCATCCTTAAATTTGTAAAAGGCTCTACATATTTAACATCTGCATGTTTGAGCATTGTTCACTCCATAACTCATCATGGAATATACATTTTTCTTATTTAAACTATAAATATTGCAAAATTACGTTTATTTTTTCTTGAAGTTGACACCCCACCCAAGCTATGGTCAGGTTTTTGGCAAATTTTGACACACCAAGCTCAAAAGGTTGTCCATCACTGACCTATGTCATGGCTGGAGACCATTGTGACACGCAGGACAGCAGGGGGCAGTAAAGCTGGTTGTCCAGTGGTGCCAAACTGTGTTGGTGCCACTGGGCGTTCAGGACTCCCTCCTGCATCTACATCAGCTGGGGGATTACCTATTTGGCCTATACTAGGGCTAATCTAGAATACACCATGCTGGATTCTCCCCAATTTATTGGGTCAGGGTAGATCCAGCCCAGTCAGCTTGGCCAAATGCCTAAACTTCTGGGAACACCAAACACCTGCAGGACCAAAGAATGTATTCTCAGAGGCCTGATGGAATAGAATGTTTTTTCCCCTTGGTTGAAAAAGATAGTAAGGAAGGTGCCCATCTAGGAGTTCCAGAGTGGTGGGAAGGTTGCATCCATTCCTGTTACAGTTTTATTTTATTTATTTGTTTATTTACTTTATTTGTATACGCTCTTCTCAGCCTTTAGGCGACTCAGAGCGGTTTACAACAATTTAGGTATCTAGTTTGCCTGCACTGGAGGAAGAAGCCTTTTCTTAGCAACTTCCTTGAGTCTTAGGGGATTTTTTCTTTCACACAGTGTATTGCATATTGGCTTATCTCAGTATGTATAGAGACTCGATCCTGATATTACCCAGATCTGGGCCAGGCTTTAACACAGTAGGTTAACCGCGAGCTGCAGTAAATCTTCCCAACTGAAAGATCAACAGTTCGAAGCCCAGGTCAGGGTGAGCTCCTGGTCTTTAGCCCAGCATCTGCTGACCTAGCAGTTTTGAAAACAGCAATGTGAGTAAATAAATAGATACTGCTTAAGCGGGGAGGTATTTAAGGCACCCATAAGGAAATGCCAGAAAAATGCTGGCAATTTGATCAAGGAGGAAGTTTGCGAACAAAGCTCTTTGGCAGAGAAAGTGGAGCAAGAGTACTTCCCGTGGCCAGAATTGAGCCACGGGGAGTACGGCATCCAAGATGCCGAAGATGGGAAAATCTATATATACCTCTATCTATGTACAGTTGTCTGTCTTGTCAATGTATAATGGCAGTGAATGTTTGTCAAATATGCTTTTTGTGATCTGCTCTGAGTCCCCTTTGGGTGATAGGGGTGGAATATAAATACTGTAAATAAATAAGTAAACAATTATGGAAAAGCCCCTAAATTAGAGTGAATGGTAACAGAAATGGCAAGTCCCGTACTAATTATCCATGGACATTCCTTCATTATGCTTACTTTTAGCATTACAGAATTAGCCACATTTATCTATGTGACGGAACAAGGATTAGCAAAGAAAGTGAAAGAAGGGGATTACGCACTTCTGGTTGAAATAATGGGGCACCTTATGGCTATCCGTGACCGAAAGTCAACTGGAGACATTTTCAAACCTTTAAAATCCACAGCTGTATTGCTCCGAAGTTATGGACAGCAGCTACCAGAACATATTTGTACAGAGCTTGAGGTAATCTTTTTTAAAAAAACAACAACAAAGTTTTCTCGTTAGAAAAAGTTTTAACAGGAATGAAAGATCACATAGACCAAATATGCTACTGGCATCAGATTTGATTTTTTTAAAATGCTTTAACCCACAGTAAAACAGTTACAGTATTATCAAGGCAAAATCTTCATAAGGACCACAATCCACATAAATCTACTGGGCTTTTCTTGTTTTATTTTCTTTGTTCTGTAACTTCCCTCTTTCCCTCCAATCCACCCAAGATATGAATATACTTCATGCTTGGTATGGACGTTGGAAACCTGTCAACTTGATTGGCTTATTTGTTCATTCTAAATTCTCATTTACTGTGAGTACTTCATTGGAAAACATTTTTTAAACTATGGAAATATTGCCTTTTAAAGTGCAATTTGTAGACAGAAATGTCTTTGTGCCATCATTTACAGATTCATTGTCAGTAGATTGCCTATGTATATTGAAATTCTCAGACCATGTGAGTGATGAATTTTGCATCCTATAAGAATACAGTTTTCAGCTTAGCAGTTGCATTCTCACTTTGCTACTAGAAACAGCTCTTCCTGCAAAAATGGCCCTATGTTCAGACCCAATTCAGGGTCTGTTTTATTGGGTTATTTATTTATTTATTTCTCGTATCAGGAGCAGTTCTAATGTATTTAAAAACAGACACACAAAGTTTAAAAACTTGTCATTATATTAAATGTCCTTTGACCAGTAGCTGGCCACTTGGAGTGCCTCTGATGTTGCTATAAGGAGGTCCTCCATTGTGCATGTGGCAGGGCTCAGGCTGCATTGTTGTAGATGGTCTGTGGTTTGCTGTTCTTCACACTCGCATGTAATGGGCTCCACTTTGTGGCCCCATTTCTTAAGGTGGCCTCTGCATCTCGTGGTGCCAGAGTGCAGTCTGTTCAGCACCTTCCAAGACAGTTTCCACTCACATATCCTTTGAACTCCATTGTAATCACAGCATGTATCAGAGGATTGTAGCTTCCACCAACCCCAATAATTGCAACCGTTGTGGCTATGGATTGTGAGAATTGTATTCCAATACATTTGAAGGGCCTCAGATTGAGGAAGACTGACCAGAAAGCATCAAACTTGGATGGGTTCAGTCTGTCATACTTTTCTTTCTTCTTGAAAACAACTTTCCATGGTCTTTTATTAGGGAAAAAACCAGATGACTAAAGAAAAAATATGCTCAAAGTTAATAACATTATTTCTAGTATGGATAAAGTAGATAAAGGGAACATTTTCCTTCTTCTTTCATCTATTAAAATTAGCTGGTGGAAGAATGAGAACAGATGAAGCATACCATGTTAGTCATTTATGGAATTTGCTGTCATAAGATGTGGTATCAGCCACTACGGTAGACAATTTGTCAAATTCATGGAAAATAATGCTATTAATAGTTACTAGTCATGATGGCCAAAGTTTGGAAGAAATTAATTACAACATTAATTATTTGTAATTAATTGCTTTTCCCAGCAATTAATAGGTAACTAGATTATATTACAATGGTAACTTAATGAGGAATATGTTCACTTCTTTCAGGTCTCACTATAACGTAATAGTTACTTTCAAAGTTCCAAGGATCTAACATCTCTAGATGGAATGTTGTGTTCTGGTTTTCTGAATGTAATTAAAGTAACTAGAAATTGACCATTTTAATTATTTTAGGAAATCAGGAAAGTTATTCTTTAAAAAATTGCAGCTCTTAAGAATAATTAAATATTTTAAAAACATAATATTACTTTAAAAGGCTGACGGTGGCAGGTGTAAGTTCTCAATATATTGCTTAGTTCTTATCTGCCATTTTAGACTTCTTTTGAAGATTGACAAGGTAGTCAGTATACCTTACAGCTTCTGCATAGCATTCTGGTACTGAGGTGAAGGAGAGCTGGGGTCTTGCAAAGATTATATATGTTTTAGAAAACGGTGTTCATAATCATTTGAAGATCGTAACCTTTTGGAAAAGCATGACCTTTCAGATAAGAGCCAAAAATCCATTTGAGTAAATCATCTCAAGTGGTACACAACCAGATGTAATTATGAAAGGCAATGGCTTTCAGTTGTTAGATTGATAACTTGTTATTTCCAATCCGTTAGGTAAACAGAGAATATGCTAGTACATAAAATAGCAGTGCTTCAAAAGTGTTTTTTCAGTTTCCAAAAATATGTATACTCTTCCATAAAACAACTTGTTTTATAGGAGAGTTCAGTTATAGATATGTTTAAGATAGTTTATGTGTGCAGATGGCACAGGGCATCTTTCTTACAACAACAGCAGGCAAGTGTTGATCTGAGCAGTCCCAAAGTCTAATGGAGTCTGATGTTTAAAATGGAGTCTGAGTTCTGTAGTCTTCTCAGAGCAGATCATGTGGTCTGTAGCCCCTCCCACAACTTCTCAGGAAAACATAGAGTAAAGGAAAGAAAACTGCATTCCAGAACATATACATAATAAGTAAGCAAAAGGGTCATATACAAACTAATTACTAGAGGAGGCTTGATGAAGGTTGTAATTTCCAACAATATGCTTTTGTAAGGGGCCAATTTTAATTATTTTACAAAAGACTTTTGATTTATTCTTTTTTATCACACTTGGCCATCCCAAATCCATTGGCTTTTTCTTAACGGAAATCTCAGTGAAGAAGTAAATGTTTTGTTCAACTGCCAGAACAAAAGCAAAATCAATAGCTCAGATTTTAAAGTTGGAGAGCAGTTAATCTTAAACAGGTCTATAGATGGAAAAAGTTATGTGTATTAAGCATTAAGATTTTTTTCCTACCCTCTAAAATAGTATTGATTTGTGGCAAGACTTCCATTCTGATACCTTGATAGTATGATATGGGAAACACACATCACAATTGATATAAATTATTTTTATACTCATACATACCATCATTTTAACAAAATTCACAGGGCCACTCACAACACTCATAATTCAAAACATAAAAGAAAAATGACAGTAACCAGAAAACCCAATAAAACAACAACAGCATCAGATCAAAATCACTATAGATGGCATTTTGAAATCCAGGCTAAATAAAAATGTAATTGAGTTAGATTCAGGGTATATAACCTGGAGCAGGCCTGTAGCCAGGATTTTGTTTTTTTTTTGGGGGGGGGGGGGCTGAGTTTGGTTCGGGGGGCTGAGTCTGAGTGAAAGAGGGTCTACCCTAGCAAACCTTTTGTATCGTTACCCCAATACCCCCATGCATATGGGATATATTGAGTATAGTGATCAGATCATGATATGAATAAACATAGCAGTTTAAATAATGCACCAGTAAGGCCTTCTCGCGGACCACCATCAGAATTTCGGGGGGGGGGGGGCTGAAGCCCAAGCCCCCCCCCCCCCCCCGGCTACATGCCTGACTTGGAGTATAACCCAGGTTGCATCCAATGAGTATCACCTAGAATATAAACTTGGTTGGATCCAGCGAATATAATCTGGAATTCTGCTTATGCAGTGGGGCTTGCCACATACTTTACTATCCAGTTGCAGCCTTCTGCCCTCTCCCTGATAGTATTTATTTATTAACTTTGTTTATATCCCATCTTTCTCCATGTCAGGACTCAAGGTGGCTAACAACTACACAATTTAATAACAATTTTAATCAAAAGAAAAACACAAAATTTAAAAATGAACAATTAAATATTCACGTGTGAATATAAAATTAAAATGCAACAAAACTGACCATCCAAAATCCCACACACAACTCCCCAGCAGCATGTCCCTCCCCCACCCCCCACCCCCAAATGCTTCCTGGCAGAGAAACGTCTTTAGCTGCTTGGGAAGGAAAGCTGGGATGGGCCCATACTGGTCTCTCTAATAGATGGGATAAGCAAGATAGGGAATTCTGAGAAATCCCATGTGTCTGTTTTACCCAAGCAGAATGTGTGCTTGATTGTGTGATTCATTCAGTAAGGAATTGATTACAAGTAATCCTTTATTTGTAATGAAATACTTCCATGCCCTGGAATAAATTGTCCCCAACTGTTTAAAAACCGCACAAAATTAATATTTTACAAATTACCATGCACATGACTCCATGTCCACAGATAATAATTAGGTAAATAGTAAAAGGTACAAATGTACTAGAAAAGGCAGAAAAGGTGGGGTGAAGATAAGATATGTGTTTGCTTCTTTTTGTGAGAGGATGGGTTGCTGGTTTGATATGCCACCAAACAATATCTGTACGTTGTTAGGAATTACCTGAAAAGTGGAAGAATCTTAAAAAGATTGCCTTCACGGTGAAGCATGAAGTGGCTCCTCTACAGTCCAATGAAGTGTCTGTTATCAGAAGAAAATGTGTACTTTTTGAGGTGAGATCAGTTCTGTGCTGTGAACCGAATGATTTTTCGTTTTTTGTTCCGATAACAAGCTGGTAGCAAGCTTCACTGAACTGAAAAATTGTAAACTCTTAGAAAAGGCTGTCTAAAGATAACAATTCAATGTTTCTTGGTAATATATTCTGGATGAATCTGATAATTTAAAGCCCGGTTCACCTCAAATGGGAATGACGATTGCATCCTCTTTATCTTCAATTATGTCTAATCTGTTTCTAATTCCTACATGGTGCTGCTGTTGTCAGATCAAATGTAGATTTTGAATGTTTTATACTTATCCACTGGGAACAGGTGAGCTGTGTGTCAGGGTTATGCAGGCTGGAGCTAATAAAGTTTTAAGCAAATTTTAGAGAAATAAGAGTACTTAAACTGAAATGATTCAAGGTTCATGAGATGGAACACACTAAATGAATGGCAGCCAAGGAAAAGTTAAATCGTCTCAATGGATCACTTATTTAACCTTTAACTTAACTTCAGATATATATATATTTGTGTACTGTGTCTTTCAGGTTAAACAGCAAGAGTTTAGAAATAGATTTAAAAATGAAGTCGTCTTTAGATTTGATGCTGAGGATCCTTATACATCAATTGATAAGGTAACAAAACATCTCACTAAGACGTTTTAAAACAGATATAACTAGCAACAACATAAAAATAAATATGTTTAGCAACAAGACTGTTAATATTTTTATTGACTTGATTTTTTTGCCATTAAGAGCGATCGAACACATTAAGATTTAGTAGGGTGAAAACTTTCCTGGTATGAAAAGGCACAGCCAGTTGAATTTTCTGTGTTATACAGAATACAGTTGTTTTGTCAAATGAACAAGAACAAAAAAAGGCAGAAATCTTTACTAAAGAGTTATTTTTTATTAATTTATTTACCACATTTATATCTTGCCCTTTTCAACCCCGAAGGGGACTCAGAGTGGCCTTACAAAGGCAACAATTCAATGCCATATATGAATACATTGGTAAATAAGCAAAAATGTTAAAAACAAAACCATTAAAAACATAGCATTAAAACATCAATTCAAAACACATGATCCGAGATGTCATTATATTAATTTTTGGTCTCATATTGGACTATTCCAGTTATGTTTGAAGTCTCAGGGAAAATTCTATCAGGACTCAAAACCTGAAGCTGTATACTGTAGGGTTTTCCATTAGTCAGTTTTGCAAGATTGATTCCAAAACAGTGTTTGCAGGAAAGATTCTGAAAGGTCCCTCTTTGCTCCTTGTGACATAGCATTTCCAAAATGCAAGCTTAAACACACATCAGTGATTAGGCCTGGAAATCTTTTCTCAATCAGTAGAATAGAAGGGAAAGAAAGAAAGAAAGAAAGAAAGAAAAGGGGTAAAAGGAAAAGCAGAGCCTCATCTGGAATTAGGAAATAGAAATAGATTGTATTGTATTCAGGGTGCAAAAATGCCATACATGTGTATTCTTCAGTTCTAATGTGGAGTCGAATGCCTATGATGAATGAAAACAAAAATTAAATGAATTTAAAATGACTGAATGAATGTTCTTAATTCAGTAATCAAGAAATTGAATTCATTTAAAGTGTCCATGAAAACAGTGCATGGATACACACTGAAATCTATCCCTAAAACAGATTTGAACTTGATCTTTACCTTTACTGTGTCACTTCAGAGCAGAGGAGGACAACTGTATGGGCTATAAGGGTCAAATTTGCCCCTGGCCTCCTAAAAACTATCTTTTGCCTCAAATGTCCCTCTCAAAATTGAGTGATATCTTTTGTGGCTTCAGGGGCCACAAGTGGAGTCCAGGGTTTATAAGGGGCCACACTATAACCACCTTTGGTTTGAGGAATATGGCGTATTAGAATATCTATATATCATCCTGTATATTTTGGTCTTTGAGAATAAAATCTGATTACTATGTTTTTTTTTATTAAACAAACACCCTGGTTGATTTCTTGAATAGTGTGCCTGTAATAATGTCCTCATATGGGTAAGCCTAGTATAAACTAACCATTAGCTGTGTTTTTCCACAACATCCATTCATAACAGAGTAGAATAGAGGAAAAGTATTTATCTGAGAATCCATACTTTTGATCTTGCAAATGTGTAAGCAAAATTCTCAGGTGTTTTTGCTTAGTAAGTTATTCACAATGGCATCCTTGCAGACTCACAAAGCCATTGCAAAGCTGGAGGCAGAAATGAAAAAGCTACAGGAAACAGCAGACCTTTTTGAAGTAACTGTACCAGAATACAAGCAGCTCAAGCAGTGTCGTACCGATGCCATCTTAGTAAAGTCTGTCTGGGATATGGTGGTGTTTGTCCAGGTAAGGACTCAACTTTGCAATTTCCACTGACTAAAAAGGAAATAAGGTATTTCTGCAAAAGTATGCCTGGGCAGAATGAAGCTATACATAGCTTATTTGTGAAAGGATAATTCCTGTGTTGGTTTTGTCCATGTTTTTTGTGTTCAGAGAGACGATGGGTCCTGCCCCTCACATATTCCCTATACTTATTTGTTCTTGCTGAATAGTACTCAGATTGTCAGCTGGGGCAGCATTAGGGGCAGCTGGAGATATCTTGCAGCTTAAAAGAATTATCTCAAGCCAAGGTACAAGTATCCAAGGCTAGCCAAATTATTTTGGCTCTTGAGACAGGGAAAAACCCCACAAGTATTTTTATCGCATTTTTGCAGTATAAAATACCAAAAAACAAACCAGCAAAAAGTTCCCAAGAGCTTGTCTATGTCAGCCAAAAAATACAAAGTGGCGTGAAGTCACTACCGCATGTCTACATGGCATCCAGGGACTTCTAGTCTTTAACAATTGGTAAACTAGGTAGAACTGGTTTAGCTGCCTACTAAGGAAAACTGGAGAATGTTCTGAAGTTTCAGCCCCATATTTTGGAGATAATATAGACAATACAACTGACTCCAATAAAAACCAGTCTGCTGTCCACATGGGCCGGTGCCTCCCTCCGCCCTTTCCTTATGCTTCTAAACACAAAGAAAAGGGCACAGATTGAACCCATGTCACCATTGCTACTCCAGATGAATACAGAACTCCTGAGATCTCCTGGCCTTTGTATATGCTTCATGCTGACATCAGCAGAAGTACCAGGATGAAAGGGAGGATCACCCCCTTTTACTTCCTGGTTTTGATAGTGCCTCTACTGATGTCAACATGGGGCACCTGCAACTGCCAGGCGATTTTCTTGATTTCTGGAGCTGTCCAGCATTGGAAATGGTGACAGGGAAGGTTAGGTGGCTGTCCAGATGGGTTGAATTGGTTTCAACCCAACTGAACCATGTTCCGTCCTACCACTGCCACAGATCAGAAAAAGAGGATATAAACATTTCCAGTGCCAGTCCAGAGTATTTTTGCTCCATGATGGCCCTGAAATAATTGGTCAGTGTAGCCAAGCCCATAGTCATCAATTTGCTGCCCCTTCATGACACTCAGTCTGTTAATTGCCTCACTCTGGCTAATAGTAGTGCCTATTCTGGTAAGACTATGCCTTCCCCAATACTTGAGATATTTTGATTATCAGAGAAGGTGAAGACCGAATCTGGAACCCAGCTGTGATGCTTACTACTGAGTTATGCTCTCTCCCAAATACCTCTGAAGATGTGGATAAATAAACCTAGAGCCAGTAGATGTTGGCCCTGGTTCATAGTTTTTGAGTTATTCACTTGATAAAAGAAGGGAGAATTGTCTGGTGGGAATTATGGTCTGAATAAGTTTGAAACAGACTTCTCTCATTTCGCGCTGATAGAAGAAAGTATATCCCAGAAAATTAATCCCGTTCATTTTCTGCTTTATGCCATATGGCCACTGCATGTATGAAAATGTTAACTTATTTATGTACACGTGACTCAAATGAATAAAGCACATAGAAACAATGCTAAGAGAAACCAGATGCTAGGAAATAACAGAAACATTCTGTCTCATGATCCTCTGCCTCTAATGTTCCAATCATTTCCATTTTATGTAAATTTAAAGAGACTAAAATAATGTCATTGAAAAAGTATTAAAAGGGGAGGCTTCTTTGCCAGGATTTGAAGAGATCACATCATATTTAATTTAACATCACGCATAGAAAAAGTAGACTGCAAGGGAACTACCTCACAGTGGTGATGGTTAGCTCCCAAGTCAGCACTGAATCTCTTCCAGACTTTGAAGAACCTATCAAAAGTGCTGAACTCCATTCTTAAATAGATTTAACAATTTGGACAGCTCCTTTGAAACCATCACAAACCTGTAATGGATTCATTGTATTGCAGATCTGGAAGCCAGGAGCTACTACTAATCCTTCATTCCAATGGAAGGGATCAATTAATGCAGGGGTCCCCAAACTACGGCCCGTGGGCCGTATGCGGCCCGCTGAGGGCATTTCTCTGGCCCGTGCGGCCTGGCCTGGCTTGGCCTGGCCATGCCCACCCGGCGCCGCCACTCCGTCAATTGCGGACACCCTCTGCTCTGGCCGCTCTGCCTGTGTGGGAGGGAGAAGCCTCCCAGGTGGGTCCTCTGCAGAGCAGAGCGGCTGGAGCAGAGGGTGTCCACAATTGATGGAGCGGCGCTGGGTGGGCGTGGCCAGGGAACGCCGGTGTGGTGAAGGCCGGTGAACTACAACTCCAAAACTCAAGGTCAATGCCCACTAAACCCAGTATTTTCTGTTGTTCATGGGAGTTCTGTATACCAAGACTGGTTCAATTCCATCATTGGTGGAGTTCAGAATGCTCTTTGATTGAACTATAAATCCCAGCAAATACAACCCCCAAACGCCACCAGTGTTCACATTTGGACATATTGAGTATCAGTGCCAAGTTTGGTCCAGATCTATCATTGAGTCCACAGTGATTTATGGAGGCAGGTGAACTACAACTCCAAAACCAAAGGACACTGCCCACCAAACCCTTCCAGTATTTTCTGTTGGTCATGGGAGAACTGTGTGCCAAGTTTGGTTCAATTCCATCGTTGATGGGGTTCAGAATGCTTTGATTGTAGGTGAACTATAAATCCCAGCAACTACAACTCCCAAATGTCAAGATTCTATTTTCCCCAAACTCCACCAGTGTTCAAATTTGGGCATATTGAGTATTTGTGCCAAGTTTGATCCAGATCCATCATTGTTTGAGTCCACAATGATCTCTGAATGTAGGTGAACTACAACTCCAAAACGAAAGGACACTGCCCACCAAACCCTTCCAGTATTTTCAGTTGGTCATGGGAGAAATGTGTGCCAAGTTTGGTTCAATTCCATCGTTGGTGGGGTTCAAAATGCTCTGTTGATTGTAGTTGAACTATAAATCCCAGCAACTACAACTCCCAAATGACAAAATCAATTTTTTGTGTGAAGGACATACATTGGGTTGTTAGGTGTCTTGTGTCCAAATTTGGTGTCAATTCGTCCAGTGGTTTTTGAGTTCTGTTAATCCCACAAATGAACATTATGTTTTTATTTATATAAAAATGTGAGTTTTTGTTTTTTTGATGGGGGGGGGGGGGTTGCACTGCAAATAATATATGTGCAGAGTGCATAGGAATTCATTCATGTTTTTTTTCCAAATTATAATCTGGTCCTCCAACAGTTTGCAGGACTGTGACCCGGCCCTCTGTTCAAAAAGTTTGTGGACCCCTGCAATTATGGATGTCTTTTCCATTAAATTGCCATAGCTCATGTTGGGTTACAAATAAACAAACAAGCCAAACAAACTTTCAATTTTTTTTACAAAAATATATATTTGTCTGTTTTTTAATCTTTCCCAGTTCTTATTCTGTTAGACTTGTAAACCTTTACAATACTACATCAGATTTTATGGTACATAATGACCTTGAGTAGAATTTGCAAACTGTCGGCCAATGAACAGGATTATGTGTGTGTATGTGTATCTGTGTATGTTGTGGTAACTTTGAAAATTAAAAATAGAAATGCTAAAGCTGCAATGTGAAGACTCCCACATGAGGGCAGATACTCATATGTTGAGCCAGCTGCTGCTAGCAGTCCTACAATTTATACTGAGTTTCTTCATGCTGCATTCCATTATTTAACCACTGATGGAAAAATAGTGAAAGAAGGAATTGTCTAAATCAGTGGTTCTCAACCTGTGGGTCCCCAGGCATTTTGGCCTACAACTCCCAGAAATTCCAGCCAGTTTAGCAGCTGTTAGGATTTCTGGGAGTTGAAGGCAAAAACATATGGGGACCCACAGGTTGAGAACCACTGAGCTAAATAAATTCACAGATAATTGGACATGGGCACTGTTTCTTGGATCCAAAATAGATGCTCCAGTCATAACAATGCAGGAAACTGCTTTATATACTAAGCCAGGCTCTAGTTTAGGACTGGGCAACATGTGTTGGATTGCCACACCCATCAACCCTAGGTGGTATGGTATGAGGACTGATAGGAGTTGCAGCCAATAGCAACTGATAAAGGATGTCATTGTCCACATCTAATCTGTACTGATTTGCAGTTATTATAATTAAAAACAATCTACAAAATTGTTGGACGTGCAATAAGGAACCTGGGGCATATATTCATTTATGGTGGAAAGTGAAAAGATTTTTTAAAATTGGGAAAAATATTTGTTGAAATTAATGACATACTATTGATTAATCTACAATTTTATTTTCAAAACATAGCACTTCTACTAAATTTTGTAGATATAAGATTAAAATGGCAAAAGAAAGCAACAATAGTTATTATTGTTGCTTCTTTAAGATTAGTTATAGACAAAAATGGAAAGAAAATTATGTATACAAAATTGATAATTGGTACAAAGAGATGTGGAACATTGCAATAAATGATAAAGTGACTTGTTAAATAAAAAGTAAAACAGAATTAACAAAAAAAACAATGATTTTGAGGCAATATGGGGTGGGTTCTTAGAATATATATTTGTTAACGAAAAAGGAATAAAGCCAAATCAACACATATTAGCATTTTGGAGAAATCAATTTAAGAATAATTAATATTGAGGATGAACAAATGTCCCATGGGTGTTGGGTGCACATAGAGATTAAATGTATTAAAATATATGATTAATTGTTTAACTGTTTTATTGTATGTTTTGTATTAATGTTAGCTAGATATCTCCATTTCTAACAGACTAGAGGGAAATGGAAATGCCCTGTTCCATACCGGTGAACTCTTGTCCACTCATAGAAGCAAAGTTAGAAACCATTTTGGTCACTGTGTTAGTGTACTGAGTATGTACACAGAGTCCCACAGCAGTAATTTCCCAATATACCTGCATCTGTATTTAAAGCATTGCTGCTCAGGGTAGGATTGACTGGAAAGATTACTTCAAAGGATAAATCTCACTTCTTGTCCTTTCCCTGTCCTTCCTTCCTTTGCCATTAACCTGATTGATCCAATCAATACTAGAAGTAAATCTATTCCATCCATGATGTAGAAGCTGTGTTCTCCAGTTATTTTTCCCCTAGCCCTGAATCTTACAAGCAGCTGAAATTAGATATGTGTTTGTTGTTATGGATCATGAAGATACTCTAAACACTAGAAGAAGAGCTCTGAATCTAGAAAAATGATAAATAGACCCGTTATTGGCCAAGAATTAATCCCATTATTCTCAGTGAGTCTTTTAGGATGCAAAACTAAACACTTCAGGTAACCTTTTGCTAGGTACATCAATATCTACTTCATAGTGGGACAGGTCTCCCCTTCTGTGTTATAGATCATATATGAGTCTTAATATCTTTGATGTTTAGGAGATATTAAGGAAGAGCAAATACTCTTAAAACAGAGTTATTCATTTTTTTCTTTCTTTGACAAATTAAACTCAAATGTATCTGAGAGAATACCTTTGAACCTTGCTGCGAATCATGCTCCTACCTGAGGAGGCACCCTGATGTTAACATTTAATGAAAATCAAGGAAATGAACAGGCAGAACTTTATGGTTTTTATTTTCCATTTCCTTCTCTTAACACAATGTGAGTGAGGTTGGCAAGACAGATAATGCCTTTGAGAAAAGGAAAGTCAGAGGAAAGGCTCTCTAGGAAATGATTAAAACATCAACCTCCTTTTCCCAGCTTTTGATGAGAGAGCATCCTACTGAATGTGAAAGAAATTCTGTGTCTGGAAAAGCAATGTGAAATATGAATCTGACCAGTGTTTTCTCTCGTAAATGCGAGTGAGATTTTCTAGCAACCAGAATGAAGAATATAGATATCCTCTTAGATTAGATTTCAGCCTCAGTGGGTTTTAGATTTTGAAATCCATTTTGTAGCCTTTGTACATTACATACATATTTATATAGAGAATCTGCAGTAGAGTCTGAAAACTCTCCTGCATTTTAAAATGTCACAGAAAGTGTCAGAGGACTTTCTTTCCCCAGATGAGCATTAAAGACTGGATGAAAACCCCTTGGAAGCAAATTAATGTGGAACAGATGGATGTGGATCTCCGAAGATTTACAAAGGTGATTGTTTCCCATACCTCATGGCTATATGGTATTTAAATACAGTATGTAAAATATTTACCAGTTTAACAAGTCAATTCTGCAAACATTAACTTTAGTAGAGCATACTGTAGCTAAAGTTGTACTCAGTACCTGATAAACTATTCAGAAGCACAGCTATTTTTAGGACAGTGACAGAGGGTCATGGAAAGTGAAGTATTCTTCCCTGGCGGGGGTTGCTTAATATTGCCATATATAGAGTAAGATTTGTGTTCATATAATGTTTGGTGTAAGATTGGCTTATTGCCTTTGCAGAATGCAAAAGGGCATGCCAGAGAGAAGATTTTTTTGTGTGTCAGGAGTGGCTTGAAAAACTGCAAGTGGCTTCTGGTTTGAGAAAATTGGCTATCTGCACAGACATTGCCCAGAGGATGCCAGGATGTTTTACCATCCTGTGGGAGGCTCCTCTCATATCCCCACATGAGAACCTGGAGCTGACAGACAGGATCTCACCCCGCTCCCTAGATTTGAACCACTGATCTGTTGGTCAGCAGTCCTGCTGGCACAGGGTTTAACCCACTGAGCCACCAGAAGCTCCATAGAGAGAAGATATACAGTATATCGTGTTGTAAGACAAACAAGTGGATGATATATATGTACTGTACATATGTATCAACTTCTGGATAATACTTTGTGTATCCTACAAGAGTCAATAGTCTTGGGAATTGAAGAGAATGGTAGTATCTCTATTGGTTAGCTATTATATGTATTATGAACCTATCCCTGAACTAGTCAATCAAGAAGCACCTTACATTTAGACCTCAGTTTAGACCTTCCAGTTTCTACATCTAACATTTCTTTACCCAGGTTCTGCCCTGACTACAGTAAAGCCATTGTGTATGGCCCTGAAAATGGCTGACAATCATTAGTCACATATCCTCCAACATTTCTCAGTTGAAAAGTGGGCAACATTAGCATGTAGTCAAGATGGGAAAAGTTATTAAGAAGGAGGAATCAACACAAGTTAGGAGATGCTACAGTAGTTTGCTTTGGCCCGGGTCTGCTGGGAAGAGCAGGATGGACCTCTACGTCTTCTCTCACTGCTGGTATTAATTGAATGCAAACTACTTTAATACTTTGAATTCAATTTTCAGGAAGAGAAATAAGTTGAGGATAGAAGGGGGAAGTGGGAGGAGGAGAGATAAACTTGGTCATCTTCACAACAGCTGAAAAAGCGGTACAGCAGAGGATTAATAGGGACTCTTCCTACCAAACTGAGACAGTTGAAGAGTATGTATTTCAATATATATATATATATATATATATATATATATATATATATATATAAAATTATTGAATCACCTTTTAGTTTTTTAAAGAAAGTACCTATACCTGTAGCTGAAGCTGTCCATTGCATTCATGCCACATCTGCAGATTTACTATAGTATATTTTGCCAAACACAATGCAAGCAGGAGGAAGTTAGGATTGTGTTTGCTTGCCTTGCTTTCAGTCCCCATGTATTACTCAGATTCTTTTGCACGCAGCCTTTTCATACACATTGTCACTCCATGCATTGCCACAGGAGGTAGCTTTTGCATTTACCTATGTATATGTCCAGAGTTCATGCAGACGTAGGCATAATCTCAGTCTTTCCATGTACTACATTTCCTCTGTTATGGTCAACTGAAAAATGCTTTAGTCAGGATTACTGAGATGAAGTTGTAATAGTCCACATTGTTCAACGCTTTCTCTAATGAAGAAATAAGGGTGATATTTGGATAGTTCAGAGTCATGAAGGCTGGCCCACTTGACAAAACACAGATATTAGCCTTGAAATCAGTATTGTCTTTGACTTCTACCTCACATTAGTTCTCCATCTATTTCTTTTCATGGTTCCTGGCCTATAAAGGATATGAAGACTCTGGATAAAGAAGTACGGATTTGGGATGTCTATATAGGTTTAGAATCAACTGTTAAGAATTTGTTAACATCCTTAAGAGCTGTGAATGAACTCCAGAATGCTGCAGTTCGGAAAAGACACTGGCAACAACTTATGGCTGCAACAGGGGTATTACTTTTTGGTTTTGCACAAGAAAAGTTTATGCTGATGGTGTGATCAAGGACCAAAGTTTATCCTAAGGAGAAAATAATTTATTTCACTTCAATTTCTAGGTATGTTTTGTCATGAATGAAGAAACCACGCTAGGGGAACTTTTTGCTCTTCAGCTCCACAGGGTAGAAGATGAGGCTAAAAATATTGTGGACAAAGCTGTGAAGGAAATGGCAATAGAAAAGGTACCGTATAACATTGTCAATGAGTTTCAAGTGACAAGTGTTTAAATAGGGAGTAGGCTAAATTCTTAATTACATTGGGTCCCTTCTACATAATAGGAGTATAGTGTCTAGATCAGAGGTCTTCAAATTAAGGCACGGGGTCCGAATATGGCCCTCCAAGGTTATTTACCCGGCCCTCGCTCAGGGTCAACCTAAGTCTGAAATGACTTGAAAGCACACAACAACAACAAATATTATTTATTTATTATTTACATCGCTTTTATCTTGCCCTTTTCAGCCCGAAGGCTACTCAGGGTGGCACACAGACCGGCAAAAATTAGTTGCTCCATATATATACATATATCAGTTAGAAGAAGGAGGAGGAGGAGGAGGAGGAGAAGAAGAAGAAGTCGTTTATTTTTTTACCCTGCCTCCATCTCCCCAAGGGGACTCAGGGCAACTTACATGGGGCCAACCCCCAACATACAATTAAAAGCAAAACAATAGCAAGTTACAAATTAAAAAGACACAAAACAGCATAACAGTAATAAACAAACATCAAGCAACAGCAACCCAAAATTTTGGAGGGGTGAAGGAGGCCAACACATCCTAAAATCCCTATAAAAATAATAAAAGTTATAAAAACTATAAAAATCTATAACAAGCAATGTCTTCCAGTCCAATTCCTATCTCATCAGCCAAAAGCAGGCCCACACTTCCCATTGAAATACTAATAAGTTTATATTTGTTAAAACCGTTCTTCATTTTAATTATTGTATTGTTTTAAGTGTTTTTGCACTACAAATAAGATATGTGCAGTGTGCATAGGAATTCATTCATGTTTGTTTCAAATTATAATCTGGCCCTCCAACAGTTTGAGGGAGTGTGACCTGGCCCTCTGTTTAAGAAGTTTGTGGACCCCTGACCTAGACTGATGGTAGTAATAGTCTCACTCTATTCTGCTTTGGTCAGACCTCACTTGAAATACTTATTCCAATTAGGGGTACAAGAGTCCAAAAAGGATATTGACAAGCTACAACATGTACAGAGAAGGACAATCAAAATGGTGAAAGATCTGGAAACCAGGTCTTATGAGGGATGGCTAAGAGTATAAAGATAAAGGAAAAGGTTTCCCCTGATATTAAGTCTAGTCATGTCTGACTCTGGGAAGTTGGTGCTCATCTCCGTTTCTAAGCTGAAGAGCCAGCATTGTCTGTAAACACCTCCAAAGTCATGTTGCTGGCATGACTGCAAGGAGCACCATTACCTTCCCACCGGAGCGGTACCTATTGATCTACTCACATTTGCATGTTTTCAAACTGCTAAGTTGGCAGAAGCTGGGGCTAACACCGGGACCTCACCCCGCTCCCTGGATTTGAACCGCTGAACTTTCAGTCAGCAAGTTCTACAGCTCAGTGGTTTAAGCCACTGCGCCACCAGGGGCTCTGGCTAAAGGTATATATAGTTGTATATGTTTATCTTGGGGAAAAAAAAAACATATTTTCCCCCAAGATAAGCATATATGTCTAAGGGTATATACAGTTGTATATGTTTATCTTGGACAAAAAGAGTGGGAGGGGACATGAGAGTCATGTTTAAATATCTGAAAGGATGTCACATTGAGGAGAAGCCAAGCTTCTGTTCTGCTGCTTTGGAGTCTAGGACACAGAGCAATGGATTCAAATAACAGGGAAAAAAGATTCCATGTAAATATTAGGAAGAACTTCCTGAGAGTGGAATGTGCTGCCTTTGAGTGCAATGGAGTCTCCTTCTCTGGAGGTTTTCAAGCAGAGGCTGGAACGCCATCTTTTAAGAGTGCTCAAGCCCCCCCCCCCTTCCCGGCTACATGCCTGCCTATTACTATCATGGCTTCATCCAGTAGAATTCTGGAGAAAGCAAAGTAAGGTTATTAAGAATTATTAGAAAACCACAAAGCCCAGATTCCATAGGAGGCAGCCTTGGTATAAATTGTGTTTGTAGAGTGATGGGAATCAAGGCAGCACCTGCAGAAGAACTGTTGCTGCTTGATGTTTTTTCCCTTCCACAGGTGCTGATAGAAATCCATCAAACATGGAGTGTAATGGATTTCTCATATGAACAACACCACAGCACAGGCACACCACTGTTGAAATCAGATGAAAACCTAATAGAAACTCTAGAAGACAATCAGGTAATAAATCAAATTTAAGATTGTCAAGGCTTCTAGTATGTTTTGCTACTAAAATATTTAATGAAAGTCTTAAATTTTGGAGGCTATGCCTTTTGTCATCACCTGATAATTACCTTAACCCTTGACAAGTCCCACTTGCATCACTATAACTCCCACTACTGAAAAGAGGTAGAACCTGCCATTTTAATTTTCCTTCTATTCCTGTTCCTTTCCTAGTTTTGGAGCAGTTGTTGAGAATTTTTGTTCCTTTCCCACAGATATTGTTTTTGAAAATTAGGTCATCAGGACCATGCATCATGTCACATTTTTCACAAAACATATAGATTTGTATGTACCTTTCCAGTGATTAATGCATAGCCATGCACTTTCTTTATATAGTCTCACATTTAGTTATTCATATTTTTCAGATGTTAGAGTTTTTTTCTCCATGCTGCAAGTGTCAAAAACATGCAGATTTCCTGGCAGAAGTGTACTTCATTCCACTGTGGTCTCATGAGGATATTTTATACAGAAATACAGTGGGGTCTTGGTATCTATTGAGTTTTGGTTCCAGGACCCCTGTGGATATTAATGGGTGCTCAAGTCCCCTTATACATAATGATATAGTAAAATAGTGTTTCCTATATAAAATGGCAAGATTAAAACTTGCTTTCTGGATTAAAAAAAACCTTTTCAGGCTGTGAATGGTTTTGATACAGCAAGTACACAATCTGTAGATACAAAGGGCCTACTTTAGAAATTATGTTTCTTTTCCATATCTATACAAATCTTTATCGCCTGCTGAAGTAGCTTTTGGCATACCATGAAGAACTACCAGTCTTAGCTGGGATTTTTCATCCTGGTGGAACAATTCCATGTCTTGGTCTGAATTTTACAAGAACTATCTAAGGTCCTAAACCTTGTGACAGACCAGCTTCAGCACTTTAGACAGCACTTATAAAGTCAAATCCAGGCTAATTTCATTCTTCATTAACATGGAACCATGAGATGCCAGCAGAGGAGGAAAAGGATGATATTGATGCTGCCATCACTGTAGAAGCTGCAGTGAAAAACAAAATAATAATAATAATAATAATAATAATAATAATAATAATAATAACAATCCAGAGCAGAAGAGAAAACTGGCGAAAGAAGGCCCTCCATGGATAGTTCCTGGTAAAAATTGAGAACCAAATTGACAAAGAAAAAACATGGCTGTGGCTCACAAATGGAACTTTGAAAAAGGAGACGGAGGGCCTGATTCTGGCAGCCAAAGAACAAGCAATTTGAACCAATGCCATCAAAGCCAGAATTGAAAAGTCGATGACAGATCCCAAATGTAGACTCTGCAAGGAAGCAGATGAAACAAGAGATCCCATCCTCAGCTGCTGCAAGAAGATCGCGCAGACAGACTACAGGCAGAGGCAGAACACCATTGCTCAGATGATTAATTGGAACTTGTGCCATAAATACCATCTGCCTGCGACAAACAACTGGTGGAATCACAAGCCGGAAAAAGTTACAGAAAATGAACACGTCAAACTCCTCTGGGACTTCTGAATTCAGACAAACAGAGTCTTGGAGCATAATACTCCTGACTTCACGATCGTGTTCAAAAACAAAGTATGGATCGTCAATGTTGCAATCCCAAGTGAGAGCAGAATTGCAGAGAAACGACTGGAAAAGCTGACATGATATGAGGATTTAAAGATCGAATTGCAAAGACTCTGGCACAAGCCAGTAAAGGTGGTCCCAGTGGTGATTGGCACACTGGGCGCAATGCCTAAAGACCTTGGTCTGTACTTAAACACAATCAGCGCTGACAAAATTACCATTTGCCAGCTGCAGAAGGCCACCTTACTAGGATTTGCACGCATTATTCGCTGATACATCACACAGTCCTAGACACTTGGGAAGGGTCCAACATGTGATCCAATACAGCAGCCAGCAGAGTGATCTTGTCTGCTGTGGATTCATCTTGTTATGTTTCTAATAAATAATAATAATAATAATAATAATAATAATAATAATAATAATAACTTTATTCTTGTATCCCACCATCATCTCCTCAAAAAGTGCCATCCAGCGGACTTTATTCTTGTATCCCACCATCATCTTCTCAAAAAGTGCCGTCCAGCGGAGCTTTTCCGAGTTGTCAGAGGCCTGTTAAATCCGCCAAAAAGCGAGGCCTTGGATAACTCGGTGGCTCGCTGTGAAGCATTTGCTCGATCCTTCGCGGATAAAATTGAGCGGATTCGGTCAGGTTTTGACGTCACATTAACGACAGTCTCTGGGGATGTAACGCTGTTGAAGAAACCATCACTGGATCCCACCCAATTCGGCCAGTTTCCAATCTCCCCTATTTGGGCAAAGTCATGGAACGTGTGGTGGCAACACAACTCCAGGGGTTTCTGGTAGACACTGATTATCTAGACCCGGCACAGTCTGGCTTCAGGCCGGGACATGGAACTGAGACAGCCTTGGTCGCCTTGGTAGATGATCTACGCAGGGAACTAGACAGGGGGAGTGTGTCCCTGTTAGTTCTGCTGGACCTCTCAGCGGCCTTCGATACCGTCGATCACGGTATCCTTCTGGGGCGCCTCATGGACATGGGGCTCGGAGGCACTGCTCTGCGGTGGCTTCGATCCTTCCTTGAGGGACGGACCCAGAAGGTGTCATTGGGTGACACCTGTTCGGCTCCGCAACCGTTGTTGTGTGGAGTCCCACAGGGTTCAATTCTGTCCCCGATGTTATTTAACATCTACATGAAGCCGCTGGGAGAGATCATTCGGAGTTTCGGACTAAGATGTTATCTCTATGCAGATGATGTCCAAATCTGTCACTCCTTTCCACCTGTCACCAAGGAGGCTGTCCAGACCTTGAACCGATGTTTAGCCGCTGTATCGGACTGGATGAGAGCTAACAAATTGAAACTGAATCCAGACAAGACAGAGGTCCTACTGGTCAGCCGCAAGGCCGAACAGGGTATAGGGTTACAGCCTGTGTTAGACGGGGTTACACTCCCCCTGAAGACGCAGGTTCGCAGCTTGGGAGTGATCCTGGACTCATCGCTGAGCCTGGAACCCCAGGTCTCAGCGGTGGCCGGGAGAGCTTTCGCACAATTAAAACTTGTGCGCCAGCTGCGCCCGTACCTTGGGAAGTCGGATCTGGCCACGGTGGTCCACGCTCTTGTCACATCCGGTTGGATTACTGCAACGCACTCTACGTGGGGTTGCCTTTGAAGACTGCTCGGAAACTTCAACTAGTCCAGCGAGAGGCAGCCAGATTGCTCACGGAGCGGCATACAGGGAGCATACCACCCCCCTGTTGTGCCAGCTCCACTGGCTGCCGATCCAATTCCGAGCACAATTCAAAGTGCTGGTTTTGACCTACAAAACCCTATACGGTTCCGGCCCAGTGTATTTGTCTGAACGGATCTCCCTCTACATCCCACCTCGAAGCTTAAGATCTTCTGGGGAGGCCCTGCTCTCGACCCCGCCACTCTCACAAGTGAGGTTGGCGGGGACGAGGAGCAGGGCCTTCTCAGTGGTGGCCCCCCACCTGTGGAACTCACTCCCCGGGGAGATTAGATCGGCGACCTCCCTTCTGGCATTCAGGAAAAAACTGAAGACCTGGGTTTGGGACCAAGCCTTTGGACACACTGGCAGCTAAATTAAGGATCTGACGACAGACAAGGACAAATGGAATGGAATGGATATATGGACTCTGAACCCGAGCATGAGATTGTCTTAATATTTTATTATGCACTGATGTTTTAATTCTAACTGTTGAATTGCTTTTTTGTATTTTGTATTACTGTCAATTGATTTAGGCATTTAATTGTGCCTCCTCTGTAAGCCGCCCTGAGTCCCCCCCGGGGTGAGAAGGGCGGGGTATAAGTAAACAAAATAAATAAATAAATAAAAATAAAAAGAGAACATAAAATAAGACATAATACAAAATAAAATAGAATAAAACATAAAGGCATATAAAACAACAACTTAAGACTCAATAAAACAGCGCTTAATAACCAATGGTGATAAGCTACTGTAAACGTGGCCAGGCTGTAAACAATAGGACAAGGAAATGGGATAAGTGTAAAGCTGTAACCATGGAACGAGGGCATGGGATAAAGTGCAATGCTGTGTAGAACAACTAGGGACGGCATTTTCAAAAGCTTTTTTTGAATAGCCAGAAAGATCTGAAAAAGGCCCCATTGCCACATATTATTCCAGATGTGGCTTTTTGGATCCTGGCCCTTATTTTGCAGAACTATTTGAGCTATTATATGGAATAGACAGTAAAGACTCTGTTATCATTTCAGGCAAGAGGCATTTTATTTTGGATGAACACAAGATTAGTTTTACAGTGTATTGCCCCCCGCTAAAGTACTAAGGATGAAATATATTAACATGATTGTAAGCCATTGGAAGGATTCCTCGGGCATTTTAAATGGACCTTGTAGAATTTCCACATACTTTTTATGATACATAGAGAAGAATGCTAATGGCTGCATTGAATTAAATATTAATTTGTTTTAATCCACAGTTTAGCCCTCCTGCTTTCTAATCTTTACCACAGTTCTAAATATTTGTCAAGCATAAGTATATATGTGTGTGTGTTTGTACACACGCATTGATGGAAAAGGGAGGGGTAGAGACGAAGAGTGAGACTTTTAGGTGTATCTCTCCACATTGATGGAGAGGGGAAGAGTAGAGACTTGAAGGGCAAGACTTGTGGTTGCATATCTCCACAGATAATGCCGTTTCATACTTCTTAAGCTGCCATGGTTTTACCCTATAAAACCTTGAGATTAGTAGTTTGAGCTTTAGTATACCTTGCCAAACCTCAGCACTAAAACTCCCCAATGGAGAATTCTTTGTTATTGTATCTTTATTAGATCATTCATAATATAATAAAATACAGTGAAAAGGGGTAACAATATACAAACAAAAGGAAAGAATAATAAGAAAAGTCATAAAAAGGAAGAGCAACAAAGAACAGAAAGAAAAGAATTTACATTTGATCTCTAACTTTCCTAATGACAATTATGCATCCTATTATATAAAATAATTTCTCCCACTATAATTACAATTCATATACTTCTACAGTATAACCAAACCTATTAATTATCAAAACCTACAGTTAACATATTATTCCCCTTTTTTTCTGCAAGAGGACGATTAGTGGTTTCCAGTCTTTTGAAAATGTTGCCACTGACTTGACTCTAATCAGTGCTATTAATTTGTCTTTTTTGGCTAGGTCAGTCATTTTCAACAACCACTCCACATTTGTTAAAATTATGTTATTTTTCCATATCTGTACACACACTAATTTGCAGCAATGGTCATGTATCATTGCAGTCTTTCACATGTCTCTTCCATTTGGTTATCTATCATTCCCAATAAAAACAATTCTGGTTTCAATTGGATGTTAACATTAAAAATCCCCTGAATCAAATTATATGTTTAATTCTATTTTTTAAGCCTTCCTACATGTCTTCCACATGTGGCAGAATGTCCCAACTTGATATTCACATTTCCACAGGTATCTGAACTTCCTTCATGCATTTCGGTTATTTTCTTTGGAGTGAAATACTGATACATCATTTTATAAACTATCCTTAAGTTCATAGCATAATGTAAATTTCAATTCTTTTGACCACATTTTCCCCATCCTTCCATCTGTATATTATAATTTTGAACTCACTTCATCATACAATCTTTCGCTTGTTCTTCTTCCAAGTCCATATCTAACAAAACTTGCCTATCATATGTTCATCCTCCACACAGAACTGCATCCCAAATTCAGATTTACTCTTTTGAAAGTTTTTTATTTATTCATTTCAAATATTTTCCTATATGAATACCACTGAAAACTATAACTCTCTCACAAGTTTCCTGAACAATTTTCCAAAGATCTTGATTTCTTTTTTGCTTTTATTTTAATTCAGTAAAAAGCCTCTTATACTGACACTCATTGAGGTTTCATGGGGCATAACCATGGCCTGTGTCTATTCCATATTCTTAACAATATATTTCTCAGAGAACAATGCATTTACTTTAGCCTTTTTGTACAATAAATATCCATCCCTGCGAAACATGAGGACATACCTGTACAAGTCTACCCAGCCCAGAATTCTAAGTAACTCACCAAATTAGAAATACCATATTTTCTAAAATGTAATTTTAGAAAATTTTCTGAAATGTAGCAACAGAAGTCAAAGTGCTATAACTGTATGGTGTAAATAGAGTCTGGCTGGCATTCTCTTGTTGGCATACAAATTCATAAGTTGTGGACAAATTATTCACCATAGAACAATAGAATATTCTGTTGACACTTTCAGAAGCAGCGTTGTACGTAAATCAGTGCTATGCACTGTGTTACATACTGCATATTAAACATTGTGGTTGTGTATTGCACATTGCACAATGGCACCCAGTCATTGATCTGTGTTGCTTAGTGTTGCATAGAACTGGTGCAAAATACGAGTATCTCCATGGGTGATATTTATGTTTTGTTGAGGAGAGGTTGGATTGCATCCTCTGTGAGGTTAGATTGTATAGAACATTCATACACAATATTAAATTGCATTTAATAAGCTTATATTATTTATTCAATAACCATGCCTACGTCTGTTTGCAATATACCAATGTGAAGTCTCTAAAGATTAAAGAGCAGCCATTGTAAAGCAACAAATTTATTCAGAATTTGAGGAAAGTGAGTTCAGTGTGGGATCCTGGTGAAAACACAACTCTTAGGAAGAGAATTGAGATTTTCGAGTTGACACCCAATGCTGGAAAAATAACAACAACAGCAACACAACAACAACAACAACTTTATTTTTGTATCCCGCCTCCATCTCCCCGAAGGGACTTGGGGCGGCTTACATGGGGGCAAGCCCGAGGTTCAACATACTTAAAATATAACAACAAAATTTATAAAAAACATTTCAACAGTATAAAAACAACCACACAAATACAATATATAGCCAACATCTAACAAGCTTCAATGGTCTGAGTAGTGCACTGAGTAGAGTTCGGGTGGGTGACTGGTGCAAATCACTTGCCAAAGGATAGGGTTAATGGATAAAGTGCTAAAGGCAGGTGACAAGATTAGAACCCGGGGGGGGGGGGGGGGGGGGGGTAGTGTAAGGAGGACACTATGTCTCTAAAAGAGAACAGTGATAATGTGTAAGATCTAATTCCGACTTGAATTGGTAACCAGAATTATTTGGGGAACTATCTAATCAAAGGCACAGTGGGACATTCATGTTTTTAGTTCTTTTCGGAAGGTGGACAGGGTGCGTGCCAGTCTAATCCATACAAAACATAAGGACTGAATATTTTCAGTAGGAACACAAATCTAGTTGACAGCTGGAAAGGGCAAGGAAGTACTCTGAAGGAGGACATTGCTGACTGACTAGAAAACTAAACAAGCTATTTGTTGTAAAGTCCACATTTTAGTATGACAATCATTGTTAAAATGATAGTACATGTAGTTGATAATATGATTTTTTTTCCAATACATGCAGGTTCAGCTACAAAACATCCTGATGAGTAAATATGTGGAATATTTCTTGGTGGAGGTGAGCAGTTGGCAGAAAAAATTAATGGTGGCAGATATGGTCATTTCAGTGTGGCTGGAAGTGCAGAAAACTTGGGCTCACCTCCAGAGTATTTTCACAAATTCTGAAGATATCCGGAACCAGCTTGCAGAAGATGCAAAAAGATTTGAGGAGATTGATCAGGATTTTAAGGTATGAGGAAACATCCCAATGTTGTTTTCTTCAGATAAAGGAGTATATTTAGGAAGACTTTTGCTCAATTTGTGTTATAGCTTACCAAATGTTTCTATCTCTTCCATATTGAAATGCAATGCTCTTTCCAAAATATATTGGAATGTTCTACCTATCTATCTGTTCTACCTATCTATCTGTTTTTGTTTCCTTCCTTTTTAAAAACCCTTTGCGTGTTCAGGAACTTATGGCTGTGGTGGTGAAGACAAATAAAGTTGTAGAAGTAACCAACCAGATGGGACTGCTTGAAAAACTGGAAATTCTTCAACAAAGGTTTGATTTGAATGGTTCTAAGGGTGCTTTCAGACAGGCTAGAAATCTGCACCAAAGCAGGTATAAAAATCCGGTTTAGCATGGATTTCTGACCCCACTCCCACCCAAAAACCTGGGCTTTCCTGAGGGAGGAGTGGCTTCATGCCATTCTGATTAAAATCGGAATGGCATGCAGCCACCCCGAAGCACCCCAAATTTTCCCTAAAAAGTAAAACAACTTATGTGGCTGCCATAATGTTTCTCCTCATGCTATGAGGGCTTGAGGAAATTATGCACCAAGAGATGGGAGGGGGGGGGAGGAAAATCCCTCCTCACCCCCCCCCCCCAGTCGCCTGGTGTGTCATTCCCTCGTACTCTCCTGGCATGAACTTTATGGCAGCCAGGTAAGTTTTTTTTACTTTTTAGGGGGAAATGGGAGGCTGGGGGGAGAGGGTGGATGCCATCCTGGACTTTTGGGCTCTAGAAGCCCAAAAGGTTTGGGATGGCAAATGGGGACTCACCCCTGGGTAGTCCTGGAACTACCTGGAAGTGAGTCCCCAAAGGCCCAATATTCCATTAGACCCATGACTTTCAAGAAGGCCCACATCTAATGGGGTATCTAATTAATTTGGAATAACTTAGGTTATTTCAAAGTAGTTCCATTTTACTGGAGGCATTTGGATGCTTCCGGTATAAGACCAAGGCATGTCCTGGTTTTTGGGCCTGTCTGGACGGGCCCAAAAAGACTACATAGTCTCACTGTGAAATCTGCTGTGATATTCTTGAAAGTACTTTGATATTTAATAAAGCTTGTAAAAGCTGAGCTGACCAGTATTTCTCAGACTGATGTGTAGTTGGAATTTAACTTCACATTTGATTGCATGCTCCAACATTGTAAAGATACTAAAATATTTAAGAAATCTGTAATCTCAGAGAAAATACTGAATCTGATACAAGAAGTAAATCTCCAATTCAGGGGAATTCCTTTGTTAATAAATTTGTTTAGGATTGTAGGAGTGGCCATTCTAATTTAAGGAACCCATATTGCTCCAACTGCTGGAGAATACTAGTTCCCACGATCCCTTGCTGGCCTGGCCAATAGTGAAATATGATGGGAGAAGTAATTCATCAGTTTTTGCCCTGTTCTCAGGCATCCATATGCTTGGATTGTGATGTAAATAAGGAAAGAGTCAATTCTTACATTAGAAACAGCTTGTTTGCTTTTCTTCCTTCCTTTCTTCTATCCATCCATTTTGGGGTTTTTGTTTACAGGCTTACACTTTGTGAAAAATCTTTAGCTGACTATTTAGATGCTAAGAGACTCATTTTTCCAAGATTCTACTTTGTCTCTACTGTGGATTTATTAGAAATCATATCTAAAGGAACTCATCCTAAGCAGGTAAATATCTCTTTCCGAGCTTTTGCCTTACTTAATTCTCAGTGATAAATCACAGCTATGATATTATCAGCTTTTTGCAATGTGTGCTAACAGATTACCAGACACTTGGTGAAGCTGTTTGACAATGTGGCTGACCTTAAATTTGAGGAAAACAAAAATAAAGGCATACAAATGGCTATGGGGATGTACAGCAGAGAAGGAGAGTTTGTCCTCTTATCAGAGCAGTGTCCCTGTGAAGGACAGGTAAGTCTAGAGCGCATGTGTCAAACTCAAGGCCTGCCATGTCATTTTATGTGGCCCTCCAGATGCTGGTCTAGAACACTTGTACTTATCATTAGACATCATGACTAGAACTGATGGGAGTTGTGATACAGTAGCATCTAGAAGTTTGCAATTTGTTCTTTTTACTCAGAATAGTGGGCTTTGAATTCAGATACAAGGCTTGTGGATATGATGTCTGACTCTAAAATGTTCTTTAACCTAACCCCAACCTCAGAGCCACAAGGGCTGTTGGGTTGCAATTCCCCTTATTCCCAGTCCATATGGCGGATAATCAAAAGTGATGGGAGTTGTTCAATAAGATCTGCCACTAATTTAAAACCATATAAAGACATTTTAACATACCAATAAGAACAGAATTGTATCATGCATGCACACATACCATTAAAAGATTCAGTTTGCATTTTCTTCTTGTGTTTGTTTTATTTAGGCTTTGTTTGTACTTCTCAGATGGAAATTCTAATTTTTGGTAGATCCTTTCTACTAACATACACCTTAGGCTATTCATTAAAATATGTATGCACATTAGTAAGCATTTTCCCAGTTGACCGAAGCATTTTGTACTCATTTCCCCAAATGCACACATTTTTGAAAGGTGGTCATGGAAAGAATAAAAGAATCCACCAGCCATGTTGTACTACTAATCACAAGAAAATAAAAGTTTGTTACAGTCTAAAATGGATATCTGAATGTGCAAACAAGCTGCTTTCTTGTCATTATCTCTCCTCATCCTCCTGCTGCCTTTACATTTGCCCTCTTAAACTCTGCTTCTTTTGGGGGTTACTTCCATGTCATGCTGATGCCCACTGTGTAAATTCAAGCTGTTAAATATCATAGATACCAGAATAAAGGAATGGTTGCAGAGAGTTCTTATAGGAATTGTTTTCCAATTGTGCTTCCATTTAGCCACTTCTGTGTCCATGGCTCCATCTGTTTACAGTCCTCATCAGCTGTTTTGGGGTTTTAAAATTTGCACATGCATTGTAGCAATCTACACCAGCATACTGCAATGAACTTCCATGTTTTTCTTGAGTGCAGGGATATACAGTGACAGCGATATGAATCTGAACATTTTTGGGCAATCTTGGATTTTCAGTGCAACTTTATAATCCGTGTTTTGCAGCCAATGATGCAATTCAACATGCATTTTCAGCAAGTGTCATTGAGCCACTTCCCCCCCCCCCTTTATCCCAGTTTCTCTCAGATTTTAGGGCCTTTGCAGAAGGACCCATAGTGCTGTCATTATGTAGTGTGAAAAAGACCTAAATGGTAACAACCATCACAAACCTCTCATTAATCCAAATAATATTTTTATTTATAAATTCTGTTAGGAGAGGTTATTACAGAATAAGCACATATAAAACACAGTGTGTTGAAAAGAGTTTTCTGTGCCACATAAATATGTCTGTTTCTGTCTTCTGAGATTTTGCACAGCAAGCTTAGGAAACCTGTGACCCTTTAGATATTGTTGGATCTTTCCTGGATTTTGAAGACTCCAACAAAATGAGGAGAGCTACAAAGTTGTACTAGGTCTCCCTATCGCAAACCATTGAACCAAAATGAAGTTTTCAACAAAGCTAACTACATATCCATGCCAATGACTGGCCTGCGTATGTGAGGTGTGAATTTGGTATAAAAGCCACAAATGAAGCAGAATTCTTCCCATCACTTACGTTCATCTGTCTGTCTGTGTTCTTTAGGCAGAATGTTGGTTAAGCTGTTTAGAAGAAATTATGCATCATACAGTTAAGCAGAAAATAATGGATGCTGTGATAGCTTATGAGGATAAGCCACGAGATCAGTGGCTCTTTGACTATCCAGCCCAAGTGGCTTTGACTAGCAGTCAGATTTGGTGGGCTGCGGATGTCCGGATTACTTTTGAGCGGCTTGAAGAAGGGTTTGAAACTGCTTTAAAAGACTACAACCGCAAACAGGCAAGTATATGTGCCTCTTTGCCTCTGTGTCTCCCAACTCTGGCTAGTCTATGCATGTACTTTAACACTGTATTGTTTTTAACTGAATAATATTTTAATAATTAGTGTAAATGAAAGTTACTGTTGTTTATATCATTTATGTCTAATGTCGGATATGTTAGATTTTTTTGGGGGACATGATCGCTTGTTTTATGTTTGTTATTTATGATGTGGATCTGGCATTTAATATTTGCCATCTTTGGTTGTGACTCCGCCGAGTCCCCTGGGGGAGAGAGGGCAGAATATAAATAAAGTTATTATTATTATTATTATTATTATTATTATTATTAGCATTATTATTAGCATTCCAGCTGCTTTGAGTCTGTTTCAAGCCAGAAAAAAATAGCCATATAAATATAAATATCATAATCATCATCATCATCATCACCATCATCACCATCACCATCTACAAACAGCTACTGCTTCTTAAACAGTGAGTGCTGACCCCAAATGGGATCCCCTCAGCTCATGGTTGGGGTCAGAAACACTTGACAACAATACAGGTTTTATGAACATCACCAAGTGACTGTTTTAGATATTTACACAAATTTGCTGTGTAGCGTTTACATGGACTCTGTAGAAGATGCTTCAGTTGTACTTTATAAAAAGAAAAATCAACCTATTTAGCAAGCCTTTCAAATGCTGATTTGTTATCAGTAAAGGTTTGATTTTTGGCCTATTTTATATACCCATATACCGTGGTCACATAAAAATGTAGCAGGCCAAAAGGGGCTGTAAGTGGAAACGTTTAAGAAGCTCTGCACTAAACCATGGGTGGAAAATGTGTCACTTTCAGGTGTTGTTGGATTGTAATTCTCAGAAATGTTATGCAGCAGAACTAATCCTGAGAATTACTGGAGTTGCAGACCAACAATATCTGGAGGACCTCTCCATTTTCTCCCTTGTTCTTAGATCCTAGGACCATGTTCTATAATAACATATCTGACAGAGTACAGAAACCGTGTTCAACTATGTCTCCTTTCCCTCTAGAGATTGCGTAAAATTATCAAATCCCACGACTTTCCCTAGCATGATACAAAATCCTATTTGGGATCAAGGCATAGAAGTGTTCCGCCTCCTGAAATTGCTTAGAGAACTCTTTAATGCTATTTTACATTTCAGCACTCTATCAGGTCTTCCTCCAAGTACCATGTGGGTTTGATTCCTACCAATTTGATAGCAACTCCAGTGATTTATTGTAGGTATCTTGGCATCAGTTCTTGGTGTACGCATGTGTGTTGTGAATCGAGCATTCAAGATTTCAGGAAGATGAATTGGCTTTTCATCTTTTGTCACATGAGATAGTTAATATATCAGGATAGCTATGCATGATTCCCCCATCTTTTTTGGTAAAAGAGTTTAAATAACAAAGCATCGCTGTTTGGCTATTGTGTAATTCTTTATGCTCTGTGTACCGAAACTCTTAATAATTCCATCACATTGAATTCTCAAGCAAATGCAGCACAAATGAATCTGTGTGGCAGAATTTAATATATAGTGAAATAAAAGTGATGGCCACTAGCTGAAGAGTATATCTTTGTTATTAAGGATGCAAATTGCAATTATGAGAAAACAATACCATTATTAGTTTGCCAAAGTTATTTGTATTGATTAAAAGCCCCAATAAGTATGCCTTGCTTGCCAGAGCTGCTCCATTTAGCACTTGACATATAATCGGGTTTTCCCTTCTCAGTGTAATATCTCCATTGAAATATAATTATTTCACAGATTGCTCAACTGAACGCCCTTATAAACATGCTGCTAGGGGAACTCACCCCTGGAGATCGTCAGAAGATCATGACAATATGCACAATTGATGTACATGCAAGAGATGTTGTAGCCAAGCTTATAGCACAGAAGGTAATTTGTTGCAGAGCAATTACCCTAATGCATTTTTAAAAGCATAAAATAAAGAATAATTTCATTTGTTGAAAAGATATTTGGCTTGCTTATGTATAAGGATGACAGAGTATTTTGAGTCAATCAATGTCTGTCCTTTTTCCTTTGGTTTCAGACTAAATAATTACATTTACCAGTTTTGGGGGGAGGATGCTACTTAAATGTGTGTGCGTGTGTGTCCAAATGTTTTGTGTTTATTAAAACTGTATGCTATGGAATGATAGCAAGTTCTCAATTATCTTTCCCAGACTTGTTCAATATTACTGTGAACGTGTGCATTTATTACAACTCACTTTGCAATTTAAATTGTACAAAACACTATAATTGCATAGGAATCTAGCAGAGAACCCCCCCCCCCCCCCCCCCCCCACCTTCAGGAAAGTTGTAATGTTAACTTGACAGTTACTTCCAGCCTCACTCTAAATGTATGGCTTCCCTGCAGAACTTCAGGCACTTCAGAAAGAAGCAAGTTATGGTTTCATCAAGTGGGTTCATTTCCCCTAATCCTTGACAGTGTAACCACTAACATGTCCTCGCCCTCTGGCCCAATCCATTATACCACAGCTCCAGAAGGAGAAGGCAAGGCAAGGCAAGGGGAAACTGTTGCTCCCTCTCCTTGGTCATATCACTGTATTCCTTGCTAGGAAAGGGCAGTTTGAGAGCAATTTGGCCCTAGACATTTTTCTGTTTGAGCTAGAAAAGGAAGTGGTTGTCTCTCTCTAGTCAAGGAAAAGCATGGTACAAAAAGCCAGGTATGCTGTTTGGGAACATGAGGTGGAAAATTTCACCAGGATTGTCGAAGGCTTTCACGTCTGGAATCACTGGGGTGTTGTGTGGTTTCTGACCGTGTTCTAGCAGCATTTTCTCCTGATGTTTTGCATGCATCTGTGGCTGGCATCTTCAGAGACATGCAAGTGTGGAAAAGAGCAAACCATAGACCACTTACTACAGTGCAGTCTGAGCCCTGCCACATGCACAATGGAGGATCTTCTTACAGCAACACCAGAGGCACTCAAAGTGGCCAGCTTCTGGTCAAAGGAAATTTAGTACAATGCCAAGTTTCTAACTTTGTTTGCGGTTTTCCTATACATTATAACTGTATCCTCAATTTGTGTCCTACATGATAAATAAAATAAAATCTTCAGGGGATCAGACGAAACATCTGAAGAAAATGATGCTACAACACAGCCATACAGCCTGGAAACTACACAACACCCCAAATTCATCAGTATTTGTTTTTCCCACTTGGAGAGAAATGCCGAATAGAAATAGGATAAAACCAAGAAATGAATACAATCATTTCTCCACATTTGGTGGGCTTGGAGGCACAGGATCTCTGTGAAAGTATAAAACAGCAAATGAAGAAATTTCTTCCTTTTTTTACTTGATTGAAAACTTCTCTATGAATTTCTAGGTCTTCCAGCATGATTATACGGTCAACTTCCTCTGAAATCTGAAGATAGAATCACATTGGAGGACATAGAGATTCCTAGAGAGATGCTCTCTCTAGAAAACTCTGGGTCCTCCAACATTACTGGAGGAAGCTGACCATAGAGCCACACAGGAGGAGTTAGAACTTTTTAGAGATGATGTTTTTAATCAAATTTGTGAACAATCAAATCCCCTAAAGTCAAAAGCACAAATGTAGAGGGAAAACTGTAATAACAAAAGACGAAATTAATAGTAAGCAAGCATAGGACAGTGGTTTGACTCAAGTAAACCAGGGTATGATTCCTTGCTCAGCTATGGGGACACACACTGAGGGGTCTTGGACATGACACACTCTCTTGGCTTATAGCAACAGCAATGGCAAAACCTGTCTGAACAGAAGTTCAGAGATTGACTATTTGGATACTTCTCTATATAGACCATATTGAAAAGTAAAGGTTTTCCCTTGACATTAAATCTAGTTGAGTCCAACTCTGTGGGGTGATGCTCTGTAGACGCCTCCAAAGTCAGGTGGCCGGCATGACTGCATGGAGCTTCCCGCTGGAGTGGTACCTATTGATCTATTCACATTTGCATGATTTTGAACTGCTAGATTGACAGGAGCTGGGGCTAACAACAGGAGCTCATTCCGTTTCATAGATTCAAACCGCCAAGCTTCTGGTCTGCAAGTTCTGCAGCTTAGTGATTTAACCAGCTACACCACCACAGCCCCATAGAACATATTTACTGGTTGCAAGTTAACCTATGAAATGATGTTGGTCACCCTTTCTCAGCCTTGGTGACTATAAGTAGCATCATTCTCAACTGTTGGGGGAGGGGCATGAGGGAAGGAGAGGCATTATATTGCCATTTGTCTCGGATGCCAAAATGTTTGTGGTCTTTCCTCGCTTTCCCGCTTTTCTAGAATCCCTGCATTTTACTTGATAAACTGTATTCAGAATGTAGCAAAATATGAACCGTGGTTACTAGAGGTTCTGCTATCAGTGAATCTATCCTATGGTTTAGTGTCAACTTCAAAATAAATGTTGCATTGAATTTGATTATCATCATATAGTGGGGAGAAAGAAGAGAAAAAATATTTCTAGACTTGTACATTAGTTATAGAATTTTCTGGAATATCTATTAATTTGTTGCTCCCCCTTTCCTTTTTCTTGAGGTTTCTAATGGACAAGCATTTACATGGCTATCACAACTGCGTCACCGATGGGATGAAGAGCTAAGCGAATGTTTTGTCAACATTTGTGATGCCCAATTTCGGTATGCTTATGAATATCTTGGGAATAGTCCCAGACTTGTAATCACGCCGCTAACTGACAGGTAAGGGCCGTAATTGAAATGGCTGAAGGGCAGAATGGCCTGAGTGAAAATTGGCCTGTTCCTTTAATGGCTGCATAGAAGAAGGAATTCCAGCAAGTGTTGAGAGTCAGCTGGTTGCATGACAAGCAACACCTTCTGAAATTTCTGTTTTACACGACCATTAAAAGTACATAAACTTTCAACAATTTTTAATCTGGCAACTATGATTTGGAGAAAATTTTAAGAGAGTAGAATTATGAAGTTTTCTGGGTTTTAGCTTTTCTAATCGTTTCTCCATTTCTGAATATACGTATAAAATAGCGAAATTTATGCATCAACAAACAGCCTGATTATTAGGAGAGTGGGAAAGTGGTTGGATTTTGGTTTAAAAAAATAACTGTTATTCTTTCTTAAAAACATGAGTATTTTCTCCATCTTTTCTAATGTTGGGTCTGCAGAGGTGTAAATGGGTCTAGCTAACTTTATTGATCAACATTTTACCTCAAAAAAGGAGAAAAAAATCCCAAATGCTGCGATCTTATGCCTGTTTAGCCAGGAGTAAGTACCATTTGACTATCCTGTTAATTATTTTTTGCATTTTTTGCATATGGTGAAAGCAATTTGTTGAGGAGAATGGTCTTTTCACTCTCTTTACTTGCATTCAGGGTTTTTTTTAAAGATCCAACAACTGTGTGTTGCTCTGAACAGTTGCTGAAGAAAAATCTCTTTCCACTGAACATAATCGTTTTGTTGTGGTGCAATGCACAATAGCAGTTGGAAGGGAAAATTTGCAGCAATTTTAAATATTCTTTTTGCTGAAATTGTTTATCCACATTGCCAAAGCCTTTAAGGAAGTACTGATGTTTTTTGCATTGTCAAGAGCAGCTGTCTCTGTCTCCTGCGGCTGGCTGCCCACTAACTAGACAGATGGCAGACAGAAGCTGATGTAAAAAGGCAGAAGAGGAGTGGGGGAAGGAAACATGGCAGCACCTCTAAGGCTAGCTAAGGGTTTTTATTTTATTTTACCACGGGTAGATATAAACACACTTCTTCAGATGCAATGCATAGTGACTGAGGTGTGTCTACTCTATGCAGAAACAACTTTTCTGGATTGCAGGGAGCACAGCTGCCATACAGTTATGAGAGGGTTGATGGCACCTCTGTAGTTTGAGACCTGGGAAACCTTGTCTGGAACCATACGCTCTGAAGGGGTGATTAAGATGGCCCATTTCTCTCTGTGTGTTTTAATGTGCTTAAATAATCAAGCTGCCAAATAGCATTAAAATATAGAATTCCTATTAATTGCCATTTTTCATGATAACCTGACAATGAAGCCCAAAGTGAGTAAGACTGATTTGCCACAGAGATGAACTTTTTAATATATGTATATACAGTGAGGAAAGGAAACAGACGCAGGGTATACAGGGCAGCCAAGGAGCTGCAGAGGATGCCTGTTGACCAAACTCGCAGCAACAGCCTCTTCCTGTGTCTTTTTGCAGAGACCTGCAGGGAGGCTGGGACTAATGAGACCGGAGCATACAAATTAGCCCTAGCCGAGCCAGCAGGTCAGAGAGGGCTGAGCAGAAAGTTTTGACAATACCCGAGAAAAGAAAAATAACAGGAAATAATTTCAAAGCTGAGCTATCTTCTGTAATTTACCAGTTGAATAATAGTCTCGTGCCGCTGTTTCTGCTGATCTTCACAGGTCACTGTATTCAAGAAAACAGGGTCCATAAAAGGAACTTCTTTAAACTCTGCTTCCTTCCCCACCATACCTGGCCAAAACTGTGATAATTAGATGCAGCAAAAGTACCAAAAGGAGATACCCCTGGGAATGTGAAGAAACTATACTGTTTCCTTTGTTAGTTGCATTAGGATAGGGAAAACGATTTTCCTTGGCCCTCAACAGGACAATCAGTGTATAGCTGGGGTAATCCATAAGGCCCTTTCACAATTCTGCAAATTTATAACACATTGGCTGTATCCAACGAGTCCCTGGGGTTTATACTTTGGTCAGAGACACCATAGCAGCTCCCTGTTTCAGGATTATAAACCACCCACACTAAACTGAAAATCCCAGAATTCAGTCAGATCCTGTTAGAGTGGAATAATAAATACTGGATTTCATGCTTCCCATGACTGGATGCTTTTGATAAAATGCCTCAACATGATGATGTTCAGTTTAGATGTGCCACTTTATAGACCACTGATACATTTACCTGGTTTGGACTGGAGTGATACTGGGGATCCTACTTCTGGTTTAAAATTAATTTGACTGGTAACCCCACAATCCATATTCTATACAAAATAGACCATGAACAAGAAAAAGAATTTTAATTTATTCCCAATAGCTGAAATTTGGAGATCAGTATTAAACTTTGGATGTCAGTGCTAACAGAACCATCAAGTATGATTAAAATTTATTCATAATGTACCTTTTGGAGAACAAAAAAAAATCTATTGTTTTGGGACCTGATGGATCTGATCAAGAATACGTTTTTATTTTTTATCCTTTTCTAGTGATATACTAAGTTTGGAGATCCTGTGATCAAGTATGCAGAGTCATACAGTTTGAATTACAGCATGGGTAACCAAAGCTTATCTCTCCAAATGTTGTTGGAATATAATTTCCATTATCCTTAGCCAACATAGCCAATGATGATTAAGGACCTCATCACATGGGGGTCCAGGCACCTGGGGACAGTGTGGTTGGTAATGGGCTGCCATGCCATGACATTTCCCCATTGTCCCCAGCTTCCTCCCATGCTGTCCCCTGTTTCTTCAATGAGGAGACGAGTAGTCACCCGCCTCCTCAGGGCTCCCTCTTAGTGCGCTGCTGGAACGGAGCCCAACAGAGCCCCACCAGAAGTATCCCTGTGTCATATGATGGGTTCTGGTGGACTCTGTCCATCTGTTGTCAGTCATTATACATTTTAGCATGTCAAACTATCAAGTCCAAGAGCATATACAATGAATTTTAGAATTTTAATCAAAATTCACTTTGTAAAGTTTGTTTCCTTTATTGATGACATTTTTAAAATAAATGTTTTATATTGAATCACAATAGCTGACTATTATTAATACATCATATACCAGAATCAGATATTTTCATCGTCTAAACAAGTTTTCATAGAGCTAATTTAAAGTAGTTTGAAGATGCTATCCTGGGCTCATTGGTATCAAAGACTGGTTGTCAGATTCAAGATACCACTTTCAGATTGGCATTTTTGATTGAAATAATAAGCAAATAGTTGAGTTTCAGGTACGAATTCTTTAGGCTACACCAGTTTGACAAACATCTCTGACACAAAGAAATCTGTTGGAGATGAGGATTTAGAACAATATAAATTGATTATCTCTTATCCAACATAGTTAGGATCAGAAGTGTTTTGGATTTTTGGATGGATGTTAGGTGGTGGGGATTTATCAGGAATTCTGAAATCCAAATATTCCAAAATCCAAAATTGTCCACATGAGAGTCAATTCTAAACATGAAAGTCATTTATGTTTCATGTACAACTAATACATGTAGCTGAAGGTAAATTATTTGTAATATTTTTGTGTATTAACAAAGTATGTGTACATTGAACCATCAAAAAGCAAAGCTTTCATTATCTCAGCCAGCCATGTGGACAATTTTGGAGTATTTTGAACTTCATAATTCCTGATAGGGATGCCCAATCTGTACCAGCAATGCTGTATTTTTCTGGTTCACTCTGCACAACATTTTTCTGGTGCACTTGAGAATATCATTCTCCAGTCTGGCTAGGCATTTGTCCCTTTATAGCTGATTCAAGTTTCACAGAATTTTTCTTTTCAAAAATATCAAGAGACAAAGCAAGTAAGAGAGTAACCCCCAACCTTAATGTGAGGAACTTTGCACTTTTTCCATAGCCAATCCCATGCCACACCGAGTACAGCCAGAAAAGTTACATGTTTTTTGTAACTGCCAAAAGAGAACTTTCCCCCTAGAGTAAAATTTATAAAAAGAAATTCTATTCCTTATTTCTTTAAAAGTTGTGGATTAAGAAAAACTTTTTCTCCCCCTTCTTTTTAACATGTTGGGGCATTTCCTGTGACCTTGAAGAGGAAGGAGCTAGGGACAAATTTTCTTTTAATGATGAAGCAGTCCACCTAGTAGTAACTGAATCCCCCACGTATCCTTCCCCATGCCTTTTTGTGTGCATAACTTTAGAAGTTTTGAAAAGAACAATAACATTCTTGTACATGACAGAAACAGCTGGTTAAAAAAAGATAGGAAAGGCTGGCCACTTAGATTTCACCAGATGGGTAGAGTATGACATGATCAATTATATCTTAGTAAAGCGGTAGGATCAATGCGCTGGAGGAGGGCATACAAGAACAAACGAAGAAGGACACCTTGTGGAGTTTAAGGAAAAAAGGGTAGAGAGCATCGTGATCAGGAAAGGACAAAGGAAATAGCCCACTCCTTCAGAAGCCAATGGAGGCAGGCCTACTAGTAAAGTACAAGGAGAGCAGGTATACAGTAATAATAATAAGTACTGCAGGGTTATAGGATCATGTGGAGATGGTCACGGAAGAAAGCAAAAGTACCGTAGCGCTAAAGGAAAAGGTTTTCTGGAAGTCAAAGATATCAGAGAGCACACAAAAGACAATCACGAGGGTGAAGGAGATGAAGATCAAGGGTGGAGAAGAAGACTAATGAGGAAGAAGAAGATTTAGAGAAAGCTGGAAGACCTAGTGAGGCCCTCTAGCATGAGAGATGAAAGAGCACAGGGTGGTAAATAGCAGAAGAGATTTCTTCAAGCTGGCGAACAATGCCAGTGGCAGGAAGCCTAGAAAGCTGTCTCAATTGAGCCTGAATAAATGGTTAAGATGAGAGGCCTGAGATGCGGCCTTGGAAAGAATGTCCTCAAAACTTCATATATGGCACTCTTACTTTGGAAAGAGAAAATAGGTGAAGGGCCTATCGTTACTCAGTAGTTAGCACTCAAGAATTGTACAAGGAGCAGAATTAGTGCTGCTAGGTTTCTACAAAATAGAATTACAAACCCATGTAGGTCTTGATGGGCAGATAAAATTATTTTGAATATTGCCACCCAAGTTTATATTGATGAACTCAAACCAATTCTTTGGACTCCCAGTGGTCAGCATGTAGACCAGCATAGCTAGACATAATGTTAATCCATTTCTTATTGTTTTTCTCATTTTTAGGGTTTAATAAAATGAACAACCATAATTCTAATTGGTAGTGTGAGGTTTCTTGTTTTTGGACTCAACTTGGCAGAGTTTATACATGCATTAATTAAAGTTTCCTTTATGATAATTTCTGTAAAGTGGAAAGAAGTGTTACCTGTTGATACAATTCCAAATGAATATCCAATACCTGTTAGAGAGCTTAGACTATTTGTGATTAATGTTGACATCATTATAGTCATTTTGTGGATTATGTATATTGGAATCAGAACAGTGGACACTCAAAATTCTTCTAGAATTAGGAATCATATGGCCCTTTGAATATTGTTGGACCCCAGATACTAACAATAATCACTGTTGTCCATGCTAACTAACTCTGATGAGCATTGGGTCCACAAACATTGGGAAGGTCATAGGGCTCCTTCTAGAAACTCCATGATTATTAGAAAATAGAAAACAACACAGTGTTGGGAAATGTTTATGAATAGTTTATTGGCAAACATGGAGTCTAAAGCCATGAATGAATTACCTTGCTATGTATTTTCCAGTAGATCTTTTCGGAAGCAGCTGTTATTGCTAACTCATGGGGTTTTAGTACGTACAACCAGAAGACATTGTCATATTTGAACCATTTCACTCTTACCACATCAACTTCTGTATCCCACTTGGTGTGTGAGCGGGGTGTACTTTAATATCATAGTTATTATATAACTATGAGAAAACTGATTTTAAATCCCCACTGTTCTACAGCTACCTTTTACAAATGTTATGTGCAAGCTTCTCACATGCACTGCAGGCTTTTCCACTGTAAAACATATTCTGTACCCCTATGACTACTTGGATTGTGTGAGCTGCACCACTCCATTTGCAAAAGAGGAAGAAATATAAGATATATATTCAATAATTAAACAGAGATATTTAGCACAATAAGCATGTGTAGTTATAATATATGCTGTTTGACATCTTATCTGAAACATGTTGTTACAGCAGCTGCCAGTGTTTCCAGATGGTCACTTTCCCCATCCTGTATAAGAGGGCAGTGCAATCCAAACTCAGAGATATGTTGTCTGTTGTAGGATTAGAAAAAGACCTAAACCAGTTTTCCATTCAGTGAACTGTCTAAGTACTGGCTAATGTCAGAGAGCAACTGGCAGAAGGATTTTTGAAAATAACTATTCTGCTGGCTGAGATTAACCAGCAAAGGAGTCCCCCAAAGTGGTGTGGAAGAGGAGCATGTGTCCCATTCCCATTCTGTTTGTGGCTTTCTCTTGTGTGGTGATCCTTTTGTTAATGTTTAGACCCAGACATAATACTCTGTTTTATATCACTGGAAATTCAGCTCAATATCAATGGTTTGACTATCTTGATATCTTGACCTCTTCAAACTGAAGACAATATAATAATTTTGTGCCTTTGACTTGTTAAAGATACATGAACTAATGTAGACAAATAATTACTTCAGAGAGTACATTTGATAGATAAAATCTATTTGAGATTTGAAATTCTTGTGGGTTTTTGGTCTTTTTCTAGCACATATTATTCTGAAATTGTGGAAAATAAAAGTCTATTTGGTACAATAGTCTTTTGCACCAAAAGACTATTTGGTACAATAGTCAAGACATTGCACCTATAGATTGCAACCCATACAGTCACTGCTCTGCAAAAAATGGTGGTATTATCATAATGTATTTCTTCTGTAGCTTTTCCAGAAGTAAACGGTATAACATATCTTTTCTTACAGATGCTATATTACCTTAACACAGTCTCTTCACTTGACTATGAGTGGTGCTTTATCAGGACCTGCAGGAACAGGGAAAACAGAAACCACCAAGGATTTAGGTCGGTCTCTAGGAATGATGGTTTATGTCTTCAACTGCTCAGAACAAATGGATTACAAGGTATTGTATTTTTTCAAATGCTAATTAAAAGCCGTATGGCTTTGTTATTCATCCATGTCTTCATCAAGTAAACTAGATGAAGACTAAGAGCTGAAATTGCAAATTACAATAGTGGAACCCAACCGCTGACCACCGGTTACATCATGATAAAACTTCACTGCCACCAATCTAAATGTATTGGTCTACGACCACACCATTCACTCTTCTGTGTCCCATTGGTCCACCGACTACTGGAGTCAGTTCACAGAGCCACTCAAAAATGGAAACTCCAACTTAAATAATGATGGCTGTTATGCAGACAGCCCCCTTTCTTTTATTGATGCACAGAAAGACACACTGAATACTTGTGGTAAAGTATAAATTGTGGTGAAGATTTGTGAAGTTTATTTGAACTAGATCAAGAAGGTTGCTCAGATATTAGGAGAGATTCAGACACATTATTTATTATTATTTATTATTTCGTACACTTTTACCCCACCCTTCTCCCCCCCAAGGGGGGACTCAGGGCGGCCTCACATAAGCACCGTACGATGCTGTGATCATATAAATACTCAACAAATGCATTAAAACATTAACAACAATTCATTAAAACAATAAATTAGCCACGCCAGTTAAAACCAAATCCAAGTCTGGGGTTAATTCAATGTCACAGTATCCAAGTCTTCTTTCCAATTGCTTCTGTCCACTAATTGAACACCTGGTCCCAAAACCAAGTCTTCAGTTTTCTTCTAAAGGACAGGAGGGAGGTGGCCAACCTGATGTCCTTGGGGAGAGAGTTCCACAGACACATATAGTTTCAGAAGATTATCAAACTGTTTTCTTAAAAGAAAATGGTTCTTTCACTTGTCTTCCACAGAAATATGTTCACTCACAGGAGAATTAACCGGCCTTTTCAAAATCTCTCAGTTCTCCCTTCCAGAGGCTCCTCATATAGGCACTCTGTCCCTTAGAGGCTCTCTAAAATGTAGCACTATTTTTAATTTCCTCCTCACAGATGTTTGTCCCTCCTCAGACTTCTCCCAGTCTCCCAGATTATTGGTTTCTCACTGGCACCCTCTACCTTCTGTAGCTCCAGGGCCTAGAACGTTTCCTACACAGTAGCCTAGCAAGGTAGGCCCATTCCGGTACACAAGTCATGGAAATATATGGCTTATTACAATAAGTAGATGGTTGCCCTCTAAGCCACTATTTGCATTTTCCCCCTTTAGCAGAAAAAATAGATCCTTCAGGACTGAGATCTGCTCAGACCTGATATTTGGTACATAATAGTGGTGTATCCTTCACTTAACATGTGTGTGTGTGTGTGTGTGTGTGTATGTGTATGTGAGTGAAGGGATGCTGTTAGAATTACTTTGAATTAGGTGTTTTGTATCCTGCTATCCCATAGATGGTGACTAATCATCACATAATATGCACTCTTCTATTATTACAGCAAGTGTGAGGCTAGCATTTAACTGCCAACTCATTATCCAATAAATGAAACATGCTCTTTTATGAAGGTGTATAAATTATACTATAAGATTTGTTCTGGAATAATATTATTCACTAGATTCAAATCATGGAATTGTGTTATTTAATATATTCTGATAGCTCAGCGAGACAGTATTTTAAATAATATTTTGTAGGTACAATTTCACGTACAAAACCATTTTGCAAAGCAACCTTGCACATAGGAGTGATATCCAGATACATACATTAAAATGGTTTGAAAATTATGATAACACAGACCATATGAGTATGGAAATTTAAATAGGTAGATCCCAGGTCTGGTTCAATGAATTCTGTTAATTAATTCTGAAAATTTACAAAGCATGAAAACATTTGCATCCAGTTTCTGAATACAAAGGTAATCAGTACTGGAGACCTGTGGAAACTCTTTTCCCTCTGAAGAGTCTTGGAAACTGTGATCTCCAGAGAACAAGGGGCTTTCTGGTTTACAAAGATGAGCCACAGATAAACATTAGTCTAATGATTGTTACTCCTGATCCAAAATCTACAAAGGTACTTTAGAAATGTAACTTACTGTTCCATTATCTTGGCGGAAGTTAAAAGGGGACCAAGTCAGAGAAGAATAGTCTATTTTACAGTAGGGGGAGGAGTTGAAGGAGGAAAACCATTTCCCCAATTTTCACTGGTTATTATCTCGCCCCCCCCCTCCCATTTCATAAATTATGGTTGTTTCAACGATGGTGACATGGTTAGGAGGAATAACAGAAAAGCAAGGGAAAATGGTTTTACTCCATCAACTCCCTCCCCCCCCCCATAAAATGGACTATTCTTCTCTGTCTAGGCCCCCTTTTGACCTCTGCCCGGAACAGTACCAGAGGGCAGTATACTTATGCAATTGCATTGTGATTGTATATAGATGATCGGAACCCACTGTTTGCACTACAGAACCATTGTGTAATGATTCCACTTCAAGTGCCATGTTCAGTGCTATGACATCCTGGAATTGCTAGTTTAGGGGAGGGAACTATGGGATTCTCAGCTAGTTAGGGAGCTCTTCTGGTGTTTTAAGCAAATTATAAACCCCAGGATGTCACAGGATAAATTATGACATTTAAAGTGGACTATCAATGATAACATTAATCAGAATGCCTCCCCCCCCCCCACACGCACACACATATTCCTTCTTCTACACAGATGGTATAGGGAAGGGAGCTCTGAACAATTCGATTTGAATTGTGACAGAAATTCCTTCTTGTACACAGATGGTATAGGGAAGGGAGCTCTGAACAATTTGATTTGGAATAACGGAAAAAACGGAAATTGGTGTTAAAATCCATCCTTCTCCATCCACATATAGGGATTTCATCCACACAATAAGGGAAGAACAGGGGAATTGGTGGGTCGGTAGATGGGTATGATGCCATTGTTCCTGCTAATCAAAATATCCTGTGGCTCAAATCTGCAAATCTGCTCTATTATGCCATTGTTTATTGCTTGGGAAAGCCCTCCTTGTCCACTGCGATTTTGAACTACAGCACATAGCTCTTTCTGTCTTATGGGATCTTAGTGAAATTTAATTACATCTCCCTCCTATGTTTTATCTCCCTGTTCTTTAAACTCTCTGCTAATGAAGACTCTGTATTCCTTATCTACAAGCCCTGGGAATCAGTGGTCACAATGGAGTTGCTGTAGGAGCAAAGGAATTCCAATAAAATCATATTCAAATTTACTGGGAATATGAAAAGGAAAATATGTCTCTAATGGCATTTCTAGTCTTTAATTGTTTACCAAATTGATTGATCAAAATCTAGTGATCTTGTTATTGGCAATGACATGGAAACAGCTCCCCATGAAATACAGTCATATGTGTATATTTTATTGTTTATAGGCCACTCTTTAGTTCTCAGAGAAGCTTACAATTAGAAGAATGGGGAGTAGGAAGCATGTGGATCGAGGTCCCTGTTGATGTATGCTGATTTTCTTACCAACTTCATTCATTCCAAATTAGTGTCACTGATTAGAAATGGTATATAACATACAGTTCCACCATCCAGACATTTCCAGAACAGCATGGAGAAAAAGTAATCGAGGACCAACAAATGTTAATTGACTACATTTTTGAGCCAATATTGTTGATTAGATCGTGCATAACAATTGTGGTGTGCCTGTTTGTAGCATTTTACTTTACCAGGCTCTTCATACCCACCATTTATATAAACTAAGTCAAGCTAATAAGCTTTACAATATAACCATACTGCATTTCTAAATGAGGTTTAATGCTATTGCTCCAGCCATAGAAAAATGTGTAAGCTGGCAAGGGAGTTATTTAAAAAATTAGCTGTTTCTTTAGCCTTTACGGTACCAATCATTCAGTCAATTCCTTAGTAGTTATAGTGCAATATCTTTTCAAAGAATGAACAAAAACTGTACACTTTGTGGTTTTTAGTGTTTCTTTCTCCTTCCTCTTCATTAGTCAATTGGGAATATCTACAAAGGTCTGTGCCAAACTGGTGTGTGGGGATGTTTTGATGAATTTAATCGCATATCTGTGGAGGTGTTGTCTGTTGTAGCTGTTCAGGTTAAATCAATTCAAGATGCTATCCGTCACAAGAAAAAAAGGTACGCTGAGCATACAATTTAGTATTTGCATTAATTACAAATGTATGTTGTTAATGTCTTAATTTATAACAATGTCGCTCACCCATTCCCACAGGTTTAACTTTTTAGGTGAAACTATTAAATTGAAAGCAACAGTGGGGATTTTCATAACTCTTAATCCAGGTTATGCCGGAAGAGCAGAGCTTCCAGAAAACCTTAAAGCTCTTTTTCGGTATGTACTGTAATGAAGCAAGAATGGAAAATGTTACATTGGCTCCATAGAACATGAGCAGAAAGAAAATAAATGTTTGTATCTATAAGCAGAAGGAAAATAAATCTTAGGGGTTTTTTGTTTGTTTGTTTTGCATACACTTGAATGAGAACGAGGATCCAAGCATGCAAGGCTTGAGTTAAGCTTTCATTTGTCCCCCTGTGGGCTTGGGAACAAAAGACAGTTTCAGGTTGTAGAAGCAAATAGTTTGGTAAAGTGTGTACCATATATAATCATATATAAAATACATCATGCATAAGTCAAGGGCAGATTTTGAGGCCAAAATTATGGATTTTGATATGACCAGTGGGTAAATGATGGCCTCTCAGCTGTGGAACACCCTCCTCAGTGATATTCGATCAGCTCCTTCCCTCCTAGCCTTCAGAAAGAAAGTAAAAACATGGCCATGTGACCAAGGTTTTGGAGAATAACTGCAGTGAAATAAATGAATGTAGAATCTGTGCAATGACAACTGGAATTGCTCTGGATTACAACCTTGGACTGTGTGATTTTAATAATTGATGTAATTGTTTTAGGTATTTTCATTCTTTGGTTTTTAAAATAAATGTTTATTTAATTGTATGCATTTTATGGCATTGAATTGTTGCCAATGTGTGAGGCCGCTCTGAGTCCCCCTCAGGGTTGAGAAGGGTGAGGTACAAATGTGGTAAATAAATAAATAAACAAATAAGTCAAGAATAAATTCGCAGAGAGGGGAAAGCCCCAGTGCCACCTCAAGGGCCAGCTGCCCCTGGCCACCACTTCTGCCTTTTCCCCTCCCTGGCATTAAAAAAGTCAGAAGCAGCAGCATGGCAGAGAAAGTAGAGGGAGTTGGTGCTTCTTTTCACTATCTCCTGGGATAGATCAAGCAATTGCCTTTTGCCATTCCATTCAGAGATGGTAATTTTTTTTTAAAGAAAAAGTTAATGTATGATACTAATACATTGGGGTGGGTGGATAAATTTTTAACTAAAATCTCTAGATTTCTATAATACATGAGTGTATACACTATTACAATTTCACAACATGGGGAAACATCCTAAAGGATAATAGGAGATTGGTCCCTCACCCTGCCCCACATTTCAGTGCACGTATAGATAGTACTCAGACTTTGCTGGTGAATGGAAGGTCTGTCCATGCTTTCCATATAAGTAACTGGACTTCATACCAAAAAATAAATGGAAAGTTACAACCTGTGAAGGTCACTGAATAAAATTTATGGTTGCCTCTACCCCATTAGTACAGTCAAGTCAACTTTATTTATACCCAGTCCCATTTCCCCTTGGGGACTCGGGGCGGCTTACAACATAAATGGCAGGCATTCGATGCCATAGAGTACACATTAAAAATACAAATACATAATAAATTATATGCAAATAATTAAAATGACAATTTATCGTATAGTATTGTAGAGTTACACATATATCTCAGGCTTCTTTGGGTGTCAGAGAGAAGAAGCTCACTAGCTATTCTCCCTGATCCCCCTGACCACATCTTTTTGCTTGAGGAGATGTGTGTGCTCTGCTTTACTTAAACTAGAGGACACTGTCCTGTGACCAGTGCGGAAGTACAACCCACCTACAAGTCAAGTTCATTTCTGTATCTGGAATTAAATTTCTCTGACATTTTGTTCTTTGCCATAAGCAGAAAAGCATCTTGGGTCAATCTTGGAAAGATGATTCCTCTGGAAATAAATGAAATCAGACTTATCAATAATTTTAGGGCCAGTTCTCCCTGGTAGAAGCATTCAGACTTGGAAGTTCTAGAGGTCGATTTGTACAGACATCTCCATGTATGACACCAATGACCAAAAACAAAAAACAAAAAAAGTCTATGAACTATTTGTAGAAGTTAGTTTTCAAATTACTTTTTTGGGCTCTGGCACCCAGTCAGCATAGTCATTACTAACTTTCTCAAGCATTGCTTAAGCTATGGGTTGCTTTATACAAGGGAGTCATGGTATTAATGGTAGCCTGTATTATAATGTGTATACATTTTAATCAATTTCATCAATTTAACAGGCCCTGCGCAATGGTGATTCCAGATCTTGAGCTCATTTGTGAAATAATGCTGGTGGCAGAAGGATTTGTGGATGCCCGGTTGCTTTCTAGAAAGTTTATTTGCCTCTATAAACTGTGCCATGAACTTCTATCGAAACAGGTGGCTGAAGATCAGTCTGAATGTGGTGGTTATGTTTGGATTTGTATTCTGCCTTTAATCTAATATAGTAAACAATCACCACAACATTGCACAAGGTAGAAGAAAATGATTCATGCAGGCTATATGGACTAGAATACCATCAGATTTAAATGTTATCAAAGGTCAAAGTAAGCTCAAATGTTTTCAGCCAACAGCAGGCATTGTAACAACTAAAATTGCCTTGACATTTGCTTGTTTATGAAGGTTTTTTACTGGCTTTGAACCAAGTGTATTGATACACTTTCTATCAAACCTGTACATTTTGAAACAAATTCAGATCACTTTTAATTTGTACTAGAGCAGTGGTTCCCAACCTTTTTTTAACCAGGGATCACTTTGACCAGGGACCAATTTCCAACATTAGTATCAAAAGAGCTACAAATAAGTTTTTGGTTAACTTTAGATTTGATTTGGTTATTTGGGGTGCTGATTCAGAAAATTGCATTGGATAGACCTCATCAGCTCTAGTTTTTGACACAGAACATATGCCATCCAGTAATCACCATCTGCTCGCCCACAGAAAACCATATTTAGTATTCTAGAGCTGATGTGGTAGTAGTAATCTTTCGTGGGTAGTCAGCCTCTCTCCTCCTGACATCTCCATTGCCTTGGCATTATAAGAGAATTTCACAAGACCAGTCGCTCTTGTTGCTGTGTTTTCAAGGCAATGGTGTAGTAATGGTGAGGCTGTGGACCATATTTTTGTTCTTGCGGACCACTGGTGGTCTATGGACTGCAGGTTGGGAACCACTGTATTAGAGCAATGCAGTAGAGAATGACAGTTCTAGATTTCTTTTGGTAGCTGTAAAATAGTTCATAATTTATTATTTTTTAAATTTGAATTATTAAGAATTATTACTAATCTAGCAACCAACTGAACTGTAATTAAATACATTAATAATGACAGGCTCAAATGACTTCTGCTGCTAGCAAATAGCTGAAGTGAGTATAGCTTATGTATGTTAGTGGGAGCTAGTTATCATTATTCTCATTTGAAAGTAGATATTTCCTTGTTCAAAACAATAATTTGAGACAATGGTGAGGGACATGTGGGTCACCACATAGGGATTCCAGCTCCCATAGGTGAAAGCCATGGTCATGAAGAATGGGAGCCATATAACAGAAGCCCCTGAAGTGTCACAGAGTGAAGGCTATCAGTTGGAAGAAGACAATAGAAGCAACAAAACTGAGCATACCAGATGAATTTTAAGTATTTAAATCAAACCATTTCGGTATGAGGCCAAGCAGTTTTCCTCGAGAGGATGTCATTATATATAAATTACACTTCCTGCCAGAACATGTTGAGCTTTCTTACTATTGACTAACAGATGAAACCCATGCTGGATATGATTAATCCTGCCTTATTTATTTTTACAATTTACTCCAACGTATCTACCTGGTTAATGGAATGGCAAAGCTAAGCCCATAATTACAACTGGGAGTATGAGGTGGGGAATTTAAAAAAATTTATTAGTTGCTTCTCTTTAGTCTTTAAAAAGATTATGTGTAAATACATACAAGATCACTATAATCTTTTTATTTAGACTTGTGTACTCAGAAGTTTATTTACAGCACTTGATAAAGCAAATCAAATTGAATATCTTATCTACAAATGATATCTTTACTCAGAAGATTCTATGAAGCAGAAAGATAAAGACTGAATGTTAAGTTAGAATGCATGTATAGTAGGGTTGGTGCAGTTGTGCATCCTTTGTCATTAGCTAATGTGGCTACCGATTATGGGAACTGGAGTTCAACAACATGTAGTGAGTTGCACGATTCCTACTCTAGATTTATCTTCTGTTCTTGTGTCTTATTTGTTATAAGACAGTGATAGAGATGGGAAGAATATTTATCAATATTTGCCAAACAGTTAAAAAGCATAATTCGAAAGTGTTGAGAAACTGAGGAGGATAATCCTGGGCTGTCTGGAATCTTTGAAGTTCTGGACCTATTCTACAGAAATTTTGTATGTAATTGTTTTGCATATTTCTATGAAGGAAACAGTGCAATGAGAAGAAAACTGTTAACACTTTTCAGTACTTCCTTTGAGAAGAAAATTAACCAATAATAACATTGACAATAATAAAATTGACAATGAAAGCAAGGGTCCATTCAATCTTCACAATTGTTGCTCTGTTTTTTCATTTTACCTGCCATGGTCCCATCCTATGAAACTCAGAGAATTGCAGTTTGATGGAGCACTAGAGCTCTCTGGCTGAGAATTCTAAATATTCCTCCCTAAACTGAAAATCCCAGCTGCATAATTGTGTCATGTGTATAGTACTAAAATATGGTTTTGCAGAGAAGTGAGCTGTCTGAGCAATTTGATGGAGCCTCTTGACCCTCTCAATAGTCTACAAATCTATACTGATCTTGTACCACCTCAGCTGTCATGGCAGCTTCCAAAGAAGGCTGACAATTGAAATGTTGTGAGGATGTTGAGAAATTTCTTTCAGAGACTCTTGCCCTCATCTCTGAAAAATACAATTCCAAAGAAGGGTTTCAAAGTTCCCTTGGCAGCAAAGACAAATGTTTTAAAATCCATTTAGGTCTATGCTTTGGAACAGGAGAGGATCACTTCACTGACTTGTTGGAATTTCACAAAGCAATGGGTGCCAGGAAATACTGCAATTTATTCCAACACAGAAATTATGAGCCATGGCTTTTTTTAAAAAAATCTAGCTATTTTGGTATCCTGGGAAGTTTCAGCCAATATTGCATGGAAAAGACAGCTAGGGAGTCTTTTTTTGTTTTTGTTTTGCTCATCTACATATTGATCAAACCAAGGGTTTTAAAATTTGGCATTTCACCATTATATCTTCAAAAAGTTCAAATTTTATTTTCAAAAAAATATTATTTCTGACCAAAAAAACCAAAAAAACCCAACCAAGTACCCACTAAAATAATTTGAGCTTTCCCTCCTATAAATTCAAATAGGTGTGAATTGCTTGCATGAATGATGAATGGTTTTCATTTAATATTTTCTGATATGATTGAAACCCATTGTTTGTTTCTCTTCCATAGGAACACTATGATTGGGGCCTTAGAGCTATAAAATCTGTTCTAGTTGTGGCTGGATCACTGAAACGAGAAGATCGAAGCAAACCTGAAGATAAGGTTATCCATTTAAAGTGCCCAATTCTCTTGATATGAATTAAGAAGAGGGATTTCAAAAGAACTGTTGACATTATCAGTTTTGGTTTGGATTTAATCTCTGTCCTCTCCACTAGACTCATGCTCTGATCATCTTCACATTTCCTCATGTTGCCTTCTCCTTTCATTTTGTAGACCTGTCACCTTTCTCCTCCAGCTCTGCCACCATAATTGCTCACCTCACCTGTCACTTAGAGCATGTGACCTCCTCCCTCCTTAAAAAAATCCCTTTCCATTGTGTCCAACAGATACTCCTTCTCTTACCTTTTCTACAACCTTGCTTGCTCTGTCCTTCAGCCCTTATTAACTGCTCATTATATTTTCTCTTCCAGCGGTACCAGCCTCAATGGCTTGAAGCTCTCTTGCTCTTTAACACAACACAACATTGCCCTTTCTTTGTTCCATGCATGGAACACCCTGATCAAACATGTATGTAGTGCCAGAGCATCTTTCCTTTCATTCAAGTCCATTCTCAAAAGCCACTTTGTCAATGAAGCCTTTGGCAGAACTCTCGCTTAGCAAACAGTGACCAAATTTAGGAGAAATTACGTTTGCTCCCCTATTTTCTTTATTAAATGTGTCTCTTCCTCCATATGATTTCCGAAGTTTCTTCCATTGTATACTGCTGGTAACAGGAACCAATTTCTTCTGCTGATACTCATGGAACTTCTATAACTTGCTCTTCTTTCTTGCTTACTTTTCCTCTTTTGCTACTTTTCCTAGTTAGCACAGCTTTTTGGGTAGACTATCTGTCTCATCATTTGTATACAGTATTTTTGATCAGATTGGAAATATCATATCCACCTAGATGTTAAAGCTGTTGGGTACAAAGAACTTCAGAGACTTTCTGCAGCAGTTGCTACTGAATTGCAACTCCCAACAGTCCTAACCAGCACTGCCAATTTTTCAGGATCATGAGAGCTGCAGTCTAGTAACATCTGGGGTGACACATGATTCTTATTCCATTTTAATTGTATGAAATGAGGAAACAATCTGCTTTTCAAGGCTGTCAAAAATTTTGGAAGGTATTTGCATTGTACCCAATTCACTGGTTTTAAAAGTCACAGTTAATGTCCTCCTGGGAACACACAGAAATGATTTTAACATACCATTTTCTCATTCACAAAACTAAGAAATTGAACTGTAATGGGAGCGGAGCTGTTGCAGCATCCCATTTCCAGGATCCAGTCTATATCACTGCAGGTAGCAGATTGAGTTTAACAAGCCATATGGGTTGTAATTGTTTAAGTATGATTAATTCATAATGTTTGTTAATTTTATGCCTTACATTATGGTTTGTTATTATTTCATTTAATTATAGTGTCATGTTGGTTTTTCTGAAGGTTTTGATGAGAGCCCTCAGGGATTTTAATCTACCCAAGGTAGTCACTAATGATGTCCCTATCTTTCTGGGCCTGATCAATGACTTGTTCCCATTGCTGGAAGTTCCACGGAAAAGGGATCTGAAGTTGGAACAGCTGGTGCGCCAGTCTATTGCAGAACTCCATTTGCAGCCCGAAGAAAACTTTATACTGAAGGTGGAAATAATGGCTTTCTGCTTAGCTTGTTGAAAATACTAAATGGCATGATTGAATGCTGTAATGATCATTTTTGTTTGATGTCTGTAGGTTCTAACATCTGGCTCTGGCCATTACTGGGCTCTCCATTAAGTTAAAGCAGTATGCGTGGGCTCCCTGTTTCCATTACACACAGCCAGTGCATGTAAAGACTCTATTTCCATATCAGGAAATTATTCAAGTTTGTCTGTGTGGAGATTAACAGTTTAACAGGATAATGTGGGAGCACTGCCCATCTTAGCACTCATGTTTAGCTTTGAATGACCTGGATTTTATTAAACCTTAGTCTAAAGGTTTCAAAAATGATTTTAGTCCCTTATTAGCCTCTCCTACACATGAACCCCAATCATAAACACACACACAAATTAGCTGTAAGTGGCCTTTTGTCTTAAGAAAAGTTCAAGAAGGAATGACTAAGGAGACTGGCTTTGCTCCTCTTGGAAAGAGGTAGAACTTAGTTGGGTTGCTGAGGTTACTGAGGAGGGAGGTAGTAAGTGTGTATTCATTACTGTTCTTTCGTCATTCCCTGCCCTTTGAGCAAATGATATACTTGAGTCACTCAAGAGAGTGTCCTATTCCATCGCATTACCCTTGTGCTGTAATTTGATATTTTTTTTACATAAACCTTCTTGAAGGAAAGATTTTTCCCTTTTTAATTGCTTAGAAATATTGATATGACAGATCTATTTGTCAGTGTTGCCATATATGTACATTTATGTCTGGGTGTACATACAGACACACCGTTAGGTTACTGAAATAGGAAGAAGCCAGAGAAGGGTGACTAAAATTATGAAGGATCTGGAGAACAAGCCCTATGAGGCACAACTTAAAGAGCTGGCATGTTTAGCCTGCAGAAGAGACATGATAGGCATGTGAGGGGAAATCATAGGGAGGAGAGAGCAGGCTTGTTTTCTGCTGCAACTAGGATACAGAACAATGGTTTCAAACTACAGAAAAAGAATTTCCCCCTGAACATGAGGAAGAACTTCCTGACTGTGAGAGCTGTTCAGCAGTGGAACTCTCTGCCCCGGAGTGTGGTGGAGGCTCCTTCTTTGGAGGCTTTCAAACAGAGGCTGGATTGCCATCTGTCAGGGGTTTTTTCAATGTAATTTTCCTGCTTCTTGACAGGGGATTGGACTGGATGGCCCACAAGGTCTCTTCCAACGTATGATTCTATGAATGTCTAAGCAATGTTAAACCTAGCTTTGTTTTCTTATAGGTCTCTCTCTCTCCCTCCCTCCCTATCCCTCTCTCTGAGTGTTTTTCCCAGTAATGCTTTTTGATTTAAAATTAATAAAGAACACCTGTTTTATATATACAGCTAAAAACAAAATAATAATTAAATCCACTAAAAACGGCTCAAATATGAAATGTGGTAGCATTTGCTCAGAAGTAAGCCTGATTGTCCTTTATGAGATTTGTGACTTAATAAGTAAATTTAGGATCCCAACTTTAACTCAACAGCAGAATAAAACCATGTTGCCTAAAATTTTAAACATACTGAACAAAATGGCTGATTTTGGCTGGCACCTGTTTAAATTTTTCCCTAGGCATTACATAGCAACCACCTATTAGTGTTCATAAACTATAAAGAGAAATCACAGAGTTGGCAGTATTTCACAATATTATCAAACTTTGAGTTGAATTTTTTCCCCATATAATGCCCTTTTCAAGGTGTACCATTTTAAGTCCCTTATTTCTCATGCAAGAGCTTCAGGAAAAAAAGCATTAATATAAATGGGATTGGTAGCATTTCAGTTTATTGTTATGTCACTATAATTGATTATGAAAAAATCAAAAATCAAAATAGCTTTCGTTTAACAAAATTTTATTTATTACATAGTAACCGATCTCAAATGATATTCTTAATAAGTCACTTATACAGAGGTTTTCAAAATATGCAAATTTATTTACATTTAATTAGTTAATACATTAAGCAGTTAAAACAGATGACTAACCAACTAAATCCTTTAATTGGTTGACAGCCCTTCTGAAATGGTTTGCAAGTGCCTCGACATGAGCAATTGCATAGTGTATGAGAATATATGAAACTATAGCTCAGAAGAGAGTTCATGCTTTGCATGCGAAAGGTCTCAAGTTCAGTCTCAAGTTCTCCAGGTAGGACTGGAAAAGATTCTGATATTAAACTGCAGCTTCCATTTAACCTAGAGCAGACTTGTCCAGCATGTTCCTTTCCAGATACATTAAAGCATAGTTTGCATTAGCCACCCCCCACTGCCTGGTTGCAAAGGACTTGCCTTCCGATATATACAGGAACCGAGAGGTTAATGAAGGCTGCTATAGATAAACTGGCTGTCTCATGTGCAAAAAGGAGAAGCCATGTAGCCTGTGAGATATTTTCTGCAAGAACTTAAAGGGGATTGAGGTGGTGCACAATGGTACAACAGCACAGTTCTGGTAGAATTATTATCTTTTTTCATCATTCGACACTTTTCACCTCTTTCTTGTAAACTAGCCCCTCTATGTGTACTCTTCAGAAAGGAAAAAGGTAGTACTTTTGTACCTTCTTGAAAAGCACAATGCTTCTTTTCTAGTTTTTGTGCTGGATGTAAGAATTGTTATGAAGACTGGTGATTTCTCATCAGGCCATCTCCAGGAACACTTTTGTCCTGGAGAAAAAGATATCTCACAAAAATTCTTCACCTTCCCAAGATGGATGGTGCTGGAGTATAAAGACCAACTAGAGGACCTGCCCTTATCTATATGGACCAAATAAAACATACTCATCTTGAACCCACTGTGAGCAGTCCACATGGTGTACAGCTGGTACTACAACTGAAGCACTGCTTCCAGCTGTTATTCCAGCTCAAAAACAATAGCAGGTTACTCTGGAGATTCCAAGAAACTTTCGAACATACGGACAACTGGATCAGGATGGATCCATAGTGATCTAATGTCCACATGCCAAAAACACGCACCATTGTTTCGTAGACCAGAAGCATTTCCAAGCGGTCCTTGACACAGCCATGCATGCAATGTTGCTGCTGCTGATCACATGGCTGCTACTCTGTTGTGACCTCACCAGAAGTGATGTCTGACTCCAGCAAAGCTCAATGGTGGTGGAGCCTAGGAAGACAGGGTACTGTGCCAAAGCACTGTACAGACTGCAAAAGGCTTCAGGACTCCATGTGCTGCATCTAGGGCTGCTCCAGAGCAGGCAACTTTGTCATATTTTTCCTAGTGTAGATCTAGATGTAGGGAGAAAGGCGACATACAAATACAAGAAATGAATAAATAAAAGTAATATATAACTTCTTTGCCCCATTATTATATGTTTATGCTCTGTTTATTTTAAACCAGCTGTCTGGCAGCTGGTGGTTCAAATAAGACATTAAGAGACCCCTTCTCGATGGGAAATTTATTATAGAGAAAGGTATTCAAATATATTTTAAGTCTGTAGTACCTAGCAATATCACCAGTTACTATAATTTCTATGGAACACTTCTCCTTACTTCTTATCCTTAAGGAATTCTGGAACTGCTAATTCTTGAGAGACCATGTCACAAAGGGATGAATGAATTTGCCTGTCCATCAAACTACATTTATTTATTTATGCACACAATCCAGCTATTTACTAGTCAGAGGGTTGGTAGCTTTTTATAACACAGCTTCTGATAGACTCCAACAAATCACACAAGAAAATAAGTGCATAAATGAGAGGGAGATTTTTTTTAATGCCTCAAGCATGAAGTGTGGTTTGTCTGCAGATTTTCCTTCATGGTAACATCTCTGGAGGCCAACATAAAAGCATTTTCTCTCCCTCCCTCTTTCTCTTTTTATCATGGGCCCTGATGTTGCACTACAGAGACATATACATTTTAACCGTTTTTCTATTTATGTCATATATCTATTTATACCTCTTTCTGTTTCTCCCAGTAGTTGCTGACTAAAGGTATGTTCCTGCTGTAGAATAACTAAACAATCTATTAGAAAGTTCTGATGTCTGTATAGAATCGGGAACAGTAATGTCGTTCTGGACAATGTGAAGCCAATGCTGCTGTTATTAACCCCATTGTTTCAGCAGTAGGATCTCACAGAGCTTCTCTGACCCAGCCGATATCAGTGTAAATATACCCAGCAGCCGCTGGAAGAACAGGGCAAAATGGGCAATTTTTTATGAAATGAGAGAATAAAATTGGAATGATGTTTATTGAAATGGGGAAGAAAAGCGTTCGTTGATTCTCTTTCTTGATTCTTACAGTTTTCTTAATATATAGCAATGCCTGTAAAATATGTTTGCCATTATGTCACTCTCTCATCCCCATCTTCTTGAATGGATTTTAGGTTATGCAGTTAGAAGAACTACTGGCTGTCAGGCATTCAGTCTTTGTAGTTGGAAATGCTGGGACAGGAAAAAGCCAGGTAAATCAAGAATTCACAGACACCTGTTCAGTAAATGAATGTCAATAGAGAGACCATGAATTAGTAATGCAGGTTATAATATGCTATCATTTTGAATAACATTCTGCATTCAGGATTATCAGCAACATATTGTGGGTACTGTATATTTTAATAATCCAAAAGCAAGGCCAACTCAATATGTTTTGCAGGCCTACCCAGACAGTTATAATGACAAATTTTAAATTTATGTTTCATCTTTTTTGTGTGTATTTTAATATATATTTTGTGGGAATGTGTTTAATATGTGTATTTTAAAGAATGTTTTTAAATTAATGTGCTTTTAGCAATGTTGTAACCTACCTGGAGTCATGTGGAGAGACAGGCAAGAAATAGTAATAATAATAATAATAATAATAATAATAATAATAATAATAATAAGTATATTTTGTAAGGTGTCAGAAGGCCCATTCCTTCAAAATGGAGAAAACAAGACCTACTCTACTGGATAGGCCTGATGGAACTTACAGTCCAACATCTAGAGTGGTGCCCTGTTCTAGCTTTCAGTATTAGAGACGTATTATAATATGAAGCTGAGAAATAATTTTGAGACATGGTGTGTTATTGATACATCTAATAAAGTGTTCTAATTTCAGATATTAAAGACGTTACACATGACCTACTCCAATATGAAGCTGAGGCCAGTATGGAATGATATAAATCCAAAAGCCGTCACCACAGATGAACTTTTTGGGTTTCTTCATCCATCAACAAGGGAGTGGAAAGATGGTATATCTAAGAATTATATACCTAATTATGCATGTTAACATGTAGAGATTAACTGTCTTTTAAAGAACATATTTTGTTTTGGTTTTTGTTAATCTGAAGGTTTGTTTTCATCCACTATGAGAGAATTGGCAGGCATTGCCCATGAGGGCCCAAAATGGATTGTCCTGGATGGAGACATTGATCCTATGTGGATAGAATCACTCAACACTGTCATGGATGACAACAAGGTTTGTTAAAATCATCCTATCAATAGCTATGTTCTAGTACTATTTGTTCTTACTATATTTGTAATGGTTTGAGTGTTCAACTCTATGACTCTGGATACAAGGATTCAAATCACCATTCAGCCTCAAAGAAAGACAAAAGGCCAATCCCATCTGACAGGTTCATCTAAGGATTACCATAAGTCAGAAATTACTTAAAGACACATAATAGTTATCTACCTGCTTATATTTCATTCATTTTAAAATAAAATTCTCCTGAAACCTTTAATGTCACAATGAAGAGGTGGTTTTACCTGGGTACATTTCACCACATTCTGGTAATATTCAGCTTGGATTACTGGAATGCAAAATATTTAGGTCTAACTTCAAAGATCACTTAGAAATGTAATCTAGTGCAGAATATGGCAGTGAGTTTGTTAAGGTTTTTCACTGGTCTCCATTTTGGTTCTGTATACAATTTCAAATATTGCAAAATGCTTGTAGCTGTTGTAGCCTGGTCAGATTCTGAGTGCTCAGAGGTTGAGGAAAGGAATGCTGCAATCGAACCTGGCTTCCCAGAGGAGGATAGAAGTGGCCTGGAGAGAGTTGTGTTGAAATCTCCTGACATGAGACTGGAGAAAGCAATATCAGTTCTCATGAGAACCTGCCAGAAGTGCAGGCTGAAAGAAATGTGGGAGACAAATGTTTGTCCAGATCAAGGCACTGGGAACTTCAGAGGCAGAGTGTACAACTAAGATAGACTCGCTTTTCTCAGTGGCTTAGAGATAAGGAGAAGAAAAGCAGGTGTCCGAGGAATGATACAATGGGATTGAGGCCTTTTTAGTGATTTCTACTGGTACAATTCCTCGTGAGAGCGACATTGCATTCAAGGGAAAAACAGCTCTTGGTTCCAGTTCTTAGGTTTTGTTTCATGTGTCCATGTTTGTTCCTGTTTCTAGTTCCTGCGTGGATTAGGCTGCCTGCCTTGGATTCCTGCTATCATGCTTCTAGATTAATTATATCAAGACTGTACTGTAAATGGATTTTGGCCTTCTGAGATTCTTTTGAAATAACTTTCTGGACTTTGATGCTTCTTTATAAAGTTACTGATTTCTTTGTATATTCATCTTTTAATAAACTTTATCTTACTGGACTATTCGGACAAAGTAAGGTGGTTCAGAGCTCTAGTGCAACAGTAACCTGGGGTAGATCTCCAGGGAATGACATTATTTCCGACAATGACTTGCATTGGCTTTTATGCTGTATGCCTCATGGCCAGCAAGGGATGTGGACTGGACCTACTTCAAAGTTCTTTCCATTGCCATCTTAAACACAGCTTTATTATCTCAAGAAAGATGATGATCTTTGACTTTCATCATTACATGTCTCATCCTAAAATGACTTTTAACTTCCATACTTGGTGAAGAAGCCTGTGGGCCTCCAAAACTTGTGTAATATATTTTGCACGCTTTGGTAGGTCTAATAAAATATCACTACAATTTGTTTTAATAGATAACTTTTCCAGAAACATAGAAGCTGTTTAACCAAAGGGTAGTCTTTTTCTTCCTGGTGAACCCTTGCTTGGAATATCCTCCGCCTTTGCGGTTAAGTTGTACGAGATTGGGAGATGAGTCCTTTTCTGTGATGATGCTCCATTTAGGCCTCACTAGAACTTGTCACGCAGTACTACTGCAAGATGACAAGTTGAATCTGTTTGATTTCCTCAATCCTTGGATTGTTTCAGTACCATCTGACAGGATGCTGTCTATTTTTAAAAAAATATTTATTTATTTATGAAGTAGCATAGAGATTTTTTGCATTTGTTTGTGTGATTTATTTTAAAGCTATGTTTAATTTATTTATGAAAAGTGGATAAACAGAATATAAGTATTATAAATAAACATAAGAATATCATGCCAAAGGTATAGTTACTGTTTTACAGCCACCTCTGTTTTAGAGTCCTACCAGTTTTTGAAACAGCACAAAAGACTGCAAACGAAGGGTGGCAGCAAGTGTACACATCATGGGCAATGATTATTTCTGTATTTCTTCAATTCTAAGATATGCTTTTCCTCCCATATAAACTTCTCTAAAACAAGTTGCATCCTAAAATCGCAGGTGCTTCTATCTATCTATCTATCTATCTATCTATCTATCTATCTATCTATCATCTATCTATTTATTGGCAGTGCCCGAGTTACAAACATCCAACTTACAAACAACTCAGTTAAGAACTGGGATGAGACAAAACAATGAGAAAAATCTACAACTCAGAAGGGAAATTCAGTCCTGAAAGAATTGTCATGTGGAAAAGGTGTCTTGACTAAAGCTTTATCACCAATCCTTATTTCCACAACAAGCCAAATTTTTCAAAATCTAATTATAACAGAAACCGAAAGTGAGGTGAAATCCTCTGAACAAGAGCACAGACAGTAAAGCAAACACCACAGGGGTGTCAACCCTTCTCTATGATATCCAAAGCTCTATCTATCTATCTATCTATCTATCTATCTATCTATCTATCTATCTATCTATCCAGAACATCTCCCTTTCTCCTGAAAATAGTGTGCATCTTACAATCCATGGTGTATTAGAATCAAAGAAATATAGCATATCATCTCCAGAATTTTGTGATGGGGAGCAAGGGCATATAATCTCTCAAGAACTAGTCTAAGCCAGTTTGCTTTCTGAAACAAAGAAGCAAATGATGTTCCTCATGTGCTGAATTCAGAATGCCTGGAAACCCACCACAGTCTAATTGTTTTGTCACACAAGCAATTATCTCGATTCCTAGCCTGAAAACAACAAATGCCACCACTGTGCTGCCTTCTGATGTCACCCCAAATCTACAGCTTGAGGCAGCTACCTCACTCTTCCTAATGGTAGAGTTGGCCATTCTTTGCTTTCTGCCCTTACTGAACAAACAGTCATGATCATTTGCTGGAGATGTCTCTGATAGTGACCAAGGATCCTTCTTATAATAACCAGAATTCATAGAATAGCATACAAAAGTATTTCCATGGACAAATCCAGCATGAACAGAGCGTGATATAATTGGACTTCAAAGACAATAATGAAACCCCAAATAGAATTATGTCTCTTCGAATGTATGGTAGATATAAGCCCAGATGACCTATGCCTTGCCCTCAATACCCATTTAGTAATTGCAACTCCTTTTTTTTTGTAAAGCAAATGTCTATTTAACCCAAATGAGATGCAGCATAAAAGTGGAAAGGTCATGGTTCAGCCTAAGAAATGGGAGGAGCAGAAATGTGAATCATTTTGTATTTTGTATGTGTGTGCGTATTAATCTTCATTGATTAAAATATCACCTTTATTCACTATAGCGTTCCAGCCTTTCTTAAGATGGATACAACAGCAGGAGAGCAAACTGTTAGAATTGAGATACTTTGTGCAAATTGAAAAGAGATTTTTTTTTGCCCTAATTTCGCACAATAGTAGAAACCTCCTTTAAATCACATTTTCCTAACCAGCTCCTAGAATAGCTCTTGTTGTTAGATTCTAAGGACTCTATTGTAGCTTTTAAGCTAAAGCACTCAGTAGGGGATGTGTAGAGTTACACCGCCCCTTTGGAACACCAGAAGAATGGCGCCTGATGGCAAGTACAATCATAGAAGATAAAAATGGATCAAACTGAAACAGGTTATTCCAAGCCCACTATGTGCCAAAATGCTGTTGTATCACACTGGATCTACAACATACTTTGTGCGGCCTATTTTTACAAGATTCGAGATTTCTATGGTTCTCCTCACACCTACCCCTAATCTCACAGCCAAAATGTTGTGTTCTTGCAGTATTTTGTCTATCCTGAGATAAACAGCATTCTTCTGCAACTGTCATATTTGGCAGAATCTGCTTGAGGTTACTACCAGAGAATTGGAAACAAACCAGTTATCTATCTGAGAACTCTGAACAATAAAGATAAAAACACAGATTCTTAGTTTCATTACATTTTATTTAATATCAGTGAAAATAATATTTAGTATCAAGTGAAAGTAGCAGTTTTGTTTAAGTAAATTTAAGATTTAATTCACAGCTTGTCCACAAATTATTGGTTTGATTTCATGAGTATATACTAGAGCAATCACTTCTGCTTCACTGTTCTTCAAGTAATACCATAATGATATTTTTTCTTTCAACAAATGATAATATTATATTGATTATTTTAATATTTTCCAACTACTTCTATGATGTTAATGTTGATGTTTTAATTGTTTTGGATTTTAATGAATTGTTTATTTCTCGTTATGTATATGTGTGACATCAAATGTTGCCTTTGTAAGGCGCTTTGAGCCCCCTTCAGGGTAAGAAGGGCAGGTACAAGTGTGGCAAATAATAAATAAATAAATAAATAAATAAAGGCTTTCCTGCATAATGTTGGCCTAATATAAATTGCATTTCTTCAATTAATGAGGCTGGTAAATAAAATTTCAGGCAAAAGTTACATTTGGCTTATCTAGATCACGGTTTCTTAAATTGTGGGTCCTACCCCATATGGAGTAACTTTCACTAAATGTTGGATTTGCGAAAAATTTGGCAACAGTAAATCTGTTAACAACAACGTGCAGTGTTTACAGTAGATACTAAAGAAAATGCTACATTTGCACTTCTTAAAAAGGGGAAACTCTTTTGTTTAGCAAGCCTTGCAAATGTTGATTTATGATCAGTAAATGTTTGATTTTATACCCATTTTATATAACTATATACTTGGGGTTGTGTAAAAATTACTCAGGCAGAAATGGGGTCATGAGTAGAAAAAGTTTTAAAAGTCCTGATCTAGATTAGTTCTAAATGATTGGATAGTATTTACTTTCCCTACAAAATGCTAAATAACATGGATCTCTAAAAACAAAAATGAAGTCCAGTTGAATGATCTCCCACATATATATCACAGAAAGAAAAATAATCTGTATAATAATAGCATATTGCTACTTCCATTAATTTAAAATTGTTTTGTGCAGGAGAACTTTATGATTGTGCTCTTTCTGCGTGTCTCCACCCTCAAATACTTCACTGAATGCCCATAGTGATAAGGCAAGGTATTTAAACTGACTCAACTAAAAGAGAGAGAAAGAAACATTCTTGTTTATTAGCCATAGCTAAAAATGTGCTCCGTGACTCTTTTTTCCAAAACAGAATCACAATGACTTGGTTTGAATGAATACTGATTCTCTATTTAGGTTTTAACCCTGGCAAGTAATGAACGGATTTCTCTCACGCCTTCCATGCGCCTGGTGTTTGAAATCAGCCACCTTCGGGCAGCAACTCCAGCTACTGTCTCAAGAGCTGGAATCCTCTATGTGAATACACAAGACCTAGGTTGGAGCCCGTAAGTACAAGAAAAAAAAATGACAGTTCAGTCCCTGCAACCATAGGGCCATTGGTCATGGTGATCCTTCCTTTTATTATTGCCACACCACTTCTTGGCTAAGAAGAAACTTCCTGAATGTTCCCGTGCTTAGTTCATCTGCATCCTCAGAAAAATCAAAGTAATCAGTTGGATTATCAGTGGCTGGTTGACCAGCACTGTGCAAGGGAACTGGTGCATGGCACACTTTGGAAAAATAAACCACGCGTGTGTGTATGGCTTCTGTATGCAGGGTAAATTTCTGCGGCAACTCCAGTGCTGAAGCAGCTTTGCCACAGAGCCCACTGGCTCCCATCACACACTGGAGAAGTACTTCCGGGATGGCTCCATGGCAAAACTGCTGCGGAACCAAGTTGCAGCCAAAAAAGGTGGTGGCAGCAACACATAAGGCTTCCCGTGGTTGCATTGTCTTCAATGGGGTAATCCGGCTGGTTTATGCTTCCCCCCATGTAATAAGGTATTGGTGTTGGTGGTGTTGGTGGGGAACCAGGACCAGCTTTTTCATTGTAAGCCTGTGTAATTTAATTACAGCAATAATACATTTCCAAATTACAGGGATTTGACAAGGAAAGTAAGCTGAACATTTGGAATCCAGCAATCAGTTCATAAAACCACTCCTGAAACAACTATCTAATTTTCTCATATTTGTCCTTTCTTTCAATCTTTTCAATAAAAGCAACTCATTAAGCAAAAAACAAATCTTGTTTGTAATTTTATTTTCACAGATATGTGACTAGTTGGATTGAAACACGCAAAGCACAGTCTGAAAGAGCAAATCTAACCATCCTCTTTGATAAATATGTGCCTTACTGCTTGGAGCAAGTCCGATGTAACTTAAAAACCATCACTCCAGTTCCAGATAACAGCATGGTTCAGGTAACCAGGACTGCGGTAGGATCTTCAGTCTTCTATTCTTCCTGGAGTGTGATTTTGAGAGTGTTCAAGTATGCAGAGCTGGTGTGAAGGAACTTCATTATAATCACAGCATGGTTTTGTGTGTATACGTGTTATTATTCAAGAAACAAAACAGACTGGGTAAGACCTGGCGCCACTCTCTGCATCAGTCTCACTGGGAAAAAATATTTTACAGTGAAGTTGTTGATTATTGTAGTGTGTGGAGTAGACACTTTCATGTCTTTTCCTTCAGACACAATTTCTTATAAAATATGTTTTCCCAATCCCTTCTCTCAATGAAGGCTGAGTTGCCCAGTCCCTTTGGCACTTTTAAAACTTTGATTTACATATTTCATTATCAGCCTGATATAATGGCCATGCACAGATGACTAAGTAACTGTGTTTTCCATCTTTGCATGTTCACAAATATTTTGCTCACTGGGTTTCAATGAGCATAGTTGTGCATTTTGCCAATACATACTGTGTATATTTTGATGGACATCATGTTAGTGTGAAATGCATAATTGCTACATCTCATTGCCTCTAAACAATTTTGTCAAATTCATTCTGAATGTGGTAAATGTAATAAAAAGTATTGCAAGTTTTGCAGTTGACAGGTAGCTTTGGAAGTTGTTGCTTCTTGATACTTTCTTTAAGAATTATGTATCACAGAATTGTTCAGAATTACTGCCGACCCACTAAGTACAGTATTGATAAAAACCTGGAATACAAATAGAATCCAGACAAGTGATTACCCAGCATAGCATATGCAGCTTTTCTCATTCAGAGCGCTCAACTGGGATTATATGGCATATTATCACCATATTGGGCCATTGGGATTAATGCAATGTGTTGATCTGTTGCAGCAAAAGCTAAGAGAACTAGCAGACCCTGAAGATTAACAGGTTTTATTTTATATAAATAAAAAATAGTCTTTACATTGCCATAGGTGATTTATGGGAAAATACATGTGACTTTTTTCAACCTGCCTTGATCCAGTACATGGTGCATGCTTGTTCATTAGCCACATGGAGCTCCATAGTGGCCTTCTTTTGGTCTTGAATGAATAGATTACAGTTCACCAACTAAACAGAGCACCTGGTGGTGCAATGGGTGCTGGCAGGAGTGAAGACCGACAGGTCGCAGGTTTGAATCCGGGGAGAGTGCGGATGAGCTCCCTTTGTCAATTCCGGTTCCCCATGTGGGGACTTGAGAGAAACCTCCCACAAGAATGGTTAAAAACATCAAAACATCCGGGTGCCTCCTGGGCAATGTCCTTGCAGACGGCCAATTCTCTCACACCAGAAGCAACTTTCAGTTTCTCAAGTTGCTTCTGACACACACACACACACACAAAACTAACTAAACATTTCATGAGACACAGAAAAGTGTAAATTGGGCCTCAGTGTTCATTTCATTGAACCATACCTACCTTTCAATGATTATGCCAGCTTTCCCTGATCTGATATCTTCCATTGCCCAGTAGCTTCAAACAGCCTGGGTAAAAGGAATGGTGGGAATTGTAATTGAGCACACCTGGAAGACACAAGAATAAGGAAGGTTAGAGTCTACTGGTGGGGAGAACCAGGCCCGTAGCGAGGGGGGGGGGTTTAGGGGTTCAACCCCCCCCCCCCCCGAAATTTTTCAGGTTAAAAAAAATAAACCTGGTTTACTCATTAATTTTAACAGGTTTACTAATGAATTTGGTTAACTGGTTAACTTCCCCGCCCTCCATAGACCAGCACCCGGTGCGCCTCTGCTGCTGCCATCTCTGCCTCTCCTTTCCCCTCTCTCTCTTCTCTGAAGCAGCGCGGGGAGGGGCGTTCCTCCAGCTAGCCAATCGCCTTCGGCCTTGCGCCCCTTCCCAGCCTGATTGACAGGAGCAGGCGAAGAAGGCAGAGCCGGCCAAGGAGAGCCTGTCTCTTAAAGGGAACGCTCGTGATTCAATATATTTATTGTCTAGGGGCACCCTTGGAAAGGCATATATAAAGGGAACGCTCGTGATTCAATATATATATATATTGAATCACGAGCGTTCCCTTTATATATGCCTTTCTAAGGGTGCCCCTAGACTTGTAGAATTGCTGCAGCTTGACATCCCTTTAAACTGAGCATTATGGGAGTTGTAGTTTTGCAAGGTCTTCAGCATGCACCACACTACAACTTACCAGAATTCCATAGCGTTATTTATTTATCGTGCCAGGGAACCGAACAGTTGTGTTACATTTTTTACAGAACAACCAAACAAACAAACATACATACATACAAAAGACAGAGTTTGCAAGCTTGGTAGTTGATTAAATGTCCTTTGACCAGTAGCTGGCCACTTGGAGTGCTTCTGGTGTTGCCACAAGGAGGTCCTCCATTGTGTATGTGGCAGGGCTCAGGTTGCATTGCAGCAGGTGGTTTGTAGTTTGCTCTTCTCCGCACTCGCATGTTGTGGATTCCACTTTGTAGCCCCATTTCTGAAGGTTGGCTCTGCATCTCGTGGTGCCAGAGCGCAGTCTATTCAGCGCCTTCCAAGTCACCCAGTCCTCTGTGTGCCCAGGGGAGAGTCTCTCATTTGGTATCAGCCATGGATTGAGGTTCTGGGTTTGAGCCTGCCACTTTTGGACTCTCGCTTGCTGAGGTGTTCCAGCGAGTGTCTCTGTAGATCTTAGAAAACTATTTCTAGATTTAAGTCGTTGACGTGCTGGCTGATACCCAAACAAGGGATGAGCTGGAGATGTCTCTGCCTTGGTCCTTTCACTATTGGCTGCTACTTCCCGGCGGATGTCAGGTGGTGCAATACCGGCTAAGCAGTGTAATTTCTCCAGTGGTTTAGGGTGCAGACACCCCATGATAATGGGGCATGTCTCATTAAGGGCCACATCCACTGTTTTAGTGTGGTGAGATGTGTTCCACACTGGACATGCGTACTCAGCAGCAGAGTAGCACAGTGCAAGGGCAGATGTCTTCACTGTATCTGGTTGTGATCCCCAGGTTGTGCCAGTCAGCTTTCGTATGATATTGTTTCTAGCACCCACTTTTTGCTTGATGTTCAGGCAGTGCTTCTTGTAGGTAAGAGCACGGTCCAGAGTGACTCCCATGTACTTGGGTGTGCTGCAATGCTCCAGTGGGATTCCTTCCCAGGTGATCCTCAGAGCTCGGGATGCTTGTCTGTTTTTTGACATGGAAGGCACATGTCTGTGTTTTACATGGGTTGGGGATCAGTTGGTTTTCCCTGTAATAGGCAGTTAGAACACCTAGAGCTTCGGAGAGCTTGTGTTCAACCATCTCAAAGCTCTCTGCTTGAGCAGTAATGGCATGATCATCAGCATAGATGAAACTTTCTGTCCCTTCTGGCATTGGCTAACCCTCATGCTAAGTCTATGAGACTGTTGCGTCTCAGGTTAAGCTTCACCTTGCTCTCTGACAAACCAGCCAAACTTGAGAAGAAAGAAGTTTATTGAGGTTTCAAACAAATCCAAGTAAAAGCAGTAAAAAGTTCATTAGTACAAAGTATAGGTCCAAAGTTCTGTTGAATCAAAGCAGGAAACTTGAAGCAAAGAAGCAGGATACAATCCAGGCAATAGCATGAAGTTACAGGAAGCAAACGAACCCCAAGGCCCAAGCCCTAGAGCCAAAGGTACAGCAATCCATATTGCAAAGTTGGATCTGACACTGAATCAGCTTTCAAGCAGTCTTCTTATAGGAAAATCATCAAAACATTGAACATTAAACAGAACAGCTAACGAGCAGTTTTCCCACCAGCAGATGGCCTCAAGATTTGGCCGCAATCCGTAAACTTCTCCTTAACACCTGCAGCTCGCGCTGACCTTCACCGAGTGTGTTATCAGCCACATTCCTTTCCCTTGAGAACAAGGGATTCTCTCTAGCTACAGACTGTGGCTGAGAAAACTGAGAAATCTGAAATCCCACATTCCCATTCCCATCATGCCCACTTGCACTCTCAGTCCCATCATGTCCATCATGCTGTTGCTGAACCACAACAGAGACGCAAAAAATTAAGAGTCCCTCCCTGCAAGCACTATCTCAAGCAAATATTGACAATTTATTCACACTGTCATTACTTGCAGCAATAGCCGATGTAGTGAAGCAACCAAGTTGGGGGGTGGTGTTGAATGCTCTCATTAAGGAGGCCAGACTTGGTGGAGGTGGTTGACAGGGGCGGAGCTGCAGGCTATTGAAGGATGCTCTGCCCCCTGCTGTGCTCTTTGCTTCAGCGTGAGCTAAGAGGCAGGTTTCAAACCCCCCCCCCCGAAATTTTCACCCCCCCCCCCCGAAATTTTCAAAACTCCCCCCCCCAAATGTTCAACCCTCCCCGAAATTTTTTTCTGGCTACGGCCCTGGGGAGAGCATAATGCCAAGGCTAATATTCCAACTTGAACACTAAAAATAGTGAGGGGTGTGCCCTACAGGGCCAGCAGCATGGCTGCCTTCTTCCCTCTAGGTCAAAGCCCATGGTTCCAAAAGCCATTTATGACATTTATGACAGGAAATCAAACATTTGGCATTCCTAATAAATAGCAGTTCAAAACAAGAACAGTAACATGTTGTCAAAGGCTTTAATGTCCGGAATCACTGGGCTGCTGTGAATTTTCTGAGCTGTATGGCCATGTTCCAGAAGCATCCTCTCCTGAACTTTCACCAACATCTATGGCAGATCTCTCAACCTCTGAGGATGCCTGCCATAGATGTGGCAAAACATCAGGAGAGAATGCTTCTGGAACACGGTCATAGAGCCCGGAAAACTCACAGCAATCTAACAGCAGTAATAATCTCACACAATTTTGTTTATTTATGTTTTAGTAATGCTGTAACCTGCCTCAAGCTGTGAGGAGAAGCGGGCAAGAAATGTGTTAACTTCCACCACATCCTAAGTCTGAAATAGAGAAAGAGACACATACACTGCTGGAAAGAGCTCACATTTCAGAAATTCAGCACTGGAGAGAAGGGAAACAGATGGGTTGGTGTGTGGTCATCGATTGAAGGAGGACACTTTTGGATCTGGTCACTGGGAAGACAAAGTACTGTCACTGAAAAGGCCATGTCCAGAGTCATCAGGATGAGGGGACATGGAGAAAGTTATCTAGGAAATATTTTTATTTGCTTGGAAGATAGTCCTGAAATTATTATGGTCCCAAATCATTTTTGTTCTGTGACATTAATTATTGAAAAAGTATTTTTTGAAAAACAGATTACTCACGAGCCAAAGATTTGAGGCCAACATTTGAGAATGCTATCCCTCTCCTTAAGCAGACCCATTACATAATGAATAAAACGAGGGCTTTTCCTTTAATGATGGCAAAATTGTGCTCATTGATTTACAGAATTCTGGCATTTTATGTAATCTGAAGTTACTCCAAACAATTGAAATGATGGGAAAGGGTTTATGGGGCACATGGCGATTAATGCAGACTCCTCCTTCTTTGTATTATACTAACAATTCCATCTGTTTTTCTGAATGAATGCAGACATTGTGCATTTTTTGCTGATTTTTAGATGATGTTTTTGGAGGGTTTAACAAAATATTTTAAAGCCTTCTAGATCAAATGGTTTTCTTATAAAGGAAAAAAGTCAGAAATGAAAACAAATCGTTTGCCACTCATTAAGAAAAGAGAGCAAGAGAAAAAGGGGAAAAAACCCTCACTCTGCAGAACTTAGATGTGGGTCTTTTGCATCATATTTGCATATCTTATTTTGATTCATTGACATACTTAAAGCAGCTGCACTCTAAAAGTGGTAAATAGGATTGGGCTGGAGTTTATTTCCAAAGAACTTTGTAAAAAACATCTTTCTTTAATAATACAACTCGCTTTTATAGATTCTGCATGAAAAAGAATATCAGCTTTCAAAAGAGATTATTGTATTCTGTTTATATGGGTGTGTGCATGCCTGTGTGTGTGCACGAACATGCATGCACATGAACGCAAGGGTGGAACAGAGGAATACTAAGGAAATAGCAGGAGTAGAGAGAATTATGCACCCACCTTTGATCTGGGTAGCAAACTAGGGGTTCTTCACCTTCAGTACCTCCATCATGCTGGAACAGAGCCAGTGTTTGCAGCTGTTGACTGTCACACTCAAAATCCAGTAACTTTATATCCTCTCCGCTTCTAAATTTCAAACAGATTGCATTCATCTCCCTGGTAGGCTGTCAGTCATCATTTGAGCACAGACTTTTTTTTTAATGCTAAAATCCTGTATATGTCTAGGTAGACATAGGTCATATTGAAGATATACTGTATGTGTCATTGCATTAATCTTGCAAGCAAGTAAAATGACTTACAAGATTTTATCACAAAGACTTTTACCATATATGGAGCAAGATATGCCAGGCATCCCACTGGAATCTGAAAAGGAAGAGACACTGCCAATCATATTGCCAATATGTGATGGCTAATGGAACAGACTCACACACACACAAACAAGAAAAAATGTTTTTTTTTAATTATAGCAAAATCTTTGATGTGTATATTATGAGAAAGTATTGATCACTCTTGGAAAGGTTGTGCCACATTTTATTGTCCTGATTTGTAACCAATACTCTGACAAAAGTCCTCTATCAGAATGGAATATGGAGAAGCAGACTGGATCTCCAATGGCAAGGGGTCAGACAAGGCTGCATTTCATCACCCTATCTGTTTAGTTTATATGCTAAACATATATTATGGATTTAAACCCAGACAAAGGAAATGTGAAAACAAGGAACATCAATAAATTAAGATAGTAGATGATATCATATTACTAGCAGAAAATAGTTAGATGGAATGATTCATAGCAATAAGGAAGAAAGTTCAAAATCTGTGTTTCAGATGAATATTAAGAAAACCAAAATATTTATGACATTGTTTGCATTACTTTAAAAAAAGGCGATGAAAACATAGAAATAATCAAAACATTCCTATAATCAAGGAATCACAAGAATACTAAGGTCATACATATAGTGACTGCTTATCTGTGGCTAGTCTGGAGTAGCCACACACTCCATCCCCAGCTCACTGCAGGCCTGACTGAGACCGTTTTGACCCTACTAGAACATTAACTTCCCTTTTCTGTTTTCTCTGCTGGACAGCTTCAGAGCTCCAGGAGACCTACAGAGCATGATAGGTGCCCCATGTTGGTAGCAGCAAAAGTGTGAGCTTTATTCTGCCTTGGCAGTTGACCTACACAGAACTGGACAGGGGGAGTCATTGTTGCTTCTACCGGACCTCACAGCAGTTTTGATACCACCAACCATGGTATCCTTCTAGACTGCCTCACAGAGATGGGACTTGGAGGCACTGTTTTACAGAGGCTGCATTTCCTTAGAGGGGTGAACCCAGAAGGTGGTGCTGGGAGATTCTTGTTTGATCCCCTCTGGGGTATGTTTCTCCCCATGTCATTTAACAGATACATGAAATTGATAGGAGGGATCATCTGGAATTTTGCGGTACGGTACCAACTATAAGTGAATGAGACCCATCTCTACTACTCTTTTCCACCCCAAGCCAAGGAAGCTGTCCTGACCCTCAACCAGAGTCTGTCATCAGTATTAGACTGAATGAGGGAAAATAAATTGAAACTTAAGCCAGACAAGACAGAGGTGCTCCAGTCAGTGGGAAGACAGATCAAGTTATAGGGATCCAGCCTGTGCTAGATGGGATAACACTCCCCCTGAAAGACACAGATCCACAGTATGGGGGTACTCCTGGACTCAGTGCTAAACCTGGAGACCCAGATTCCTGCGATGGCTAGGAGTGTGTTCACACATTTACAAATTGTGCACCAACTGCCCCTCTTACCTGAAACTTTGGATCTGGCTATGGTGATACATCCCTTAGATACATTGTGTTCAGATTACTGCAACTAGCTCTATTTGATGCTGCCTTTGAAGAATGTTTGGAAACTGGCTGACTCAAAGAACCAGATTGTTAATTAGGGTTGGCTGCAGGTACCGCACAATTCCCCTGTTGCAACAGTTCATGTGGCTGCCAGGTTGTTTCCAAACACGATTCAAAGTGCTGGTTTTGACCTATAAAACCACTTGTGGTAATGATACAAGATAATAACCTCATCATGGTTGTGTGGAGACTATATTATTTTAAAAAAAAAATTTTAACCTGGAGAGTAAGAGCTATAAAAGTAGGATGATGATTGATGGTGATGACAATGGCATCTTAATTCTTCTCTCTCTTTTTTTTCTGAAGACTTTGTGTTCATTGCTGGATTGCCTCCTGACCCCAGAGCACACTCCACCTGATTCTCCTCGTGAACTCTATGAAATATATTTTGCATTTGCCAGTGTTTGGGCTTTCGGTGGTGCGTTGTTCCAAGATCAGGTGAGTTTCAGGTTTAAAGGACATTTTTTTCAGATTTATTCATAATGATCTTAGATACATTTTCAAGAAGAAAAAAGAAGGAAGATAAAAATGTGAATGGAATCGGTTAAATTGCAAAATGTCAGTGAATGTTGTGCAACAACCTTGTGACAAAACATTCTATAGTTTTCATTGTTTATATTTCAGTTTGCATAATTGGAAATTAATGTTGGGGCCAAGGAGAATACATGGTATTAATCACAGTGCTGATTAATATCTGACACCTAAACTTGAGCCAATCATCCTGTCTTCCACGTAGCCTTTAAATCTTTGTAGGCTTTGGAAGGAATATATGAGAAGATCATAATAATTATTGTCTGGATGGCCACAGCTCCTGGTGGATAATCCAGTATGTAAGAACTCCCTCAGAAGGCAGGTCAAGGATCTCTATTAAGCCCTCTTTTTCCTGTCATTCCTTCTCAATGGATGCAATTGGTCTTGTGTACATTAAGTAGAACTGGATATAGCAGAACATTTTGCTCTGTAACATCACCTTATGAAAAGCTACTTTGGCAACACTTCATTTTAATTGATTCAATTCATTCATGAGTTGGAAAGTTCTACCAAATCCATATTTCATAAATGAAATAAGAGAAGTCCCCTGCATTATGTTCTTTACTTTTTAAATATTATCGTGGTATTAAAATGAAATATTAAAATGAAAATTCTGGAGATATAATAAAGATTATTGTTGGAGTTGCTCAGATTTCTGTAAGACACTAGTTTGAACCTGGACCATGACTCCCCTAGTTACTATAGGCATCAGAAGCTTAAATATAAGCATTATTGATTTAACAGGACATAGAGTTAATCTGATGTGTATCCCTTTTGTGTTGGATAACTAATAAGTCAATTCCCTCTTGATTCGATTTACTTTCCCTTAAGAATCGGCATGGAATCCTTCCTTCATAAATATAAAGGTACACATGAGTTAAAGAGCTCACTCACTCTTCTTTCATCGTAAATATTAGCTGAATGGAGGAGCTAGAAAGCATGACTACCACTGATATGTTCCCACAGAAACAACAAATGCCCTTGCAAACAACTGCATATTGCACACAGGGAAATCATATAGGAAATAAAACCTAACAGGGCTGTGAATTCCAGAAATTGATTGCAGCCTCACTTGCAAGGCACATAGTAACAGCTGTCCTTTCCACCTGCTTTGTCAAATTAGTATATATATAAAAAAGTGACATTAAAAGTTAATGAGCTGACAGAACACTTGTTTTTAAAGTAAGTATGTATTAGATTTTGAAACAAATTAATTCACAAAATTGAATTATGACAAATAGTGAACATGCAAAAAAAAAAATCACCAAAAGAAAAAAGGATGAGAAAAAGAAGAAAAAAGAAAAAAATGCCATACATACATAATATCATTTCTCATCATGAAACCTGGTGATAACCCAAACACACGTTGAAGACATATACTGGTCCAATTCATAGCAAATATACATTGTCCCAAACAACACTGTTTTAGGATTTGTGAGCTGAATGAGTTCACTTAGGACTTTTGACCCACTGAAAGTCCTCCTCATACCCTCAATGTATTTGGATGGTGACTTGACATTAGTATTCAATATGAGCTAAAATTGTGAAATCCCAAAATGGTAGGGTCATTTTTTGTATGTTAATTCTTCTTCTTATACATGCTGTTTGTGACTCTAGGTTTCTTATGAATATTCCCCAATACATTTGTTATTCTCATGTGTGTTAAATAATATAAAACACAACACATGCTCTTAAATGACATTTTTACACACAGTTAAACCAGAAAACATTATAGCCTTTGTATAGTCTCTGATGTCTTTCAGAGCATGCAATTTTAAAATAATTTAAGGCAAAGTTTAGAATTTTTAAAAGGTGAATATGCCATTGTTTCTTTAACTGTTTCCCATAGTGGAGTTCAGTTCAGATAAAAACACTTCAAACACTGAAGTTTCCAAAACCAAGGGTTTGCCATTCCCACTTAATGTTCAAAGTGAGACGAACTCATCTTTCAGTACTTTAATTTTTGGCTTTCCTTTGTACTCTTTTCCAGCTAATTGATTATCGCATGGAGTTTAGTAGATGGTGGATCAAAGAAATGCGAACAATAAAATTTCCTTCCCAAGGGACAGTTTTTGATTACTTCATTGACCCCGACACAAAAAAATTTTCTTTGTGGAGTGAAAAAATTCCAGGCATTGAAATGGAACCAGATGTCCCTCTCCAGGTAGGACAATCCACTGCAATTAGTAATAAGAGAAACAGCAGATTTCTGGATAATTATGACTGGATTAGGCAGAACATAAAGTGCATAATAAGTTGAAGTTCAAGTGTTGCTAATTATCTGAGCAGTGTCACAATATGAGGAATACTGTGCCATTTGAAATTACATTGTCCTCATGAAGTGAAATTTGCCAAAGTAACTTCTTTTTATGGGGTTTGAATGGCATTGAAGTTCAAACATGTACCAAAGATATTATGAGCATAATATTGTGTCTATGTATATATTAAGATTGGCCCAGGTTAAGGAATTGGGGTAGGCAAGCTACAAGCTGGTTGCCTTACCTTCCACTGGCAAAAGTCCCTCCTGTTCCGAATAGCCAAGAGGATTTCATTTGCTTCCTTGGGAAGAGCTTTCCAAAATTTAGACATTTTACTATAAATTCAACAGAAAAGAAATGATTGTGATGCTGGGCTACAGTTGCCACCTCTTTTTTTTTCTGACTGGATCCTCATCTTTAACAACAATTCAAAGTGTTGGTTTCAACCTTTAAAGCCCTGAACGGTTCTGGCCCAGTTTCCCTGTCYGAACRTATTTCYGGCTATGAACCATCATGAAGCTTAAGATCATCAGGAGAGGCCCTGCTYTCGATCCCACCACTTTAGCAAATGCAGTTGGTGGGGTTGAGAGACAGGGCCTTTTCGGCAGTGGCCCCCTGTCTGTGGAACTCCCTCCCTAAGGACATCAGGTTGGCCAGCTCCCTCCTGTCCTTCAGGAGACAACTGAAGAYSYGGCTCTGGAACCAGACATTTGACWAGWGGRGAACAGCAATAYGAAAGGAAAACTTTTGGACATCCCGATATTGATTCTTCCAGCTTGGTTTWGGTGTATTGGCACACTAATTTATTTATTGTTGATGAATTTAMTRTGGAAACTGGATAATGTTTTAAATGGATWTTTAGTGTTTTAATTGTATTTATTGGTATATATGGATTGCATCACTGGATGCTTATGTAAGGCAGCCCTGAGTCCCCTTGTGGGGARAAGGGCAGGAAAGAAGTATATGTAATAAATAAATAAATAAATAAATAAATAAGCTAGTAGGCAATATAWAAACCARCCATCTTCATTCAGGGAATGAYCTTACCACTTGAATTTGACCAGTCCAAAATCTGGCCATKTTGTCTTGCWCAGTGGTTAAGAGTTCAAYTCRGTTCWCTTTTTTACAAGAAAAGAGAAGAATTTAATGTTTTAAACRTTCAAATGGGGSAGACCCCAAACTGAAGAAAGTATGACCAGTGACTGTGTGTATGGCTTGTCCTAGATGAGGTTGCCCTCCTTCTGAAAGACCAGCCATGCGGCTTGGAATGGTTCTTGGCCCAGCTCTGTCAATCAGTACCTAAGAATGGCTTTCACTCATTTCAACTGGTACAGCAGGTGAAAGTGTTCATGCAAAGGCATGATCTGGTCACAATGGTTCAGGCTCAAATAGTTTTCCAAGTGCATTACATTATAGGTTAAGCATTCTTTACCTAGACTTTTGAAATCCAAAGTCAAATAATTTTCACATGACTGGCTGAGATAGTGACATTTTGGCTTACTGATGGGTTACTGGTACCTAAACTTTGTTTCATGCATGAAATTATTAAAAAATATTGTGTATCTAATTATCTTCAGCCTATGTACATAGTTAAATCCTGGTTGTGGGACCAAGTGTTTGCACAATGATTCCCAGTGCAACAACGATTTCTCAGTGCAATAATGAACAATAATTGAAATGGCTCTTGGAATATGCTTTTAGACTGTGTGATTTTAAGTAATTATATGTTGTGGAAGGCTGTCATGGCCGGAATCACTGGGTTGCTGTGAGATTTCTGGGCTGTATGGCCATGTTTGAGAAGCATTCTCTCCTGAGGATGTCTGCCATAGATGTGAGCGAAATGTCAGGGGAGAATGCTTCTGGAACGTGACCATACAGCTTGGAAAAAATCACAGCAACTTAAGTAATTATTTTAAGTTATATGTTTCAATTATGTGATTTTAAAGTTTATGTTGTTTATTTGTATACGTATTGAAGGCATCAAATTGTGTCTCTGTTGTGAGCTGCCCTGAGTCCCCTTCAGGGTGAGAAGGAAGGGATATAAATGTAGTAAATAAATAAATAAATACATACATACATATAAAAGGTATATACAAAATATAAATGAATTTCCTGTTTAGACTTGAGTCCCATTGCCAAGATATCTCATTATGTTTATGCAAATACTCCAAAATCCAACAGAATGTTTGGGAACTTCTGTTCCCAAACATTTCAGATAAGGGATACTTAACCTATATTTTAGTAGTTCACTTTTAATAATAGCTATGTATTTTATTGTTTTTACTCTACTTGTACAACATCTGCCCTTCATATGCCTGTGAATGTATAGTGGTTTTAAATGTTTTAATAAGCAAAGGAAGAAAGGGGGAAAGAATCTCAGCCTCCTGTAACTGCAAGGCCATGACTGGAATCAATCTAATGTGAACAGGGGTACGTTCTTACTGCCTCTTCTTTCATTTTAGTTCCCACTCAGTTGCTATCAACTCTTGTTATCACATCTCCTGCTGCCCATCTACTTCTAGATACTTTTGATATTACAACCAGATTGTTGAAATGTCAAAAAGAACAATGTCTAACAGCTAAGAAATATATTACATCCTACAGGTTTCTGATTTTTATGAAGATACTGCCCAGCACTTACCAGCTGTTTGCAGAGCAGCCTCCTTCTCTGCATTTTTATTGTTCACTGCAAAATTGTTGTTCGGGGAAGAAGGCACACCCTGCTCATATCAAAAGAAACCACAGGGGTTTACAACAACAAAATCCAAGCATATAATTATAATAAATTCATAACTACATCAAAGCAACAATATAAAGACAATAATAAAAACAGAAACAGCAGCATAAAAGAGCAAATTAATCAGCCATATAATCCCACCACACCCCAAAACAAACAACAGATTACAAAAAATCCAATGGAATAACAAGAGAAATACCAAAGCAGACCTCTCCAGAAAGCCAAAGCATTATTTAATGTCTTGAGGAAAGAGCAAGAGGTTTATCTAGAAGTCAACTAGACTCCTGGATAAACTTCTTGCTAGCTGCTTTTACTACACTGCTTTTATGATACCTAGCAGTCCATATGGTATACAGGCTGATCCTTCCCCTGGTAATTTGTTTCCTCTCTCGTGTGTGTTGCAAATATTCATAGCCCTTTAACAACATAGGGAAGTATGTAGTTAGTGAGCTGAAGACTTCTATTGAAAGAAGGACAAAGCTGGACAGTTCTTTTCTTCCCCACAGAAATCATGGTTGGTGCTTTGAAAGCTACTAATTTCATGGAGATTCCAGATTTAAAAAAGATATTTAATGATAGTATCAACTTTCCTTTCTCTGCTACTTTAAAACACAAGTCCAAGGGACAACACAATAATCACTTTGTCAAAGGCAGGTCAATAAGGTGTCTGGAGAAGGCATTTCTATGTAAGGCTACTATGGTAATTACAGATAGCCAGCTGTGGTTAAGGAGCTGATAGATGAAACCTTTATTAAGGGCCAGAGCAAGTAGTGTATTACAGTAGGCCCACATATTACATGAAAGATCCTTACATAATCTGTAACTCTATTTTCCCACCTGAAACGAACAATGTCTTGAGCCTCCACTGAAGCATATGACAGAACTGCTCTGGAAGACCTAGAAAATTCCCATAGAAGTGTTTTCTCTAGGCCTCCAGTGTGATTCTATGGTCAACTTCAAGGGGAACTTCCTGCAGAACTTCTGGCAAAAGATGTCCATAGAATTGCACAGGAGAAAACACTTCTCTATGCCTTTTCTAGGTCCTCCAGAGCATTTCTATGGTATTCATAATATGGTATAGATAAAACAGAACTGAATGAACCCATATGATAACCGGGACTACTATCTTCTAAGTCTCTGTGGTCCCATAGGTGGGAGTGATGTTGCTGATGCTGGTTTTAACTCTGTTTCGCCTTTCTTCCAATAATAAGTCTCAACAACAAATAATTCAGATTACAAACAATGTAGACATTGTATCAATATAAAGTTCTTAAAACAGTTTATAAAGTTAAAATCAATTTTTAAAAAGACGATCCACACATTTTAATTATGCTTATCCTCTTCTGTGCGTTTTGAGCAGGTAGAGGTAAGAAATCTGCAAAGTTTCAGAAGGACTGGTATATCTGTTAATGAAGAAGGAAAGCCTTTGAAAAATACTGGTGTGTGAAAGTGATTTTTCCCTTCCTCTGTTGTTTGGTTGTTTGGAGGCCAATTTGTATGAAAATTTCACATTTGATAGAAGTGCTTCCAAGGAAGGGAAATTGCAAAATTTCAGGATAAGTGCATTATGCTTAAGAAAAAAAAAAATACAGCCTTTTAAGTAGGAAAGCTTGGTGTCTTGGGAAGAATAACCATCTCACAGTCCCATCATTTCCCTGTCATATACTGTCTGAATGTGCGGCTCAATTCATAATAGGGATGGACATTGCTGTAGTTCCTTGCTGGATCACCACTTTAGCAGAAGGAAAATAATAACTCCTATTATTGTTCCACCATTGTCAAACCTCTCTTCAGCTTAGTTTCCTGAATACAGGTTTGGTTCTCGTTAGAGAAAAGTTTATTCTAATTCAGGGTTCTAAATTTGGTCTTGATTTGGATTCAAACCCAAGATATATTTCAATCTAATCTTGTGCCTCTCTAGTGACTGTTTGAGAAGTCATTACAATGAATGTCATATCCAGAATCAGGTACTAGTTATAAAAAGGAAGGAAGGGGAGGACCGAATCACAGGTTTGAGTGAACAGTGAACAGACAAAGCACACTCTGTATTTGGTAGACAGCAACAAATAATTTTGGGTACTTGTGGCTATTTCAGAAGATAAGTATTTGTATAAATGACCTCAGATTGGCACACCAACCAAGCATTTTAGGAAGAACTTCCTAACTGTG